GGAAGGTCATGAACAGCCTGCAATGGTCCTTCGTACGGCCGAAGTGCAAGGCGAACTGCATGCTTCAACCGGTACAGAGGTTACACGTGTAACAATTGTCGCTGTACAGATGACACAGATGTGGTTAGGGTCGGGCAATCTGCTTGAATTTGTTAACAAGATTTTAGGCACCAGGTCTTCGCTGCGCTGTTGGATACCCGAAATAGGAGAAATACCTGGGCTATAAGAACATGGACCGAGTTACCTAGCCTAGGCCCATAGCAGCGCCGTTACCGGTACGCTTAAGAGCCCTTCGGAGCTGCCGCGCGTACTTATGGTGGTTACCATGGGGTTCAGAAGCCAAATACTGGCGACCCTGCACGCTCGCTCGAGCGGCATGTGCATATGACTCTGCAGCACATGGATGATCAGCTAGCCCGCCAAAAGATCCGCGGTACCCGGTATACCTTTATACCTTCCCCTATCTCCAGAATGACCTACCCAAGGGTTGAACAATCACCCGGGATGGGACCGCAAATTGTAGCCTGATATTAGCGATTTAGGTCATAGTTAGCCACGATAGATGTTCGTGGTAAGTCAATAACAGTGTTATTACAATTCCTAGCTAATTATTCATGATATCCATCTTCGCGCCCGCACTGACAAGTAACTCCACGATGCCTTCATACCCATTTATAACTGCAAAATGGAGTGCGGTGTTTCCTCCATTGTCCTGATGGTCCAAGTCTATCCCACAGGTTATTAAGTATTCAACCATTTCAACATGGCCGTTCTGTGCCGCCACATGCAATACGGTCTGTCCTATCCCGTTGAGAGTGTTGATGTTACATCCCCTAGCCACCAGAATCGCTACAATCTTCAGATTGCAAAGCAGAACGGCCTGAAAGAGGGGTGTACAGCCTTGCAGCTCTGGCGCCGTGTTGACGGCGATGGGTTTTATGGCAGGCATGTGAGCTGACGGTGAGAAGTCTGATGCGGTGGATGTAGCTTGCGATGGCCTCTTCTGGTGTCCTTCTCCATTTTGACTTGGGGCTGGACTGGGTAGATTGTTTGTTGCTGTTGTAAATGGACTATACGCAAGCGAAGAAGTCGCTTGTCTCTGAGTACCCTGGGTCTTGCTACCGTTCTCATCAATCATGGGATCGTGTAGGATAGACATCTGTCTAATTTTTTGACTCGAGTCTTGAAATATATGTCCTAATTCAGTCGGCTCAGTGGTATCTTCAAAATTCCCCCATAGAGTATTCGGTGTTATCCGCGGAGTAGTGCTGTCCATTGCATGGTGAGTTGGAAACAGATCGCAACGATTATCTAAAGTACTAGGTAGATCAAGTAGAGCTGTGTGATATACCGGAAGTTGCTGATCGTCTATTGGCTCTGCTACCCCCCCTTCTATGATGGCCAAACTAGTCATAGAGAACATATCTTCAAATGATGCTGGTAAAGGATGGGTGGGCTGTGGAGTCACGAACTGTGCCGCAGTTGAGGTCGAGATTGCTTGCTGATCGCGTTGTTCGTTATCGTCTGAGAGGGGTGGGTGCTGCTGACGTGGCTGCCGTGCGTTTTCGGCTTTTAGAGCGGGCGAGCGAGGAATGGGCTCGTTCTTATCGTTAATGTCTAGGTCTTGTGGCACGATCGTTTTAGGACTTTCGTTGACATCATTACTTCTGATAGTTAGTTATATTAACTTCACCAGTATACGTAGAATTCGTGAAATAACCTTGTACTCCTAGTCCCATCGTCCCTTGTCTTTTCCAACTGCCGAGAGTTGTTCGAACCCTTCTCTTTCTTATGTTGTCGAAGATGATGTCCTAGAAAGTGATAATACTAAGCGTCGGCGTCAAATATAGTGCGAATAGTCAAGAATCAAGGTTAAGAGCATTCGAATTGTTCAACTTACGATATTTCCGCTGTGCCTCGCGTTTCTTGGCCCGCTTTAGCTCTGCACTTCCTGGTCTAAAAAGTTGAGGGTTGAGCATAGAGACTGTAAGGTTACCCATCACCTGGCATGATAGGGAAAGAGACTGCCGTTTATGTTTACCACTATAAATATAGTAGGTTTCTCTCCAGTAGATAGTAAGGTGATACCAAACGATAGATATGACCCTTCAATGAGTATCCTAGAATGAGTCCCATGGCAATGGTGCATGAAGAGTGAGCCTAGAGAGATAAGTTCACGGCTTTTGTTACTGCACAGTTGTAAACGGCTAGCAGTTGCCTTAAAGCTTAAACAGTATTGCTCCTGGTGGCGGCCCTTATTTTTACCACCTCACGTGAAATACAAGTTCACGCTTACAGTTTAGTTGCCGCCTATACCGGGAGTGACCGGCTATGTGATCTACCAGGCTAGTCGTTAGCTGCTTATAACCCTGTGCTAGTACGTCTGGGATCGGGTCCTACAAGTGGAATCCATACTTGTAACATATTCGAATTAGGTAACGATAGTGTAGGTTTGAACCCCTGACTGCCCTTGGCTAGACTATGGCGGTTAATGTGATGGCAAGGTGTGATATCTGTGTAAAGTGGCCTCACAGTCCGATCTGGTGAGTCGCAGCATAGCTGTTTTTAGTGTAACGCCCAGCAGATTCCTTAAATCCTTTTCTGTACTAGTAGACGCCGAGGTGCGTGTTGCGGGGTCTATCGTGAACTCAACTATAGGCAATACGCTGACGCCATACTCAACGTCCTTCTCGAAGTGTTCTAACATACATACTTAACAGTAACCGCCTGCTTCTTTGGACGCGTGTTTTGGATACAGGATAGTCTTGCATCCTTCAAGAAGAGGCTAGCTCCAAAGACGATTAGGGTGCCATGCCGTATATGAGTGCCGAAAACTTGGAAGATGAACACATCGTAGATACACTAGCCCTAACTAAACCATTGCACTACTTCTTCAAACTACTATTTTCTGACAGCTGCTGGACTGCATCAAATGATGTCACTCATAAGTTATCAATTAGTTGTAGGATTGATCGTGGCTTGGCTTCGTATGATAAATAATACTGGGTGGATATACCTTCGGGCCCGAAATATTCAGCTGCATAGCAACTAATGCCCTACGCTTCCTGCCTCTAGACAGCCTTTGAAACGCCTGGGGTATTACGATATGGTTCAAAGGCTTTCTGAGCTCAGACGGCGTTACTTCCAAGATAACTAAGACCAGTTGCAGTAATGCTGCTGCTAAATATATACACCAACATATCCCTACCCAGCTCATGACGTTTTGCTGAAAAGAACATAGCTAGGTCCAGGATTAGTCCCAGTATCCAACCGTTATATGTGCAGAGAGAAACTGTAGTAAATCTCATGTTGACCTTGTTTGGCATATTCCAGTTATGGTATCGATTTGTGTCTATTACGTTTGCTTGGGCTAGTCGCACAGTATATACACTGTCTAAAATGTCGTACAGCGAGATCTGATAACTGTGGCTAACTAAAAAATATAGGTACTTCCTCATATTGAACTAGATTGCGTTACACTCTCCCTCATCGCCTAGAGCGTGATTTCTACCCTGGAAAATACTGAACGTCCCGTTCTCCTCCTCGATCACACGACGGCTTGGGTGCCAATCATGCTCCGCGACGTTCCTTTCTTTGGCCCACTCCAGGATCTTGTCGTAGTTACGGCAAGTGTGCTGGTTATTCACCATAGGCCGTATTCCTTCCACCACGTCGCTCCATTGATAGTAGACGACGCTGACGTCTGCATTACATAAAAGTGCCTGCCGCAGCTGGTCTATGCAATGATCTATGAATAATCTTAGGTTAGAATCAGTATAGGAAGGAGGCAACACATGGATCCTCAAATACGCAGCGAACTCGGTCTTGGGAAGCGGCTGATGTGGCGGGTGGAGCTGTCGCTGCTTACCTACGTGAAGCCATTTACAATAATCTATAGTCCCATTCGCTAGATAGAAGCTCTTGTCGTATCTGTGAGGGTATAATGCCATCCGGACAATGTCTAGGCAGTGCATCTGGTGGAAAACATCGAGAGTCACCAAATACTCGTCCTCCCTTCCAGAGATTGGTAAACGCTCAGTTTCCTCTGGAAGTTCCTTCGCCGTATCATGGTCGACGGTAGTGAGCATGCCAGCTAGGAAGAATTGTTTAGTTAAAAACTATTTGGCCGAAGGCTAGGGAGCCTTACCTATGTATGCATCCTGCCATGTCTTGTCGATTTCGTCAGACGGCCAACCCTGAAATGGCGTCTTACCCTGGCCCCTACTGCGATCGAATATGTGATGCTTGTATTCCACAATGTCATTCGCAGGCGCTGAGTGATAGTTAGTACCGTTGACTGGAAGAGCTATCTAGCAGGCAGCGAGAGCTTGTACACCAGAAGACATGGAAACATACAAAATAATTGTAGCGTTGGGTCGGGAAATTTCATCCCCTCGACCGGCTGGCCCATCAGCGTCTTTCCCAGGGTCACAAGAAGCGCGAATAGAACAAGGGAGAAGATGATGATTTGGCCATGGCGACGCTGCTTCACATAGTACGGGCTGCCGCAATGTTGGCAGCATGTCTCGTAGTCAGCCGTCTCTGGATTCTTCAACGGCTCTCCTTCGGCGAAGTCGCGGATAGCTGTGTTGGATGGCCCAGACATTATCATTATTATTGTATTATGGTGATGCTAGCACCCAGACAGCTAATTGTTAGTGGTTTAGCGGTGCTGGAGAGGGTGCCAGCACCTTTATAGGGACCTAATGGGCCCTAAGCACCAGTCGGCATGGCGGGTACCTACTTAGGTACCTACTACGTAGCCGCATGAGATCGGCAGTGCTATTACTTGCGCAGTGTCGACAGCGCCACCGACATCGCACTGGAGTGTTGACCCGGTAGACTTGGTGTCTTGTAGGGTATAGGTGGCTAATTGAAGCATCATGGATCACAAGGGTTGCGAAGGCGAGAAAATGAGAGAGACCAAAGGGACCATCATGATTGATATAGTCGAGAATATTCTACACTACTTTCAGGGGATTTGATCCAGTTCCACCACATTTGAGGGCTTGGGGGGCATTTTATTTCCAATGCCATGTTCCTCAAGCCACAAGTCCATCTCTGACCATTCTGGACACATCCTCTCAACATTGAAGTTTGCCATCGGCGTACCTTTGCCCCTGACCCAATTGTAGGAGACTAGAGTCGTATCGCGATCACTGTATTCTCATTCTGTATCAGTCTGTGAAATAGTCTTTGACTCTTTGGCACGAATCGTCGCGCTTAGCTAGACGTCCTACGCACCATTCTAATTTCTGTCTTATGATATCTGTGCAATGATCAACCCGCTCGTGCCACTTTGCCGGGTCTGCTTCATAGTCCCTGCGCTCATCTTCGTAGTAGTCAAGATAAGAAGCTCGAAAGAGATTATAGAGACAGTGCAATTGGTGTGTCGCCTCAAAGCTGGCCAAGAATCCCTCATTTTCTCCGGTCGCCATGCGAACGGCAGCTTCTGGATGTTGTGGCCTTGATGAGCGGTATGTATGCTCGTCAACTGTGAAGGTCCAGTCTGGATAATGTTAAGCACATGGCGAGACAAAAGGCCCCTGCCTCTATTTTCGGAAGACGGGCTGCCCACGGCCACTTACTCTGGAAATATCGTGCCCAAGCTGCTTCCACATCTGGGCCCGGCGGTCCCTTAAAGGGGCTTGGTATGTTATATGTTCCGTTTACTCGCACGCTTCTTCGTTGTATGAATCCGTGGGTGGGACTTAGAACCTCCAGCGCTGTGATATATAAGCAAACGCCAAGTTGTGCTTTTTTGTTGCTCTGTAGGTAGTCTACGCACATTCAGGACATTGCGTCGCATATGACTCTTGGGCAGCTATAACTTCCGCAGGCTTTGCTGTAGAAAGACCTACTTGACGGCAATTCTCAGGATTGGCGTCCAATGTGAAAGATTGAGTCAAGAGGGAGCCTACGAAGAGCCCAAGAATAAGCGTTCCGGTATGGCTTAGCCAAGAAAACCTATGGCGTATCCGCTGTCCATGCAAAGGGTTTGACATTGTCTGATAGTATGAAAAAAAACTGTACACTCTAGACGGGTGTTGAGGTAATATCTACGATGGTGGACAAAGGATGGGTTATGATAACGCATCTAGTCGCCCGGGATCTTACAAGGGGAGGCGCTTAGCTTTTAATAAGCGAGTCACGTAAAAGTTCCAATTTTTTTCTGGCAGCACCATACCCCGAAGTGATATACTGATCTAGTACCAAAGTTGCTTACATAAAGCCTGTCAAGGCAACTACAAGTATTATACAATAATTAAGGGTGGTTTTGTAGATGTAGCAATTAAGCGAAATGAATAGAACGTCAAATCAAAGGAGTTTATTTCTTTCAACTCTATACAATAGCAAATTCGTACCAATCTGGGAAATGTCCATGACTTGGGGCCTCATTGTCTTTAGCCCAATCTAAAATTGCATCATAATCCCGGCAATAGTGAAGTGTGTTGAAGTCCGGAGACTCCTTCGTCTTCTTCTCGGGTGTCAACATGATCAAATACGGCGTGGCATCCCCTGAACACATGAGCACCTCCCTCAATCTCTGGACGCATGCATCTACCCTTCGCATGATCATCTCCTCACTACCTTGGAAAGAGCGCAGGAATGAATAGTCGAACTCGCCCCTGTAGGTATGTTGCCTCAATAGATTAAGACAGCCCAGATTTCTAAAAACCTCGAGATTTCCATAGACGTTGCCTTCGAATTCCCCATTGGCTTCTAAGTAGTCCTGGTCATGGAGCTGCAGCTCATTGAGCTTGTCCTTTGATATGAGTATCGGGTTACCTGTATTGATCATAAGTTTTGCGCACGCTACAGGCCTTTTCTTCAGATTAACGGAAATATACTCACTTGGGAGAGATTCCAACCAAGCAATTTCGAGCTCAGCAGTTGGCTGTCCTCGGTAAATGGATTTCTGTGAGAATCCATTTTGGAATGTTTCCCATTGATATTTTATGGCACTGAAGGCGGGCGCTTTGGAAAGGTAAGCAAACTGCATCCATGATACCATTGGGCAGGGAATTCAAAAACCTACACCATGATGATACTGCTTTTGCGCAGTCCAAGTCATCAGGTTCGATGCCTTTGGCCGCGAAATGCAATATTAACGACGCACTAAAAAAGAGTGCTGCGAGAGTAGTATGGAACTGATTCGGCCTGTACATTTTGCAGCCTTGACGCACGAAGACAATCGGATTACAGCTCGCAGGTGGTGTTATATCGGTCGGGTTTGAATCAAATCTAATGCGAAAGAAAATGGCCAACTCACTCTCCTGGAAGCGTGGAGTTGCAGCAGTATTCGGGATAATGGAACTGAGGCCCTCAATTTTCGACACAGTGGAATGCCATCGACCCGTTTTCATGTGCTCTCAGCATTTGGTAATGTGGCCGACAACGGATGCATCATTGTGAACCATCGTGTTTGTAAACTTGAAGTGTATCCTGCAGTAGCTGTGTCGATCGCGTCTTTGCACTTCCGCCTTTGGCTATTGCGAGCCCACTGTGATGATCAACACACGAGACCCATACCTATTGCACAGCTATCGTATATGCCATGTAGACCACCATGCTTTGTGACTACCCTAACTAGGAGATAGATGTTGCACGATGGCATAGTCACGCCGACGAACGCGCGGACGGCAAGATGTTGTTGTCTAAGCACGTCATTGCCTTGCATAGTAACAAATGCAACCTAGTTATGTACAGTCGTCCTACAGTGTAGGTGTTGATGACGATCGCTGCAGCCCTTCGAATGCTGTCGGCTATCGGAATAGACTGCCGAGCCCATGCGTCGATCTTGGCTGACATAATTTCTCCGAACCGCATCAAACTCTTTCTACAATGCATCGGAGAAAAGCTTAGCCCACTGCTCCCGCCGCATCATCTTCACTGCATTAGTCCCGCGTTCACCCGCGACTAATACCTGGTAGTTATGGGCCCGACCCCTCGGCTTAGGGGAATTGTTTATCAGATCGCACTACGGTAGTTTCCGTCTGTAAGGCAAGCCAGCTGTTGCCAGCCATTAACGAACAAGGGAATATGACTGTGCTGAAACAGCTCAACGTACTGCACAACACATGAGGCACAACATAACTGACCACCGATTATCTCAGCTCCACTGTCTTTCTTCATCGCATGAGTGGAGGATAGCGTCTTATAGTAATACTCTTCGGTATTGACGCGCAATAGCCAAGTTCACAAGGCGATCGGTTCCTTAGCTGGCATGATACTCGTGATTTTGCTGCAGGACGGGCTATGAGTTACTTTCGTAGACGGGTAGTTTGGAGATTTTCGCAGAAGTTAGAATCAAAGAAATTCCACAAAGGCGTAGATTCTAGGGGATGGATTGATTCCAGAAAAGTATAAGAATGTCTGAGGAGTCCGTCGATATCCTACTCTTTCATTCATCACTCATCAATTTGATAACCCAATCACCTCACACTTGAGGCAGCACAACTCAAAATTTATCCATTAGCTTTCAAATCATCAGTAGCCCAACATGAAGTACCAAGCAGTCTTGATGTTGTCAAGCCTGAGCGCTTCGCTCGCCGCCCCTACACAAGAAAAGAGAACCCCTATTCCTTGGACGAAGAACTACGGTGACTACGAAGAGGGAGATTCCAAGAGAACCCCTATCCCGTGGACCAAGAACTACGGCGACTACGAGGAAGCCTCCAAGCGAACTCCCATCCCGTGGACCAAGAACTACGGTGATTACGAAGAGGCTTCTAAGAGAACCCCAATCCCGTGGACCAAGAACTACGGCGATTACGAGGAGAGAACCCCTATCCCGTGGACTAAGAACTACGGCGACTACGAGGGAGCTTCTAAGCGAACTCCCATCCCATGGACCAAGAACTACGGTGACTACGAGGAGGTTTCCAAGAGAACCCCAATTCCTTGGACCAAGAACTATGGCGATTATGAAGAGGCTTCTAAGCGAACCCCTATCCCATGGACTAAGAACTACGGCGATTACGAGGAGAGAACCCCCATCCCGTGGACCAAGAACTACGGTGACTACGAGGAGAGAACCCCCATCCCATGGACCAAGAACTATGGCGATTATGAAGAGGGAGTTTCCAAGCGAACCCCTATCCCATGGACTAAGAACTACGGTGACTACGAGGAGAGAACCCCTATCCCTTGGACCAAGAACTACGGTGACTATGAGGAGGAGGCTTCTAAGCGAACTCCCATTCCCTGGACCAAGAACTACGGTGATTACGAGGAGGCCGAGTCTAAGCGAACACCCATTCCTTGGACCAAGAACTACGGCGACTACGAGAACACTACCGAGGAGGCTGCGGTTGAGAAGCGCGTTCCCACCAAGGATGGCGCTGAGTTCTCTGCCTAGATCAGAGTATCCTCCGAAGCTTTGCTGATTTGACATCGCAAGCTTAGTGGTACTTTTTATGAGTACATGATAAGGGAAATTGGCCCCATTCAGGGCTGGATATGAGTCACTCAGGTATCTCATTACCTGGGCGAAGGGATTTATGAATGATTGATGATTTTAAAAGCGGCTTAATTTGTAGCGTGTTTGATAACACCGCTTATGAATATGCCGGGTCGCTCGCTTAGATAGTACACGAATTGAACCCGAGTCTTTCCTTACCACAGTATCCCAACTTGCACAATGTGAATATATATGGTTGTGAATGTATGATGTAGCATGATGATAGTGAATTGTCTTTGAGAGAAATCACGCAACCTAGATAATTACTCTGGAAGCTCCAAACCTACCGAATATCCATGGATTCGATGGTTAGGCGAGAGACAGCCATCTCCACCCATGAATCAACCACCTAAAGCTGCCAACTTCTTATATTTGCTCACCATACACCCAGAATTCGACACCGATATTCAAAGTAATTATGGAAGTGTGGGTGTATATAACATCGATATACGGAGCTACTCTCCTTTCATGGGGGGCAAGGTCTGATATCTCCGCTGGTTCCTCCCCTCTGAAAAAATGAACTTTATCAGTACCCCACGCGCGTACAGCTGACCATAATTACACTTTGCTTTCTGCTATGGGCGTATGACCTGCCAAAGTCTCTTTGATAAGACCTATTGCCGTGTATTCAGAAGTGAGTTTATCCAGAGTGTGTATAACAAGGGCAGATAAACTGGGCTTGGAACTGGGAATTCAGATTACAATGACCTACTAGGGCTGCAGTAGTCTTTGACCAACCAACTCCTTTTCGGCTGTTGGTGGCCTGACTTGACTCTATATACAAATGGTCTGCCAGCCCAGACCGCCTGGGTCTCTAGGGTTTGTTTCAAGAAGCGAAGTCTGTATAACCTCACTTTCCAATATTGCCCAATATTGCCTGCATGTCTTGAAAGATCATGAACAGCCTGCAATGGTCCTTCGTACGGCCGAAGTGCAAGGCGAACTGCATATTTCAGCCGGCACAGAGGTTACACGTGTAACAGTGTGTTGACATGAGACGTATTGATGGCCAACTGTCACGGAGAAGTAGATGCGGAACAGTAGAGCCTTATTGCGGAGATCGTCAATTAATTAGGAGAGCTCCAGCGGTAAGATTACAAGTTGAAACCTAGGCTTTGATTCATCTGAATAGACCTCAACCGATCGCTTTTGTTCGCGCCGCTGGTTCACTTCTATTAACTCCGCACCTCCGCGAAACCAACAGTAAACATAGTTCAAGTCAGCCACCAAGACGAACAAAAATATAGTGCCATGAACCTTTGTAGACCCTGTAGATTATTGTCTTGTAAATAGTATCAATTTCAGAGGCCGTCATCAGCCCTCGTTATAACTAGCATATTAACATTAACCCGTGCTCCGCTTCGCCAGCATAACACTCTATAGAAGTTCTTCTGGCCGCTGATATTTACTTATTTTTAATTTTATTTTCAGTCCAATATAGATTACTTCTATCACATTCGGGTGATCACGTGTAATGCAGTTAGTTATCTTCCAGTATGGCGATGTTTTTGGTTTACAGACGGAGTTTGGGATGGTAAATACCGCAGTTTCAATCTCAACTACTGTTTGTGCCGATAACTAGGTTTGTAAATTAGACGAGTTCAATACACCAATTCAGCTACCCTGAGAGACACCTGCAGAATGCTACGACGTCCGGATATGGGAGAGGCATCATGTGAATTGAAACACAACAAATTGATTATAGATATCTCTGTCTAGGTAAGTGATGAAGGTGAAAGTGCCCGGTGGCCTTTGTCGCACGATTTCTTGATACACCACTTCAGATTTCACCCAAGGGAATTAAGTCTGACTATCGCAGATCACATGGCGCGATATTCCATCACGAGCCAAGGTTTTTGCGTGTCATGTAACCGACCGCAGACCCTTTCAAATTACGCACCACCTTCCGCACGCATGGTGTTTCGGGATACCCTTTTGAGCTCTACCGGGCCTTGTATATACGATAATTGCGTGATTGTATCGTCGATGGTGTCTCCTACATTATGGTCCACCTGCGTTGGCTTGCGCGGCCTTGATCTTATCGTCTGCCTTCACTGCTAATGGTACACTGAACTGCATAAATGTTAGGTAATGTAAGAAGAAGATCGGCTAAGAATGGCCGAAAAGACTACGATGCTTTTAGTATTGATGGGCCGTTGGGTAAGTGGCGTGCTGTAACGGCAGCTATCGAGGCATTCCTACATCATCATCCTGCTAGTGGCAACTATAGCCGTGAACTCATGCTGTGGCCGCTGTCTTCCCGCATCCTTCTTTTTATGGGTTGTGATCCACATCAACTGACACCTTGTTAAGCTTGGAAGAGTTGCATACGCAATTTGGAGGATTCGTGGCTAGTTCTCAGGAACCCGTAGGGTCGCGGGCGAACGGGATACAAGCCGAAGGCAAATCAAAATACGGCGCTGAAAGGGATTGAACCAAACCCACTACGTACCCCGTCAGTCGTAGCACTCGAACTATGGGGTGCGCCGGCAATAGTGACGGGATCAAAGAGCCGGCCGCTAGTGCTGAATTTTACACGATATGCACAGGCAGGTGAGACAATTTCTAGCCCACCTTCTAGTGCGATCTGATTATGCAGGAAGCCTTCTAGCGTGGGGAGAGATGAATCCGATACCCCAGTTTCCAACATACAGGATCTACGGTTAGGTACATTGTTTGCATCTGATTATGGAGCGTTGATCGTCCCGACCCGCCCATGCAAGGTAGAACGGCTAGGTGATATGGGACGCAAACGATATGTGACGTAATGCAGTGAGTGTGGTGGCACCCAATACAGCCTAACACGTTGCAATGAAGCAGACTGGTAAATTCTGTGTGTAATACGCAGAGATCTGAATTGACTATCTGGTTGAGTGAAGTTGTTACTCTCTAGAAGACCCTAAGGTGAGTGCTGGCCGAAGTGGGAGTAGGGTGCCAGTAGTCGTCGCGTGACTGCTAGTGTCATCCCAATAACTAACCCAACATTGAGGGTGTGGAATAGGGTGGCTTTGTAAGTGTCGGAGCTTGGTTTAGTTAGGTTGCCTCTGCTTGACATTCGCAAATTCTGCCGAGTAAGGAAGCTCACAAGTCAATTTGAAGATCATATTGAATTGTCGTATGACTGGGAAGCCAGACAATGGAATGTCGACATCCTAACATTCAGATTTATTCAAGCTAATCTGCATGGTGTTGATACAACTAGAATTTTCTCGCCAACTAGCATAATACCGTCATTAATAGCGTGAAATGATGATAGATCGGTCATTAAGTTCGCTAAACCTAGAATATCTTGTGCATTGTCCGGATATCAATCATTACGCCTTCGTGTGCGAGCTTTTCTCGCCCTCCCCCGATGATCCTGCAGTTTGCTCGTCGGAAAGCCTATCCTCATCAATAGATTCATGGATGGATCCCCATTCTGGCCCGGCAATCTCTCTCTTTGTATATACCGTAGCGCTAGTAGATTTGGCTTTGCTATAGTCTGTAAGAGTCAAAGCCAAAACGAGTACCAGGAATAATGGCTCGAAGGGCATATCAATAAGCCAAAAGCGTGATGGCCAGAACATGCTAGCGAAGAGAGCTTCATCGCCAGCCCGAGAACGGATAAGAGCCCAAAGGTTCAATGTGCCAAGCCCAGCAGTCACTACAATGGAAATCACCGTGAAACCCACCAAAGACCGACAGACCGCTTCATGTCTCTGTGATAGGCTCTCGGCCGCTGATGACCGTAGTCGAAGCATACGGAAGAGCGAGACGGAGAAACATAGAGCCAGATAGCCTCCGAGGAAAACGTTCACGTACGCTGGCGTTTTGCTGCTTGACGTAGCTTGGAAATCTGCCAATGATGCGCCAGCAAAGAGAATTACGAAAACGATGACCATAAAACGTGAAACCCATTTGCTTAGGGCGGTCGGCTGACTGTCGCTTCGTCTCTGAGCGTAACTGAGCATATGGTGAAGAACGAGAGCATCCTGGCAGCCAGAAAAAGTGTACCAAGCAATGTAAATGATTGGGTGTTGAGATGCAGTCCCTCCAATCTCCAAAGCTGCCCATCGAATAAGAACTTGGATGAGAGAGGAGGTCCCGATCCAAGTCAAGGAAGGATTCTCCCTCAAGACAGTAGACTCGACGAAGAAACCCGCCAATACGAAATAAATAACAAGCCAGATCGGTGCAAGAGAGCCGTAGATGCGTCTAGTGTCGCTGCGAAACGTGGGAAGATTGTATCCTGGGGCGACAGCTGTCATCTCTGCCATGAATTCCCTTGCCGAGTACCCAAAGAGGGCTGTACAGTAATATCCTGGGCCTTCGACAGGATATTGTATCGATATAGGCTTAGATAGGTTGACAGCCCGAGTGATCATGGGACGCAAAGCGCGGCGGTGAGCGCGCTGGCTTATAAGAAACTGACCAAGCTCAGACTTATCACAGAGCCCGTGTTGGACATTTTCAGGGCTGCATATGACCTCTTTCTACAGAACGATCTTGTCAGCGCATTTACGTGCAGATTTATAGAGTCGTTGAATAATGGTGTAGCTATCACGTTACTGCTTACCTCGTTGTGACCATGCCGACGAACTCCCCCCAGATGCTCGTCCCGAAGGTCGAACATGACGACGCTCACAATGCCCTCACCGCCCTCAGCAAATTTGACGTATATGGACTCTGCACTCTGAGGGTTGAATATTTGCGTGCCTTTCATTTCGATGCATTTTTGATGATTGGCCCAGGTTCCATCGAGGTGAATGGTATGCTGAAATGCCGTGGCACACGCAGCTAAGAGAGCAACGACTGAGTGTCGGTATAACATGATAATAACACTGTTGGATCGCTTCTACGGCGTGACTGAGAGTGAAAGGGAAAATGAAGCATGTAGAAAAATCAAAATCACACTTACGAAGATGAAAGGTAAGGTAGGGGGACTTCACGTCACTCATTTATTATTTTCGACGATAATCCCTACCTCTCTAATGTGGCTGCAGAGTCTACCGAGCATATAGTGGGTGGGCTGTAAGCCGTCCTAGCGCCGTAGCACCCTTAGCAGCCCTTAACCCCCACTGGCGCCCGCCCCAACGCCACCCCTTAGTGCCCCCTTCTTGTCCACTGTACTTTTTTTTTTTTAACTAAAAATACCTACCTACAGTAGATAGGAGAAGCAAAAAAAAAAAAAAAAAAAAAGCAGCTGTATCAACGTTGGTCTTCTTTTCTATATTGCAAGATAATATTCATAAATAGCTAGGTCATGATGTGTTTTCCGATCGCGAGAGATCACGGTGAAGCCTATGAATTTCTATCTGCCATACCTACTAGTGAATCTTGTTGAATAACACATCCCTGCACCGCTTGGTAGAATACCTGACAAAACTAGCGAGTTACCCCGTCATTTAACACAATAATACTTTACAAACCCCCAAGTCCTTAGTGATTATCTGCAATGGTCCATGAACCCTCCCGGCTATCTTGCCAGTCCATGATAGCCTGGTAGTCTCTACAAGTGTGTTCTAGCATAGTATTAGCTATAAACATCTGCTTTCCTTCAGCCCACATGTGAGGGACTGGCGTTAAGTCGGCACTACACTGAAGGCTCTGCCTGAGTGTTTCAACACAATGGTCTACAATAGGTTCGATAGTCAGCCAATTAATGCATGCGTCGCCCAATCGGCAGGATTGGTGTTGAAACTTACCAACGTGCTGCGTAAACAAGGGAATGTTATCTCGTTCCTCGTGAATTACGGGATACCACTTGTCATAAGCAACCTTTCGAAGATAATTCAGGCAATGGAGATTGTGTCGTACTGTGGGGACGACATTGAATTTTCCATCATCCCCTGAGACACCACCCTCGATATCTGCGGCCTCTTGCCTCGTAAGAGGTACATATCCACCTGGGCATACAACGTCAATATTTGTTTCCGAGAATATGAGGATCTGTTGATGAGCATACCAACCAGGATATCCCAATTTTCATCTAGCTGAGGGGTTGGGTGACCGGTGTAGCGCTTATCGTTTGGGTCTAGAATCACCTCGAACTGATTTGTGTCATTCACGATAATCCCACCCCAGAATTTCTTCTTGTGAATTTTGATGGCCGACGTTGCAGGTTCTGCAATTGTAGAGTTAGCTATTAATTATTCAAGAACAATACAGTTGTGTTTTGTTCTCCACTTACGAAGCTCAGTTCTGAACCCAGTCTCGTAATCATTCCTGAAGCCAATTTTCCAGCCTTCAAATATCGAGATGAATAACGCGAAAGCCAAGAAACCCGTGGTGATCCTCCAGAGCAATGCACTGTTCCACGATCTGGTTACCCAGTCTGGATCTGTTGTAGATGTATCCCGCGATGATAGAAAACCTTCGGTTTCAGAATCACCCTGAGAGCTGTTTGTTTCAAGCCCATCCTTAGACGGTCTTGCCTTTTCATAGAGTGCCCTGAACATTGTGTATATCGTATTGTCTACTGACAAGATTAGGCACTGTCAAAAAATAGTGGAATGACAAAAAGAGCAGATGTTGCCCGAGAAAAACTGAATGATCAAGACTAGAGAGAAGCAATGGACGATAGTTTAGCAAGCAAGATGCGACGGGTTTCTGCTGTGCTCTTTTTTCCTCATGCTATGTCTGGTCCCTACCGGCTAGCAAATACACTCCGCCCTGTAATTCATCATAGGCGCTGCAGAATGGTGGGTAGGTCTATACGGATATGCAGTGTAGAAAGTGGGTGTCGATCTCGGGAAGATACCAAGGTCGTGGCAAGTTGCCTTAACCTTTAGTGCTGAACAATCCCTGGCTTCATAATACTGTTCGGCTCTGGTTCGGATTTGAACTAGATTGTGACAATGACGTAGCCCAAACTGCATGACAATGTCAATCATGGCATGTCGATTTATTGATTAGATCGGCGGGGTAAGTAAGATATTAGATTTGGAGCCAAGGAAAGTAAACCTCATTACAATACGGCGTACTACTTCTATGTTGAATCCGGATTAGCACATGTAGTAATTAACTTGCGATCTCCGACTTCGCCGGATGCAACCAAACACTGCATCAGATAGCGTTTCTCAGTAGTAAATTTACCGGATTAATCACCAAAATCACTTTAGTATAGACAATTAAATTATTCCGTCTACTAAGCTCCCTAATATGATGTAACCACGATTTCTTAGTGTACCTATCACTCTATTTCATTCTACAGTGTCAAACAAAGAATGGTTGTTAACCCAGTCAACAAGCTTTGAAAACTTGCGACATTTCCTTGGAGCTGATGCCCCAATAGCTGTCCCATCTAACTGCACTTGATATACGTAAGGTGTGACATCGCTCTGGCACGTCAAGACTTTCCTGAGCGTTGCTACACAATGGTCCACATGATGCCTCCGTGTGGCCGGGCCACCACTAAACGAAGGCAACTGGCTATAGTCCCAGTGGTCACGATAAATAAACTGTCGTACTAAATTCTGTGATTTTGAATGGTATAGATTAGCACATTGGTTTCAATTTAGGATATAAGGAAGTTTTACCAAGCAATGAATTTGATGCGCTCCTTCTAGCAGCCCACCCACTCCGCCACCGAGCTCGTCTTCGATATTCCGAAAATTTCCGTCAATTGAAGACTTGTTGAGTCCCCGAAGCGAATCTAGAGGGACACTGAATGCTCCAACTATAGGGTAATTAGCTGAATTCGAAAGGATTCTCAAGAACTATATGGAGAGCTGGACGCTTACAATCCCATAAGTCACCCCACGCTTTTTCAGACTTCTCGCTTGGATAGCCACTATAAACATCGGGCTTATAGGAGTCATCGAAAGAGCGCCATTCGTACTCAACCGCCTCGAGCAGAGGGCCTAGAGAACGTGAGTATGGAGTAGTATTTCATAAATAATGGAATTGGACACTAACTTGGCGCTGACATGCGTCGCGTACACTGCACGTCTCCTGCCCTATGGCGGTGTTGCTGGATGAATGTCGTCGACGACACGAACAGCGTCAAGGCAGACACCAAAAGTAGTACCCTGGGATACCATTGTTTGATCTTTTGATATTGACTGGAGTGCTGCGATTCGTCGACCAGCGTCGAGGTCGAAGGCGACGGAGATGTGAGTCGCTCGTTCTCTCCCGCATCTAGTGGTCGATAGGATCTTTCTTGCAATCGCCGATTAGGTATTCGACTTTTCAAGGCATCTAACAGTTTTGACATCGTAATGAATCTATATAGTCTTTGATTGAAATGATGAAAGAACAGAGGGTGCTCAGGGACAGCAAAACGATACAGCTTATGACACCCTCCTTTTGCTTCGTGAATGGAATTTAGAAAGGAGTAGGAGCAGCGATGGGTAGATGACGAAAGAAACGAGCTTCGAATAAGCCGGTAAGGTTAATACAATGAGATAGCTTTGTAAACGTTAGATGGACGTAGTGGCGTCGCTCGCCACTCAGTCGTGGTAGTTCTCTAGGTATTGGTATGACGGTGAACTAGCCATGCGCTGTCAACGTTTTTAGCCATTCAGCGATGCAACATAGAACCCTAGTGCCGATCAAGTACTGCCAGTCAGGATTGCCAGGATAATCGAGGAGGAACAGCGTCAAGGGGTGCCTGACCGGGTGTTTAAGGTACAAACCCCATCTTAGCCAAGATCAACATCAACCCGTTAAGGCTAATGCACTGTAGAAAGATCCAAAATGCAATGAGGATCAAAGCCCCACATTTCCCTAGTGTTACTCGAAATGGGAAGACCTACAGTATCTCAGATCCCGTTCTAGATCCTGGATAAACAAGGTACAGGCTGGTAGATGCTTGGCTTTTGTGCTATACTGACCAGGACCTAGAGAGTCAAACGGAGAGTCAATGAAGTCCACGTTCTTCTATATTTTCTTGTCACTTAATTCTAGTTGCTGGAAGTGTGCTAACTAGGCGTCTTCAGTTCATATTATAGTTTACGACGACCCAACTGTTTATGTTCCAACACGAAGCGCAAGCAACCATGCCACGCTTCGAGCATCAATATGCCCCGGTCGGCTCCTCGAGCGACGACGTAGAGTCAACTCACGCCTCCGAAGAGATTGTCTCACCAAACGAGAAAGACTTCAGATTCTTAGGATCCAACTCAAGGCTTCGTTGGAGACTATTCGGCCCCGTTGCGTGGTCACTCACCACCTTCCTCTTAGTTGCTGTAGTCTGTCTTCTGGGTGCCGCAGTCACTCGAGAGCCAAACGAGGCCGAATGCATCGCAAAGACAAGTAGCTGGTGTAAGTGTTTTCCGCTACAGAGTCAACGTTATTAGTAAATGCTTGACGCTCACCACCGATAAAACTATCTTACAGCCCCCGCGTTCGAAGCTGTGCGATATAGAAACATCAAATGGCAAAATACCTTCAGCGAGAAATCGATTTACAGAGGAAAACCAACAAAGGAACTGGAGCAGGCATGGTCGGATCTATGGAATTGTGAGTTTTGGTGATGATATCTAAAAGATACCTCTGAGCGATGGCTGACAGATGACATAATTGCAGTTGGCCCTGTCAATATTCCATATAGCGAGCTAGATAGAATGAACAAGTCACGAGAGGTGACCTGGGCAAGAGCGAAACCCGAAGATGGTGGCGGGTTGATTGGTTCACTTGAGGGTGAGATTTTTATGCTACTGTCTGCTCGCGATGAAGTCACAATCTAATCATTTAAAAACTGCAGTCTTCCACCACATCCATTGTCTTGACCTGGTTAGACAATACGTGCACCGGGACGAATGGGACTACAGCGACCAGCCAGCATTCGATGGCACTCCTGAGCAGGTATTAGAGGTAAGTATTCATCAAATCTACTTGATTTTCTACCTAGTTTCGCCTATTGACTCTGGCCTGAATTTTAGCACGTAGACCACTGCATAAACAGCTTGAGGATGGTTCTACAATGTACAGCGGATGTGTCACCATTCTTGATCAAGAGCGACCCTAAGCGACCACTGGGAATCGATCCAGATTTTAACTCGCAGCACAAATGCCGCGATTTTGAGGCTATTCGGAAATGGGCCAGGGAGCATCAGTTGGACAGGAAGAAGTATGAGAAAGATATTTCTAATCATCATGGGCATTAAAAGCGTGGATAGTCAGGTGTAATTATTTGCTTTACGTATAAAATGGGTTAAAATGGCTCAAACTATCAGTAACAAGCATGCGATATCTTGTTTCGGACCAAAGCAAAGTGACTAGATAATTGTAGCCATTGAGCCGTGAAAAATGTTACTCTATTTGCATTTGTCGCACTTTATCAAAACAACGTCGTTAGACGTGCAAGTCTAATGGTAGGATAAATTTTCCACTGAGTGTGCCAGAATTCCGAAAACTTCATATTTCTCATACAGCTAGTACTAAATTGATATGTCAAGCTCGACTTATTCCTAGTCAGTATGCCTATATAAGCACTGCGAGCTCTATTCGTCTAGCCAATCGAACGCATGGCTCGTCGATGGCCCGGCAGAAAACATCAGCAAGCCATACAATCAGAGCAATGAAGACTATGTATGCCGTTGCAAATCCTAAAACGTATCTCCACGTCTCTTCTCTCCCAGTTATAGTCCAGAGCTGAGGGAATAAAGCATATCCTGCTGTATGGATCATGGGGCCGTGAATGATATATAGACTGTAACTAATTCTTCCAAGATACTGAGGTATAGAGGAATTCAGAAGCCACTGGATTAACAAGTTCGAAGGTAATGTATGTGCAATGAGGTATACGAGAATTATCCCTCCGATGTTAGGCCAAAAGCGAAACGGTGCGGGGTCTGAAGCCGGGATGAGATTGCCAAATACGCTATAGCCTGGCGTATAGTCGATACAGAAATCAGGCGCGCTGAGAAGATGAAGACTGAAATAGAGGATGATAAGCTTTCCAGCAGTGAAAAACTTGCCAGACAGCTGCCAGGAAACACCATTCCTGTTAGTAGAACGATTGAGTGACCCTAGTGCAACGTCGGAAGTATCACCATCCCCGTTCTCAGAGAACTCCCGATCCAATGCGGTGTCTGCAATAAGCAAGCCGGAATAGAATAAGGATACATCCCACCGGTCTAGGGAGTACACATAGAGTATCAACACGATCATGACAAGACGCCGCGGTAAACGTCGCATACGTGTATATAAGGGGGTGACAAGGAATATGGCAAGAGAGCATCGCAACTCTGTAGGGATTGTCCAGAGATGTTCGTCGTAATGGTTCCGGAGATCTCCCCACCAAAAAATATTGAACATCTTCCAGGACTGGCCTGCCCAATCATAAATCTGTGCGCCAATCGAGGACTGGCGTGCGCGGTGTTCCTCTTCAATTATGGGTACCCAGGAAGGGTCTGTTGAGATCCGTCGCCCATGCTCATAAGCCCCGAGCGAAATGAGAAGTGCCGTTACTAAAGAGGCAAAGAGAGGTGGCAAGAGGAGGCGAAATGGGCGGCGGAAAAGACTCGAGGTTGTCGCGGTAGCTGCCTTGGTGAGACTAGAGGTGCTGTCACGACTGACTTTGAGAGACTTGTACGACAAGGCGAAGCCCGAGATAACAAAGAAGGCCGATATTGCCCACGTTCCGTTATACACTAAGCGTATGACGGGGAGTTGGTGGAACCAACGGTCATGGTGATTTTGCGAATCGCCCTCTCTCTCGCAATATGCAGCATCATGAGGGGACAAGCCGTATCCGTAGAAAACAAAAGACTGATAGGCATATAAAATATGAAAATTCATCACTGCGAATGCAGCGTAGCCACGTAGGCCATCTAAAGAGGATGTAGACCGGTTTCTATGACCTTCTTGGGGCTTTTCGTGGTTGTCTTCCTGAGAGACCCTTGGTTGAAGAAAGCTCGGTAGAAGGAATATTGCTGTTTCGTAACCCCATAGTTTAGCAGATATCACCCATTGACTCGCAGGCGAACTGCTATCCTTGCGAAAAACTCCGTCTTCTACATGATGAAGGAGAGAACGGAATTCTGAAAACCAAGACCGATTTGGTGAATTCATCTCAACTCCACGCCGATTCAGTAATTCTAGGCTCGTGTTTGTGCTTATGAAAACGAAGAAAGAAGCAGTTGGTCGGGGAAAGATGCAGAGAAACGTATCGACAGTTTTGATGTTAGGCATTCAAATAGTCAAACTAGTGAGATCATTTCATGGCAGCCGGTAACAAGAACCAGCCGCGAAAGATGCGGGCATCTTCGCGAGAGCTATGATAGTTACTCAATGAGGTTAGCATACGTGGATCTGGAAGCACTGAAGAATGTTGACCCATACAGAGTGGTTAGTAGACTTGCCTCACTTGCCAAGTTCAATGCAGCGAAGCGTTTCCGCTACCTATCCGCAGGTTCCGCATCCCTGTACATATCCGGCCGGTACGTCCCTAGTTTAGTGCTGACCTCCACTCAGGACAGACAGTTAGTTGAACATGCATTATGACATGCTGTGCAGCGGATCAGCTAGAAGAATTCCGCTCTACTCAATCAATAGTAATCTCCTCTGCTACTCGTGTTGGGGTTGGTTACGACAGCACCGTTTACGCTGAAACTGCAACAAAACACAGAGTTCCAGATGATTATTTTCTCAAAATCTTATTGAACGTTTTGCTTCGTCGGGATATGAATTCAGAAATGCTACAAAGCCCTGCTACCGAGCTACAGCGACAGCTGCAGTCGGGCGAACTAACAAGTGTACAGCTTGTCGGTGGCTTCTTGGACCAAATTACGGCGCACAATCATGATGGCATGCACCTAAATGCGCTGATTTCTGTTCTTGATCGGTCGCTGGCTCTTGACACTGCGAGAATACTTGATGAGGAGCGAGCACAGGGTAAAATCCGAAGTTCTCTCCATGGCATACCCATTGTTATCAAGGCACGCCAACACTCTCCTCAATACTAATATTGTCTAGCTCATCTTGTTCGCGTTCTGTCGCTGATGGCAGGTCTCATAGGACTGTATTGTGACAGACCCCCGTCTTGGGATGCCAACGACAGTTGGTTCTCATATGTTCTCGAAGCAGAGAGCAACTGGCAACGCTCCTGTAGTCGATCAGGTAATGGGGGTGTCGTGCTTGTTGATATTTCAAATATACATATTGACTAATGCGCTATAGTTACTTGAAAGCGGGTTGATTGTCATTGGAAAGGGAAACATGACGGTAAGATGCCTGCAAGATCGCTACTTAAATTGTACCTAACTATGTATTAGGAATTCTTGGGCCTTAAGTATGCAACCGCATTTGCATCGTTGTTCTCAACCTAGGCTATACGCTAAAAAAATTGACAGATCGGACAACACACCCATTGGCTGGAGTGCAGTTGGGGGCCAGACACTCTCTGCTCATAGGAGCCCAGATCTGGAGGAGAAAGACCAGCCAGTGAGTCAAGGCTAATAACATCAAGCCAAGTTCCATCTTATGACAAGTATGATGGCACTAAAGCAGCTTATTAGACTTGCGGGGGGTCTTCCTCTGGACCCGCCACAGCAATTGCAGCGGGATTCTCGCCTTTAGGGATCGGTACTGAGACAAGCGGCTCCGTAGTTTATCCTGCGAGTTGCTGCGGGCTATATGGCATGAAGTTAACCCCAGGAAGCGTTTCTACTGCGGGTGTTTTCAAACTGAGCAACACGTTCGACGGACTTGGGGTCCTTGGGCGGACGCCTAAAGACCTCGCACCCCTCACTCAGATAATCTTGAATAAAGAGCGTAGAGATACCTTTGGTACCCAAGCTCTCGCTTCAATCTCAGACAATTCGAGTTGGCTCGAACTAGGTATAGGCATGGTTGGTCCGACATGGGGCGTGGCTTTCGCGTTAGATAAATGGTCGGCGTCAGACGTGGTGAGTCCCTTGTATAGGTATGTTGATCATGCTCAATGAACGCCTAACATGGAGCGCAGAAATCGGCTTACGAGGCAGTTCCTGTACGCCTGAAAGAGCTCGGTACCAAGGTAGAGTATCCTTTAGATATACCTGACGGCGCAGTTCTGAAATGCGGCGAAGATAGCCTCATTACAGCAGCCTGTAAGCAGAATTAAGTATCCAGATGCATGACTCGATGGCAGAGGAATATTAACATGATATAGATGCGGAATTTCCGAAGAGGGTTGAAGAGTTCATAGCCAACTTTGAAGAGAATTCAACGCTTAGATGTTTGGCCGATGTCATCCGGTGGAATGAAGAGCATCCGGAAGCTCTACCAGCACGTAAGTGGCACCGAAATGAAAATTGATCTCGTAATTAAACCCCCGGTGCTAATTTCAAATGCAGCATATACCACTCAGACGGAATTGATCCGTTCACACGACAGTAAGATGTCAGAAGACCGTCACCAAGAGGTCTGTAGTGAGCTCCGCCGCCTCATCGTAGAGGGCCAGCTAGGCAACCTGATGAGCGAGAAGGGTCTGGACATTATTCTAGCACCTTCGGACTCGACCATGGTCTCTTATTCTGCCTGCGCGGGGTGGCCTATCGCCACTGTCCCACTAAGCAGGATGAAAAGCAATGGCCAACCATTCGGATTGTTTGCGCTTGCACGAGAGAATCGGGAAGACCTACTGCTTAAGTTCATGCATCTATTCGAAAGGGACTTCCCCAAAGTTGCTCCTGCGATGGGACCGTTTAAGGCTTGACGTTTCCCAGAGTGGCTGAAAGGAGGTAAAAAAGATGAATCTAACAGAGCTCTAGGTTTGAGGGAAAGGGTGAACATGTGATTATACGCGAAAATGCCATTGGAATCAAGTAACCAACTCTTTTAGTACCTTCCACCGATCATAGTCCGGGAATGACCGCACAGTTCTGGGAAATTTGGGACCGATTACAATGTGTGGATATAGAAATTCGTGAAAGACTATTAAATCCGAGGAACGAGAAATCGTTCGCAGGGAATGTCCACCTCATTTTATTTTATTTGTTTGCCTGTTTGCGTGATAGGGAGCGGAGCGACCTGTGCGCGAGGTACCTCTCCGATAGAACGGATATAGCTTTTCAAGACTTTAAATTATAAAGGGGCCCAATCTTAATGATTCCTTGCCATCAAATTGAGTGAAATTTAAGCACACCGTTTTCCCACTCCTTCGTCTGAGGGGTTTACGATGCCAGTATTCCCACTTTGTAGAGAATGGCGACCGCTTCCAATTGCTTCTCTTCAATGGCTCTAGCGGACATAGGAAATGTACCAGCTATTCCTGGAAATGTCTTCCAAGGGCAACATAATAATATTTATGATAATTTCTGTGATAAATGGGTAGCTGGGACGGAGTTGACTATGACAGTCGACGCAAGCGGCAACCACAAAGATTCCGCGGAGCGATTTTCGCGACGCGACGTCGATGTCAATCTCGATGAATACATGCATTACAATATCGATCTTGGCTTCACACCGTCTTTAGGAGGGAATGAGTGCGTCAAGAATTGTGTGGGTGCTTTCTCGCAAATGGCAAAGGATTGCAGATCCACGGAGAGTGAGCAGATATACCCTTACCCGTGAATATTAGCAACTCAACTGATTCAATGCAAACCTGTAGCTCAAGACCAGCTTATGGAGCAGAGCGGTTCTATAGACGTCGGCTGCGGCATATTCGACTACACCATTACCGTTACCACTCCCCGCGAAGTACAAGAGCGAAACTGCTACACCGCTGACCAGTTTGGACAGCACGACGACATTTACGAGCACAATGTGAGATTCATTTCAGGATTCACCTGTGCAGGCACCGCTATCAAACCGATCAAGCGCGGCAACCATTCAACTTACATTTCATACCCCGCTTACAACGGGAAACAACCCGTACAGATGAACATCTACTGGAAAGACGGCTGTGTACTAGATTACCCCAGCACTGACGAGATTTACCCAGCGAATCCATTAGAGTTGGACGACCCTGGAAATACCTTTTGCCAGGATCTACTTATAGAGAACTGGGAGAAATGTGATAACACGGGCGTTGGAGGGAATATACAGGCTGGATGCTTAGTGTACGACTTCAAGGCCGCGCACGACTGACTAGTCACGAAACGAACTCGCATGAAGGGGGAGCATTGAAACAAAGACGCATATGGTTTGAGGAACTACCTGGATACGTGCACAGTAATGCGCCGCGTTACATCCTCATTGTCTAATGTATTCTCATATTCGTACATACGAAGCTGCCGGGAAGTACTAGAAACGGAGGGCGTGGCCTTACCGCGGAGATCGCTTATGAATCAAAGTTCTACATGGCTAGTCTAACAAGTTACAAATTAGATTTTTAAGTATATGAATAGACCTCAAATGATCGCTCCTGACATGGCGCCGATTCACCTCCGTGTTGCTTTACGCTTCCGTGAAACAGTTTCGCATTTCCCAGAACTGTCTATTATGTATCATATCGTCAGAATAGAACAAGACAGCCCCATCCGTCCACAAGCGGGTAAGCGGTGTTATTTTCTTTCTGCGGTACACACGAAACGTTGGACAAAGACATGTAAACAAAGGACTGACTCAACTCTTGGAACAATCTGTCGTTCAAGCTAGTGTGCTTATTTCCTACAGCTTGAGCTCCATTGTAAGCTGCCCAATCAATGGCATGGTTCAATCTGCTCAAGCTTTTGGCCTTTACAAAACTACCTTCTTTGTTCAATTCCGTGCACTCTACCGTGTTTAGGCATTTAAATATCATAAATGTAGATCGTGTCCTAAGAGGACACTTGTCTGTATCTGTTGAGAGCGATATTAATGAAAAGCTGACCAGACCAAACTTTCAAGCAGTCCGGTCTGTAATCTAGTTGTTCCAAGAGGCCACTTTAGCCCATCTTCTATCAGAGTCAGGGTCTGATAAGAAAACTTACTGCTGTCCGATCGATCCGAGGTCAACTGAAAAGGCCTACTCAACTATGCAAGCAACTCGTGGCCGAAAAAGAAAAACTGGAAGTCACGAAGGAGTTGAAATTGAACGGATTAGTTTCGCACCACTAACGGGAGATCAACACATCAGAATATTGGAACATGAACAACACGAACCTGGATCCATCAACATTCCTAGAAAAGCCAGCTCTATGCCAAGGCTCAGCTATGTGGCTCAATCTTCTCCTGCCTCTGCCTTACCATGCCCAAAAGGTGACGATACCAGTTCTCGTTCCTCGAACCTTGACAAATACTTGATGATCTACGGATTGGACGGCCTGAATCCCCTTAGGCCGCCAGACCCCTTCCTCATATGTGACAAAATGCCGTATAATATCACGCCTCTCGCATCATGCCTATTTTACCCTCGTCCGCCTCCTGTTCTCCCGCAGCACATCTTGGAGCTACCCTTTGACAAGATCATGTGCCGGTATAACAACCTCACAACAATAGTTGATAATTACTTACGCTGGCATGGACTACAAGTGTTCGGCTGGTGGACGAAGCAAGATTTGGAGCTTGCTACTTCAGGGAAGATGCCGGCATTCGCAGAGGCACTATCGGATCGACCTGCGATCCCACCATATATCCTACAAACCCCTTTCGGTATCGTCCTTCTAGGCGCCCCCGTGATGTCTCATTTAATCGAAAGATATCATAAGGATCTGGGGTTCGACTACTTCGGCTTTTTCCTTAACGATCCGAGGGTTAAATTGAGCGAGCCCGAGCTTGAAACCGACGAGGGATCAGATGGATCTGATATCTCAATGGACAGTCTTTTCTAGCCGATACTCCATCAGGAGTGTAGTGTACTGCCTACTAGCATAGGATCAAATATTAACAATTGTGCTTAGATTTAGACAAGAGAAGCTCCATAGAAAATTATCTTGTTGCTAGAAAGAAACAAAAATTTTCAAAAAAAAAACTACCTAATGCAAGCACGCAGCCTACTAGAATGTTTTTTACCTAGTAGAATAAAAACCTAATACTACAACGTTAGTACTTACCCTTCTCAAAGTTTCATTTATTACTTAAAGCCAATCGATAATTGTTTCTTAGATGTCGAGCTTCCAATATCTTCCCATGTATCTACTTGGCTATTGGTTGCTTACCATGCGGCGCTTGGCGATTTGAGCTTGATTCTTAGCAGTGCTCTTGGCATTCTCTACCTAGGCATCACGCTGGGGTCGAGTATGGTATTTTAAAGAGAAGTGAAGAGAATGAGGAAGTGCAGCCTTGGTTGTCACTGAAAACAAAATCATTATACCCTTAGACTCTCAATGTCCAGTGTCCAGTTGGTCCCCTTGAAGTCCACCGTCTGAACAGAGTATCTCTCGTCTCCTAAAATTTGCTGCCGTAAGCAGGTCGATCGCCCTGTAGTTGTGAACAGAACCCTCATCTTCGATCCTCTCATTGTCTGGACAAGTTCTTCTAAGCACCCTGTTGTGCTGGAGTCGTCTAGCCAGTGTATCCCATCTATAATACAGAGCAGTGTATCAGGCATTAGTGGGAGGAGGTCCCGGAAAAGACCAACCGTCTCCGACCAACTCAGGATACATCCGTCTAAAACACGTAACCGACCCTCAGACAGGTCTACTGAGGCTTGGAATTTCGGAAGCAGCAGCTCTATCAACTGCCTGATCAGGGCACATATCAAGCTCATGCTTGCTTGAGCCTCACGCGAATCATTGCCGGACCTGAGCTGCTCACCACGGCGTAGTTCACAACGACTAGACGAACACGAATCAGCTTGAGATCAAAAAGTTCAAACGAATTTCACTAAGAAAGGGCAATTTAAACGTACTATGAAATCGTTGGAATGTGATTTTGCTCGGCTAGCTGGATGATTCGATTGGCAAGTACATCAAAAGGGTTGTTGATATCGTCTGCAAATATTCGGGGTCCTTCGAGCCACAAGAGATATGATGTAGGATTCTTCATCCACTCGGAAAGTCGTCTGATGATGCCGGAGCTCACGCCAGTTGGCCCAGCACGGTCCTCCTCGAGTCGAAATCTACCTCGATCAAAAAAGTCTTCTAAGTGTTTAGAGCTCAATAGAATATCTTCTAATGTCCAATCAATTAGTGCTTGAGAGGATCCGCCAGGGGTAACGAGTAGTTGGCTGGGAAACCCAGGAGAGCGCCTTTCTGTCATTAACATCCTCCTTCCGTCCCCAGCGGCCCGTGAATCTTCAATCCATATCATTGCCTTATTCTCCAGCATTTTGACGATTTGGTCAGCAAGCCATCTGAAGTTCTGTCCGTCTTCTCTTAGTTGTTGCCTTTCCTTGCGACCTTCGTATAGTTCCCTCTCAATGATCTCGGCATAATATGCCATCTCTGCTTCTTGCCTTCTCTGGCCAGTCAACCCAAGTCTGACATCCTGAGCTAAGTCCTCCACTGCAGCTCGGACATGCCGCTGCTCCGCTCTAGAGCACTGAGCAGCTAAGTTCTTGATTCTTTCTGATTTTTGCTTTATCATACTAAGCTGCTTCTCGAATTTCTGGATGAATTTCTCGTTGAAGGAATCAAGAAGTCTACGTCGCTTCTTCTCGGTGATCCATACCATGACATCTGAGAGGAAAATGAAGATGTGGGCATAAAGATCAGCGATCAATTCCTTCATCGCTCTAGTATGATAGATCTCAAGCTCTACCTTGCAGTCTGCAACATGTTCGCTGATCGTGCACAGTGCCTCTGAGAAATCCTCAGATATCCGCTCATGATTAACACTGGCCTGGATGGTTGTTAGTCTAGGGCAATACATCACAGGCTGGATGACTTTACCTGGATAATGACATTGAGCGTCCCAGCGAAGACCGACACGTATTCACTTCCCTCAGGGATAATTTTCAGTATTGACTTATGCGCATCAAGAGTCTCACAGAATTTGTGGAAATACTTCATCGCTTTCCCCCTGCGACTGTTCTGGTTCTTCGCTCGACTAGTCGTACTAATTTCTCTCACCAAGTCAATAACACCTTCCATTGTAGGCTCAGACCGGCTCACGTCAAGGCGGTCATCACTAGTACAATTATTAAGGAATGACTGCCACTTTTGGAGAAGTTTATTCGACTCGATGGTGATCACGTTGGTGATCGGGTCTCTGTATAGTTTTCTTAGTTAGCGCCATATTCCTTTTGAACTTCAGGATCACTCCAAACCTTTCAGTATTAGATAACTTAGGAGGGTCGATGAACTTCTTCCACGGATTTGTAAAAGATTCTGAGTTTGGTTTCTCCCGAGACAATGCCTGACCTAATACTTGGCTCTTGCTGCCGGGGGGTAGTCGTCCCTCCACGTCACCACTATAAACCCTAACAAGTCTTCGCGATTCACGGACATCGTCGGCGATACTAGCCATGTGCGTCGAGATACATACAAAAAATTCTCTTACGAACTTAATTCTGTTAGAATTGAGTTTTACTGAGCAATTTATGGGCAAGTCTCATCTTTTAACTTGTTATGCAAGGGTCTATGTCGGCTGCAAGCCAGAGGTCATGCATTGATGAGCAATGCCACGATGTAAGATGAGCAATATGCATGTCAGCAATTGAGTTCATTCAGTGCTACCCAATAGACCAATTATATCCATCATCATCTTCCCTGGGGCGGCAGGCTCTTGAAGGCAGACATGGCCCCCGCACTAGATTTGGGGGCCAGGCTCGATGAAGGGAAATAAAGAAGCAACTGTCTCGCCATACTGAGCGTAGTTGTTCCTTTCCATGTTTGATTTATTGCCTGTTTTTAGCACTCAATCAACCTCCGTAAAGGTTACGATTACGCTTCTCCAAATGGAGCCGAATCAACCTACCCAGCAGAGACCAATCGAAGACAAGGCGCGGATAGAATATCGCGTCGAATATAGAGACCGTGACACAAATGAGCTTGTCCGCCACCAAGTTTCTGAAGAATCCGACCTTCATGATGCTATTATCAACGATGAACCAAATCTTTCGGCTTTTACATTAATAAAGACATATAAAATACAGGGCTCATCGTCTTCATCACCACCCGCATCCACTAATATCACTTCCCCTCCATCATATAGCCTTCGCTTAAACTCAGTGGCTATCGTGAACGCTCTTCGATCTGTGGTCCAGTATTATCCATCTCAAGACTTGACTGGGGATATAATCATTGAGTGGCCGTACCCTATTCTGGTTCACCACTACGATGAACTCACCAAGTTTCGCGATGAAGTGTCACAGAAAGATTCAAGTGATCTGTGCGAAAGAGAAAAGGGTGTACAAGAGGATCTTAGCGTACTTTTACAGTACCTAGACAAGAGTGTCATGCCAGACGTACAGAAAGAAAAAGAGCGGAATGAGAGGGGCTTATTCACGTTCAAGGATATGTGGATTGCGTATAAACCTGGAACAACCATCTTGGGTCGGTTTAATGACGAGACCAAATACCGCCCATTGGTTATACATTCGGTTAGCGGGGGAGTATTCGCGTATCCTCCTCACCATTGGACGATTCAATTCTGGCAGATGAGATATAACGGAGCTTGTTTGGGTAGAGTGTTGGTCACAGATTTCATTGACAAGTTCGACGGCGAGGCTAAGCTCAGTAGGACGATATTTGTGGGTAATTTGGAAAATAAAAACGATCTGCCGGATATTGTATCGATACAAGTGACCTACGGGGAGATGTATTGGAATCTCCTTCGAAGACAATACCGACAGTATAAGGGAAAGACTCGAGACTCTATACCCAAAGAGGTGAGCAGTGATATACCATCATTAATTAATTACAGCGCAGCTGACGAAATGACAGATCGATAGCCCAGTGATGGTCGACATAGAATCCTTTTATGAAGATACTAAAGAATCTGAGCCAAGCCTAATGAATGTCGACGATTGTCGCAACTGGATGTCAGACTGCAAATGCAGGGTCTGTAGAGAGAAGCTCAAAAACGCAGACGATTACATCAAAGTAGTCCCACTCTTCGAGGATTACAATTACATCACCATTCAAACTATAGATACCTTAACTACGCATCAGTACTTTCTTTGCACCTCTGAGATGCCGGCATTTGTTTTCAAGACTCGGACATGGGGTAAGCTCTGAAACCCAATTTTTAGTCACTGACGCGATGAAGATACGTGAGCTAACTGTTCTCAGAAACCCTCCACGTAGGTGGTTTCACGGAACTTAAGTTCGAAGAAACATTGATCAATTCCCTGGTTATGGATCCCCAACGAAAGCGGACGTTAAAAGCGCTGGCAAAGTGCTTTTCGAGATTAGACAAAAATGAAGATCAGTTGAAAGAAGAGCCATGGACGGCGGACTTTATTCAAGGCAAGGGCAACGGATTGATCTTCTTACTGCATGGACGCCCTGGCATTGGGAAGACTTATACTGCAGGTAAGCTCTACCAACTGGCGAACTTTATTGGGCTATTCTAAGTTGATGAAAGAATGTATTGCTGCGTTCACCAAGCGACCGCTCATGGTCTTGACACCTAGTGATATCGGGACAGATCCTGCATCGATAGAACTCAACCTGACTAAAAATTTCAAGAGAGCCAAAAGCTGGGGGGCAGTTCTCCTCATAGATGAGGCTGACGTTTTCATGGAACGCCGGTCTGTTGCCGACCTAGTCCGCAACAGTCTGGTAGCTGGTAAGTGTGATTCAGCCACCTACAGCAACATGTGATCCTTACAATGAGCTAGGATTCCTCCGAGCTTTAGAATTCTACGATGGAATCCTATTCCTCACAACAAACCGAGTCGGCTCGTTCGACGACGCGTTCATTTCACGCGTGCACGTGCAGCTATACTATCCCGACTTTGACGATGACCAGCGACAGCAGATCTGGCAGACATTCGTCGATAAACTCTCAAAGGTTAGTTCTCTGGAGTCATTCAAGTCCCCATAGACAAATATCGGAACTCATCGCTGCTGCGTACTCTCGAAACATGAGATGAGAAGCCCCTCTATATCTAGCAATTACTGACGCTAGCGTCTGTTATAGGAACGCGGTAACTCTATGCGGCTCAACCTCAACGCCAAAGAATACATTCGTGGCAATGAGATGCGGGCCTTGAAGTGGAACGGGCGAGAGATTAGGAACGGTAAGCCGGGTTCATTCCTCGACCTGAAAGGACAAGCAATATCTGTTCCAGTTAAAGCAGCTCCATCCGGCCATCGCGCTAACAATGGGACAGCCTTCCAGACAGCGGTCTCGCTGGCCGAGTACGACGCCGAGAAGGGCGAAGACGGCAAGATCATGATCACAGACGACCATTTGAGAGCCGTCGTTGAGCTCTCACGGGATTTCAAGGAATACCTAGGTGAACTACACAGAGGAGACGAGGCCAAGAGAGCTGAGAGGAACTACGAGCGACTGGACTCGTATGCTCGCTCCTGAAATTTGGGGAAGAGGAACACGACAGGATCGATCTAGATTAGGAATTTCATTATTGGGTAACTAGCTACTTAGATATTTTCTCATTTTTCTTTATTTTTATAGATTTTATGTTTTCAGTGATTGCACGTGACCTGACCCTGCCTTAAGTCACTGCCCCTGCCGTGAGTAGGTATCATAGCAAACCATCTACGCAACATTCCCATCACTCAATCTCGACCTTGTGAACCTCCGTCCAATCCTTCTCTGCCTTCGGCACAGTGACGATCAAGATGCCGTTCTCCATCTTGGCAGTGATGCCATAGCCATCTACGTCCTCGCTGTCGCTACTTCCCGGCGGTGGCAGCTTGATCTTCCGCTCAAACATACCGACATTCCTCTCGCCCGAGACCAGGGTGCTGAGGAACTCCTCGCTGCCAGGACGGTACGCGACACCTGAAATAATGATCGTTTGCCCATTCCAGTTCACGCTCACGTCCTCTTTGGCGACACCCGCGAGCGCGACATGCAGCACGTACGCCTTTTCGTTGCTGAATATGTCGACGGGAGGTGAGAAGGCGCCATCTTGCTGCCCTTGGGTTTCGCCTTCTTGCTGAGGGGTGTGGCTCGCAGCACCGTCTCGAAATTGGTGGGCGTAGTTGCGCCAAGCGTGTGCTAGGGGGTGCGCCGACAAGGCTTGCATGAGAGGTCCGAAATCAAAAGGGCCGTTGTAGTTGGGAGGCGACGGTGGCGAATGGTGATGGCGTCGACCGCGAGGACATCGCCCACCCCGGCCGCGCGAGGGGCCAAATGGTGGCGGAGGTCCATGATGATGGAAGCTATGAGGGGGTGGGGGTGGATGACTGAAACCTGGCGGAGGCGGAGGGGGCGAAGGGTGTGTGCTACCTTGTTCGGCAGAGTTTCTGGCCGTAGCATCGGTGTCAGCTGCCTCGTCTACATGAGGTTCCTCATCGCCGGCGCCGCCATGTGTAGGGTTCCCGGGACCGCGAAAGCTATTGCGGCCACGGTATCCGTGAAACCAAGGTTGAGACCATGGCCCGCGCCACTGCTCAAACCCACCAAATGGGAAGCCGTTAGGAAATTCGACATTAGCCTGGCCTGTTCTGGGTCCGGGCTGCTGGCAATCCTCAGCGAACTGAGCCCAATCCCAGTCGAAAGGGGGCGCCGGACGGCTATTGCCGTTATTGTTGTTGTTATTGTTGTTGCTGCTCATTTGCGAAGATTGCGAAGGATGTCGAGTGAATCCAACAAAACAAGTCTAGAAATGCGTGTCTGAGGATACCTTATATATACCTACTCAATGGTGACACCTCTATCTACGCATAATGAGGTAGCGGACATTTACAGTAACCCGAAGGCAAATCACATACGTATATGGCACACATGTTTACAGCTAGAATGACCTAGAAACCAATAAAGCAGCCCCCAGGCATACCACATAGTGACACGCCCTCGAAGAAACGACTTTGTATGACAGGATAAGCCACGCGTCTCCAGCTCTGATTTGATGATTATGGTCGGCAGGCAGACAACATCTGATGTGAGTGGCGCGATGGAGAGTTAGGGAGGACGGTCGGGAGTACAAGTCACACTAAAAGTGCCTACCTACAGAGCCGCGCGTCATAGAAACTGAAATGATCCCCCTAAGGGCGGGCAGAGGCGGGATAGGCAGCAGCTATCCGATCCTTGTACCTTGGGGAGTTATTGAATCCATTCGAGATTCATTTCTTTGGCCGGGGCCGTATTTGCCACCTCCAGGCTGCTCGACAGCTTCATATCACGCGATTATATGGTACCCGCGATAGATACATATTTTGTTAAGTAGGGCGTTCGCGCTAGGTAGATAGGGCTCGGTAGGTTCCATTTATCAGATATAAGCAATGGCATGTAGAATTCAGTGTATTGATTGATGATCTTGTTCTTATCTGTGCCACGCGTCTGCTACGCAGAGATTTTACGAGGGCCCTTGTCTTCTTAACGTAGGTCTACCCTAAGGTCCCCGTTTACCCAATATCCTGGCTTAAGATATAACCCCTTATATTTGACACCATCTTCTGTCTCAATAACTTCAGCTGAGCAATCTCGATCCCTACTCCGACCTCCAACAGATAGGGGGACACTAAAAGGGCGTAATATTCTGTTTGAGTCATAAGATTGGTTAAAATGAAGCTGTATCTCCAAGTAGGGACCTATCTAGGTAGTACCTGTACCCGTCCCTCATAGAGTATATAGGTACCTAGGTAGGTACCGAGGGGGTATCGCCACGTCATACACAGCCACAGAGTGGCGCTCATCTTACACGTAGGTACCTTGGTACCTGCATCTACCTATTTTACATTTCATCTACCTCAATTCGTAGAGAACCAAAGTTGGGAAACTCCCATGATGATAATTAATGGCTTCTTATTGTGGTCTATCTGTCTCGTTAAGTCTCACAAGTTTCATGTTCTGCTCCTTGTACCTATATGCAGTGATCGACACGGAGTCCGTTTGAACCCCAGCCATCTTTCCATACAGCCTCAGAGCCTGCTGCCTTATTATATGATCTATGCAGATTTCAAGCCACTGGCAGATATCTCGACCTTATGATTTGCCGAAAGTTGCTTTTCTAAAAATAATGGCATACTTGTCAGGAATACCTGCAAATCCGCGACGCTAGATAAGTGTTTTTACTTGACCAGTAGAACCTCTTGCTAGAATGCCTTGTTGGTGATGGTGTCTGCCAGGCTGTGATGGTTCTTAATCGTGCATGTGTAAGCGATCTCTGATTCTAGGCTTGTATCTCTTGCCGTACACGACGTGACCTTAGCAGCGAAGAATTCAGGAGGGTATCTAATGTCCTGCCCCCGAACGGTGAGTGTATCACCGCTTGTTACTACCACACTCAGGTGGAGGATATAAGAACCCTTACTTAGACTACGCCCACGTAAAACGGCATCTTTTTTTTTTTTTTTTTTGACAAATTGCGACAGTCACACGAGCTCGGCTGTGTTGGGATCATATCCTCCGGCATTAAGCTCTTGATTAAGCTGTGAAATGACTATGGCATATACAGGGCTTGTGCTACTTTACTAATTCCTATGAAATGAGACACACATATTACTGGATCTGGTAGCAATCCACATATAATCTAAGAATCGCAGTCAGCCCCGTTGAAGAGTTCGTAGGGCCATGGATTCTTTTGGGCTCATTCCTTCATCTCCCAGCCGTTCTTCTCCCTGTTGGCTTTGCGTATAATAAATAAGCTGCAAAAGGAAGCCCGCCGCGGCCTTACTTTCTCTCACTATAACATGTATCACTCCCCAGCCGCTACAAGCATGTCAACTACCGAGACTCGACCATCCTCTTCTCGGGTATCTCTCGATAGTCTCATCATCGACGACGAAGGAGTTGCCACAGAATCAGGTCTTACTCCGAACACTGGCCGGCCCGCCTTGAACCATTGGTTCTCGCCGTTTGCTCAAGCCTGGTCTGATCTTCGAAGTAGCAACATCAATTGGAAACTTTGCATCATTATAATTTTGCTTGCTGTAGGCTTCAAGCTGACCCTCAGCTTGCTACTCTTCGATAATGATTTTTTCTATGGCGTCTGCACTAGCAGTGGATCATTCGACCCTCTCAACACCCAACCAAATCTATATGCGATTTCCCAGTTCTTTCAGGTCAACCATGGATTAGGACATTTGACTTTTACGCAAGCCAAAGTGATTGATACATCGTGGGACTTGGTTAGAACCCCCGTCTTCTTTCTTGTGAGAGCAAATGTGTCGCTAATATATGCATCCACGAGTCAGGTTGTCGGCCGCGGAGGACAAATGGTTTTGGCCCTCGTGTCCTGGAGATTATTTGCAGACTGCGCTGCCGTCTCTTTGACAAAGCAACCTCTCTCGTTTGCCGTCTTTCATGCCATCTTCTCAGATAACGAGCCTTCAATTGTATCAGCTTGGCGTGTTACAAAGAGTCTTATCTTCCAGAAACGTCTTGCCTCTAAATTGAGTAGCGCTTACATCATTTTCAGTATGCTTTTCATTCTAGCTTGGCCAACGTTCGTCAGCTCGTCAACGGGTTACGTTCCGATCACACAGCTCGTGATCTCTGAAAAGGGCAATGATGCGAGCCCTAATCTAATTCCTTTCTCCCATTTCCGACCCGTTGCATATACGATTCAGGATTTTTGGCGTGTCGACACTTTGAATACTAGTCTTGTAGTTGTGGACGATTGTAAGCATGGTTCAACTCGTTGCACGTATTATCAGACTAAACGAAACTCCTAGCCGAAGAGTGCATATACGATCCCGAGGAGATTGAATGCTATTTACCTTGGAGTATATCCAACTGTGAGCAAGCGAAAAGCTATTCGTTCCGTCGATTGATTGTTTGCATACCCTGTTACTGAGATCGTCAACTTAACCTGGAGGGTACAGACACATCAGAGTATGGATTCTATGGTCTATCAAACAAGCCATCCTCTTTCATGGGTGTGGACCTCGATCCACCATCTTTGAACATAGAAGCCTGGTATATCTCTTCACCATACAACAACCAGGTTTCCGAGTTGTACGGTTGGGATTGGAATGACCCAAGAAGCCCGAATGGGAGTGTCTATCCTTTCCGCGATACTTCAAGATTAGCTTGGGAGTACTCAAATAAGATATACTGGCTCAAAGACATAAATAAGAGGGGATCCTGTACGCCCGAAACTGATGTATGTTCCACCTCGTCGATTACTATCTACCCTCTTCCACATAGTACCATTCAGCTAATTCTTTTTATTTCTCCAAAGAGGTACCAATGGGGCGTTTCCTTTCTCCAGATTTTCATTATTTCCATTTTGCTGAGCCTTTGGGCCCTTGGAGCCTTTCTGATGTGGCTCTTCTATCATTCGAGGTTGCAAGCTACTGCGAAGCCCGAGGTCCCCAGAGGCTATCGAGCTCTGGAAATGCTGACGAGAAATATCAATGAGCAGCTACAGTGTCGAGGCTTTGAGCTTGCTGAATTGACCGACCATGATGCCAAGCGTTTGATAGAAAAACATCTAGAAGGGGGCAGGATCTCATTGAAGGGATCAATCAAGGTCCCATCATACCAAAGCTGGTTCTGGAAAGAATGGCCTTACGCCATTCTCTCGACAAGTCTTTTCCTGTCTTCACTCGCCTTGTATCTGTCAACATATGATGGGACGTCACCATTTGTAGCTTTCAACTTTACTTTCTCTGCCTTTTTGGGCACTTGTTTTGCTATGGATGTGGGTAAAACATGGGGAAGCAGGTTAGTTGTGTTTTTTCTCTGGGCGGTATTTGGGACTTTCCTAGCGGTTGGATTTTTGTATGGCTTTGATTGGATATTCATCAGCAGTTTCTAGTATTAACTCACGATCATGTCTGTTTACTCAGTATTAAACCTTCGCTTAATTATTTATTTTGTACATTTTATTGTAAATTGTTGGAATAGGTGGAGTAGGGTACACTCAAGCCTCTGACTATATGTATCACTAGATTCCCCCAGGACTTCAGGTGCTTTGGTTCTTCTCTCTTTTTCATCCTGAATACTACACACTTCTGCTTACCTTGTATGCGTCCCCACTTCCTTTGACATAAATAATTGCGCGAGAAGAGGCGAGTAAGTATTTTCTAACGGTTTGGAACATAATGATCCGTATCGTCTCTGTCTATAACCTGACTACTTTTAAGAAGAGATGGAGTATCGGATTAGGGTTGATGATTAAGCTCACATTTGGTGTGATTATACTAAACAAGGAGGCAGCGATGAACGTGACCACGACAAACTATACGAATGCGATGTCTCTCAAGGCAGTTTGACTAGGAGTTTATAACAATAACTACCGGAGCGGGCATAGCTGTCCGCGGCACATTGTAGATGTCACGGTGGTCTTGGTCGGCATGTTACCTAGGGGTACAAGCACTCTCGCGATAGATAGATAGTATTGAGATAAGCCACTTGACGTTTTGCGATGACCAAGTCGATGTATCCACCATGTCCATGGTGCTTGACCTGCGATGCTGGAGAGGGTCATACGCTAGTAACCGAGACACAACGTCGAATTTTGGGGGAATTTTGAAGTGTTGGGTGAAGAGTTTCGATGTTTCATACAGGGCAAACTGTCGCGGCGCGTCGCGTCGTGTCGCGTTACAAACTATGCCCCGCCATACAATTGCTATAACCCCGCACAATTGCTTCAAGAGGGGTAAGCTAATTTACCTATGTTACTACAAAGTAGGTAAGGAGTGAAGATGAGCTCTTCGAGCCGTGAGCTATCAAACCATCTGGCTTCTGGTTCATCGCATATCGAATCACTCATGGCTATTGCGAAGGGTAACCATAGGAGAAACGAAGGTGAATGCCCCACGGTGGAATCTAATAATATACACGAGTCAGATGAAAACAGCATGATGAGAAATTACTAGGTATGTTGCTATCTCTGGATCCAGGTTAGGTTACTACTGGAAACTAATACACTAGCAGCTTGCCGCAGCGGTGACATCAAGTATGTAGCAACGGCAATTGTGTGTTTTCATGTACAGTATTACCCCCTACTCAACTTTAATGCTCAAGTACACACACTAGGCAAGGCTAAGAACAGTCCACCTTGAGAGCTTTTCCGCGCAAGTAACTGATGGCGAGATACCCCTTGTGTGGACTACACTAAAGTTAGCCTGCAAAAGCGACCCGACGGGAATAGCTTTTACTGGGCATCAAGCATGTATTGCTAATTATCCGCTTAAATTGCGTCTTCAACCCTGCATTAAGACGATGCAACGCTTAAGGATCGTCATATACGCCGAGCCAAGCATTCTCTGAGGGGCCAAGTTAGTCAAAAGCTTGTGAAGATAAATTGCGACAGAGTTTCCTCCTGTTACAGAAGTAAGTCAATGGTAGTTAGTTAACCAAAATTGTATCGTCCTGCTCACAAGCATGCATCTCATCTTGATCTACGGACTAGGGCTTATCCCTTTATGCTTCGGCATTGGGGCTCAGGCACAGCGCCCAAACATTGTATTCATAATGACGGATGACCAGGACCTTCACCTCGGCTCTCTAGACTATCAGCCCATACTCAAGAGAGAGTTGATTGAGAAAGGAACCACCTTCTCTCGACACTACGTAACTGTGGCCAAATGTTGCCCTAGCAGAGCCTCACTGTTGAGAGGCATGGCCGGTCATAATACTAATATAACCGAAGTCAATGCTCCCGGGTGAGTCGTGTTAGTGGGACAACATGATTGATCGATGATGGCTGACTTCGAGAACAAGGGGCAACTGGGACAAGTGGCTGATATCTGGGCAGAACGAGGACTATTTGCCTCACTGGTTAACAGCAGCAGGCTACAATGCTGAGTGTATGGGTTTCATGACCAAAATACTGCCTTATACTGACTGAAACTCTAGATATTGGCAAGATCATGAACGGCTATAACACGGCAAACTATGCTCAGCGGCCTGCAGGCTGGACTCATATACAAACCGCCGTGGACCAATATACCTATGAGTATAATAACGTCGTTTTTTCACTTGACGGAGAGACACCGGTTTCATATCCTGGGTATCATCAATCCGATGTTATTCGTGCTATGAGTCTCGATCGAATTGAGGAGCTATCTACTCAAGACAAGCCATTCTTCCTCGGCATAGCTCCAACATCGCCTCATATGGAACTCGGCGGCGGCAAGTGGCCTGTTCCTCCAGTGCGTTACGAGAACGAGTTTCCCGGTCTCAAAGCGCCACGGACGGCGAACTGGAACCCGAATGACACATATCAGCAACAAAAAGCATCTTGGATCAAGGGTCTACCACTCCTGAACGAGACCACCATCGAGAGACTAGATGGGCTTTATCGCGCTCGGGCGCAATCTCTTCTTGGCGTTGACGATATCATTGAAGATGTAATCGCCAAGTTGGCCGAGAAGAACATACTGGATAATACTTACATCATATATACAAGTGATAATGGCTGGCACATTGGAAACCATCGCATTTCAGCCGGCAAGTCGCTTCACTACAAGGAGGATTCGAACGTACCCTTCATCGTAAGAGGGCCCGGTGTGCCCGCAAACGTAACATCGTTGCTCCCAGGAGCACACCTTGACCTTGCACCAACGTTTCTTGATATTGCCGGTGTGCCCCCCGACGACCTGCGATATCCACGGTTTCTTGATGGGCGTAGCCTCTTGGACAACTGGAAAAACCCGGCAGCTGAACTTACGCAATGTCCCGTAAACGGAGGCGGGCACGAGGTCATCAATGTCGAATACTGGGGCATAGGCGAGGAACCAAGTCCCTGGGGCCAGGTCCGTCATCCCAACAACAGTTACAAGACGCTGCGCATCGTGCACCCTGATGGAGGGACGTACTTGTACTCGAAATGGTGCACTGGAGAGGCGGAGCTGTATGAAACGGCGTCGGACCCGGGTGAGTTGACAAATCTCGCACTCAATGCGGATCAAGATGAAGATAGAAGTAGACTCATCTGCCGCCTGAACGCTCTGCTTATGGCTGCCAAGTCCTGCGCTGGAGATACCTGCCGCAATCCATGGTCGCTTCTACAGCCTGAGCCTGAGCGACGCGCTGTCTCCGTGCAGTCGAATTTGACTATCACATGTCTAGAGCAAGCTCTTGAGCCGAAGTTCGACGATTTCTTTGCCTCGGTTCCTGAGGTCTCGTTCGAAAAGTGCATGCTGTATCAGTACAGACCTAATGAGATACCTTACTGGCCGGAGAATGTAGACTTGGGGGAGTCGTTTCGGAAGCCGACGGATAATTATGTCAGTTCGTCGCCGAAGGGAAAAAAGGTCGTGTCACAGGGGCACTTTGGCACTGTTGCTCAGAGAAATGTGACTTTGAGTGAGATATTGAAGACTGCCAAGGAACTTACACCAGAACAGCTTGGGTAAAAGGAGCGAGTCGTTAACCTGTTGATGAGGAGAGCGTAGGGTGGCAACCTAGTTACGAATGTCATTCCGATTCTCCCATCCCAACTTCAACAGCGAGTTCTGATATTATTGAGTGAGACATTAGTAGCGCTCGAATACCGTAGTTCTGTATACTGGCTTGTGGTTGCGTAAATTGGGTACTATGAAAGCATGAGATGTCACGGTAGTGACATATTAGTATGATGAAAGTATTTGAGATCTAAAGTCGACAAATGTGGGAATTTGAGGAACCCCTGCTAAAGCGTTCTAGGGGAACAAGGAGAAACGCGTTAGCACCAGCAACTTGAAGTATAATGTACTCATGCGTGTGACATGGGCAAATATCCTACCTGAACCTCCCAAACTCGATACATCATGATGTAGAGATCAAAACAATAGGTATCTATGTACCTTGGGTTATCCTAGCTTGTAATGTGAGTATCTTTGTACCCATCGATCCTACGCGATAATTATTTACTAGGCAGGTGCACAAACAAACAAGGCATCTCCCAAATCGCTCATCGAATCAGGACATCCATTCAATTCTTTTTGCAACTACCTACCTACCTGTCATATTTCTGTGGTTCGGCCATCGGTCTTCCTGCGTCACTATCATTACTATCACTGGGACGAACCACGGTCCTAGTCACCATGCCCTTCGATCCGAGTGAGACCGACGTGGAAGAGTACGAAAGCGCGTACACAGAGGGACTCGTTTTTGAAGTCAACAGATTGCTCCCAGGCAGATCACAGTTCTCAATTGAACTTGCCATCCAAAAGATTTCGCGAGATATAATCCGAGAGACCTCAAAAGGCGTTGAAACTGTGACCATCTACTGGGGACGCCTAAATTCGACATCAACTACAACTAGAACTGAATATCATCATGGCTGGTGTCACATTGTTTGCTCAAGCTGGATGCTAAAAAGGGCCCTCAAAATGCGTCTACACTATGAAGAGCTTTTCCCGGGCACACGGAAAAGAGTCACAACCGGCGCAGCGGCAGAGCCAATGGTATGTAAAACTACAACTTGCTCTTGACATTGGTTGCTGATATCAGCCAGACCAAGTTTGACCGCGTAACCCATCTTACACCACCGGACGTCAAAACCAGATCACCACTCGGACAGAATTCTGCTACTAATCAGGGACAATCGAGAAGTGAAAGACATGCAACTCTAATCAGAAAGTCCAGTCAACTCACCGAGAAGATTGCTGCTGCATGTCAGGAAATTACAGACTACGCTCGATGGGTTGCCCACCGCGACCACGGAGCTGCTGAGCTCGGTTACGGCAATGCGGCTCTCTTTGAGGAAGTTGCTAAGTTCGTTGTGGACGCAAGAGCCGCAATCACTTCATCTGCTGTTGCTAGCCAAGCCCCAGCTACTTGTCAACCGTCATCCTCAACAAGTCAGCCTGTTAAATCCTCCAAACGCAAAATTTCACTCACGGATTCGAAAGAAGGCGATCACATTCGCTAAACATCCCCACGCAATTCAGGGTAGCAATAACATCGAGGCCTGAATTCATACATAGACTGATGTCACTTGATAAGATCCGTTTTCGGCGTAATTCATAGCGATGTGGAGAAATGAACTTACCAAAGTTCCGGGCGCTTGAAAATCCCAGACCAGGGTAAAAATGCGGAGGAACAGGGGCATCGCGGGGTAGAATGGGGCTAAGTATTCTCGGCCAAGGGAGTTAGATACAAGCTCAATTAAACCATCCGCGAGTAGGTTAGAACAGTGAAATTTAGATCAATGTTCATAGCCTTCACGAAGCATGATGTCCAGTCCACCGTTAACAGTTCTCTTGTCCTGGCTGCTGTTGAGCGCGATAGCGCAGGCAAAGTACATTGTCCCTGGCGGGAGATGGAGAGATACAGCTAGAAACCTCGTCAATGCACATGCTGGAAATATCGTACTTGATAATGGCACGTTCTACTTATTTGGTGAATACAAGACTGAGGGCCAAGAAGAAGGTGGCGGAATATCAGTGTATTCATCGTCAGATTTGAGTACATGGCACTCTCACGGACATGCATTGAGTACGGACGTGCAACACGACTATCCTTCAACTTCAAATGATCTGGGCTAACTGCATGTAGCGCCAATTAAGGGTCATCCATACATATCACCTCAAATGATCATACAACGTCCCAAGGTGGTGTACAGCGAAGCGGCAAGACAGTACCATGTAGGTGTGACGATGCCTTCCTGATCTTACTACTACTAAAGAAACATAGATGTGGTGGCATGCAGACAACTCAAAATATGGTCTCCTACTCCAAGGCTTAGCTACTGCAGACGCGATTACTGGACCCTACAGCTTCGTTTCTGCGACGCCGCCGCTGGGAAATTGGAGTCAAGATTTCGGGTTGTTTACGGATTACAAGGATGGGCGCTCATATGCCCTTTACTCGAACGGCGACTCGAAAGAAGGCCGTGATGTGTACCTGACTGCGTATAACGAAGAAGTATCCGCCCTCGAAGACGTAGTCCATCGCTTCGACAAGTATGACCTTGAAGCCCCGACAATCCTGCAGACCGAAAAGAGTTATTATGCTCTAATGTCACATAAGACCGGGTACCGTCCCAATAGTAGGATTGTCTATCCCGTACTGTATGGAAGATACTAAGTCAAAGTAGATGTCGTCGCATTTCGAGCTGACAAGTTGGCCGGACCGTGGTCACAGCCGTGGATCGTAGCTCCGCTTAATACGAGAACATTCAACTCCCAGTCTGGTTTCGCCCTGAGAATTAAGGGAACTAAAAAGACAACATACTTGTATATAGGCGATCAGGTAGGCTTTCAACTATCGCGTTTGATATTGCAGCTGACAAGTCCTCGTCAGTGGGATTCCAATTCGCTTTGGGAATCCCGGTATATCTGGCTTCCTATCAACATCGACGACGGCAAGAAGACGCTCTCGTTGGAATGGTACGATGTCTATGACTTGGATGTGTAAGCGCTCTCATATGTGACTATTCGCCATGAAAAGAACTGACAGAGACAAGGAAATCTGGAGAATGGTCTCCAGTCAAGGGGAAGGCTTATCTCGGAAAGGACGCAGTGACGCAGGGAAACGCCTTCAAGCAGGAAGCTGTGCGTGAAAATATTGAGCTGCTGACTGTGCTACCACTGACAGTTGAGTTTGTAGAACTTCGCGAGTGGTGGTACCGTCCTTACCGGCATCTACGGTAACGATAGCACTGTCACATTCCATGGTATTGAAGGGACTGGGAAACCTCAGTGGATTTCTTTCTACTATCAGAGTAATTTTGTCGTACCTACTCGATGTGCTCAACTTATGCTGACTACGAGATAGATACCGATGACATGGGCTTCGGTGATCAACGTAAGTCTACGGGATTAAGTCTTACATACCTGATTACTGACTCAGACCAGCTGGCGGTTCACCCGACCGAATCGGAGGGGCATGGCAATTACGACGCATCAGTAGTGTAATTGTGAACGGTGATACTTCCAATGTCGAGACGCTATACCAAAGGGACACGCATAAGGGAATCATCTTGTCGACACCTCTCCAGTTGACTCTCAGGAAGGGGAGGAATAACACGATCACTGTTGGTGGCTTGTTCAATGGTGTAGATTATAAGGGAGCAGATCTCGATAGGATCGTTGTGTACCCCCCGGAGACATGAGGCTGCTTTTCCATTGAGCACATTATTAACTGATCTTATTGCGCGCAATTGATATGCTCAATTTCTAAAAGTGACACATTAGGACCTCATGTATGAAGACACATCGGCGCGTAAGTTGGCTACTCAGCCAAATCTCCTATCACCGTGCCTTGTCGTGAATATTATATAGAAAATAGCAAGTTCCAATCGGGATTATGGGGGACGTACAGTTGTTCCTTTGGACTTCTACTTTCTCATGTTCGGAGACGCCTTTGTATTATCGGAGATCTATCGGAGATAGAATCGGCGATAAAGTTGATGATGTCTTGCATCGGCGAGATGCAAGATACAACTTAGCTCAGCGGGGATACCGTAAATACGCATTCATATGCTATCGGCTTGGCCTGGATCGAATACATATATGAATACGTGGAAGTCATAGCTTGAAAAGAAATTTCGCATGTCTCCCTAGTGCTCTTTACTCAAACATATACCAAAGCCAGACGCGAATAGGGTAGCTGCAACCTTCAGAATTGACAAAGCCCCTTTCTCACCAGCTACGAGTAATCTAACCGAAACATCCAACAATTCGATATGTCTCAACCAGTGTGGTTTATCACAGGCGTCTCAACAGGCTTCGGTCTACTCCTTACACTCCGTGCTCTTAAGGCTGGCCACAAAGTAATCGGCACCCTACGAAACAAAGCCAGCCGAGCGGATGTCGTGCGTCAGATCGAAGCCGCAGGTGGCGAGGTCATGGAGATGGACATGACAGAATCCCAGGAGAGTATTCAGGCAAAGGTCAAGTCCGTGGGTCGGATCGACTATCTCATCAACAATGCGGGCTATGCTATCTTTGGCTGTCTGGAGCAGATAAGGTGAGATTCCAGCCCCCACTACTGATTACCTGACCGAGACGGAGACTGATGATTTTTCATCTTGATTACAGTGAGAAAGAAATGAACACCCAGATCAGCACGAATGTCTTCGGACCTATATATGCAATGCAGGGGGCGTTAGAAGGCATGCGAGCTCGTAGATCAGGTCTCATTGTCAACATCTCCAGCATTGCGGCCAAAGACCCTTTACCAGCTAATCCCCTCTATGCGGCCTCGAAAGCCGCGCTCGAGGGCATCTCAGAGTCTCTAGCGAAAGAGGTCGAAGAATTTGGCATCTCCGTGCTAATCGTTAACCCGGGTGCCTTCCGCACGGCTTTCCTTGGACAGTTGCAGAAGGCGGAGAAGCCTGTTCCAGATGATTACAAAAATGGTACCGTGGGTGCCATCACCGAGAAGTTTTCGGTGATGGACGGCAAGCAGATTGGAGACCCGGAAAAGGGTGTTGAGCGCATCTTCGAGATAGTTACCGGCGAGGGCTTGGCTGGGGAGCTGAAGGGGAAGGTCCTTCGGCTTGTGATTGGCGAGGATGCGTTCACGAGGATGAAGAGGAATACTGAGAAGTTGGTTCATGATTACACAATTCAGGAGAAGGTGGCTTTTAGCACTGGATATTAGTGAGCGTTAATCTGGAAAGGGGCTTGCTCGGAAGGGCTGTGCAGGTGAAGATGGTCTGGTTTATAGAGAACATACATGCCAAAGCATGGGTGCCGTGAGTTGCATCGAGTAAAATCTATATATCACGAAATCCTCTGCATAAATTTAATCTTCTAACCGTGCGGGACACGGTTTACCTGGTTTTCTTCACTACCTATTACATGTTGGCAGTTAAACAATCCTAAAATCTTATCTGAGCTCAAACAGACATTTCTATAGTACGAGTGCGAGGGACATCGCCTGTTAAAGACATCTAGTTTCGTCCGCCTAACCTGCACATGAAGACTCTAATTGGAGTTAGAATTCTCGCATATAGATCCCGGATTTCTAAAGCCCAGTAACTCGATTACTTGGTTGGGGTTCAACTATCAGTCTGTTGTTTAGTACATGCTGACACTAGCTCCCTACCGGACTTAAAGAATTAGGCGACGCGAGCAGCAGACTGAATACTACACGAGCATTTTGCAGCACACTTGGCTAAACGTAGACAAGATGCCGCACCCTTGCCGGTTGCCAAGCCAATTGACCGATATTGCTACTCACATCATGGGTTAGTGGGGTTCTTACACTGCTTCGCCACGTGCGGCACCAGTCGGATGAGGGGATAATATGCAAGGTACTTAATTATTTGAGTAAACTTACTTAGTACCGGTATATAGACCTGGACCTTCAATATTTTCATACAATCCCAAGTGTTCAGCAGGAAGAGCTGTTGACAGCGCCGTCACCAAGGTCCCAAGTAAACGTGAGTGGGTTATGCCAAAGTCATGACTGAAGTGTAGTCAATGGAGCACCGGGATTCAACTGACATATGGTTAGTATCAGTAGAAAACGGAGAGAATATTAGGTTGACATTGACATCCTGGTGATGGCAGTATACGATTCCTTCCAAGTCGAGGGATGCGGAAGCCACAAGCTTAATATGCATAGACCTGCTTGGAAAATCCCTCGTCATACCGGTGATCTGAGATATTATTGCGCAGGGGTAAATTCTTCTATTTATTCTTCTTCTTACCCAGCCTGTTAGTTTGTGTCGGTCGTCGTTCATTTCGCCAGAGTCAGCATCTGATAACAATCTCACAAAATGGCTACTTCCAAACCTACGGTCTTCTTTTTACCCGGCGGGTTTCATACCTCCTGGATCTATGATACTGTACGCAACATCTTATCTAATCGCGGTTTCGAAACCGACGCATCGGACCTAGTCTCGGTTGGCGCAACGGATGCTAGCGTTGGAATGCATAGCGACGCAGCGCATCTCCGATCACAATTGGTAAAGCTCGTCGATGAGGGCAAGGAGATTGTGTTGGTAGCGCACTCATACGGTGGCATCGTTGCATCGAATGCCGTCGACGGTCTGAGTATTGAACAGCGCGCCGCGCAAGGAAAACAAGGTGGCATAATTCTAGTCCTCTACCTGTCTGCACTGATTGTCACGGCTGGACGCACATTTTTATCAATCGCGCCTCCATCCCGGTCTCAGAACAAATTCGAAACAAAACTGGTAAACTGCTTCTCCTAAGCCATCATACTGAGTATAAGGAAATCTAACGATTAATATCTAGGATGACTTTCTTACAGCCAAGGATCCTCTACACAACTTCTATAACGATGTCGAGGCCTCATTGGCGACTAAAGCAATCGAGGCCCTTCAACCGATGTCTTCACAAGTTTTGAGAGACGAGGTCAGCTATGAGCCGTGGAATCAGGGCTTCGAAGTTGGGTATATATTCACTGATAATGATAACCAACTCCCCATTGGCGTACAGAAAGCCATGGCTTCTCAGTTCCCGAATGACTCTTTTAGTGCCAACCTTGCATCTGGTCATTCTCCATTCCTCAACGTTCCCGACTCTCTTGCCGATGTTATTGAGGATGGCATCAGTTATGTCTTTAAGAAGAGGTCTTCTGTTTAATTTCATGTGATGGTATCGTCAGAAATCGCTTTAATCCGTGGCATGGGCGTAGAGAGTATGCCTTCTCCTACTTGGTTGAGAAAGAATTTCTCAGACAGTGTGTACAGGTAGCTTTTGCCCTCAACTGTTCGATGCAAGACCTGTTCTGGATGAGTTCAATTTCTGCGACATGAGAGCATCAACGCACAAGAGAGATTTAGCCTTTATATATCTATTATTATGACTTTCTCTGTTAGCGTTTTAAGACGCTTGGGTTTTTCTCTCTACTAGTAGCAATGAAGCTATCAGGAAAGCATCTAACTCCCGAGGTTTCAAGTGCCTTGCTAAGTCCAGATAGCAAGTAATGAATTAACTCAACATAGATGGAGCAGTGTACCAATTATCTCTCGCGTGGTGCGCCTTCTAAATCTCAGCTATGGCCCCATTAGCTAGATCACCTCTCATTTCTCAGTGGACGTCAAATAGAGCTCAGCGGGTTTGTACACCTCGATATGGCTCATGATGGTGCATGCCTAGCTACCTAGTGAGAGTAAGTCTGTATTCAAGTAGTCTATAGAAGGATTAACCCATTTTCTAGTTGAATAGTGTAATAGAATGGTGAGAATTCAATGTCAAACTTGAGCTTAAGTCAGTCAATTTCTTGGGCTGTCATGGCCTTATCACTCACATTCGCGCCTAAGCAAGCTCAGAAATGACTGCCCATTATTGAAGTTCTGGATTATCTTCTTTATAGTTCGAGGAAAATTTAGCAAAATAAGGTGAGATTTCTTCATGCTTTAGTATAATTTATTTCTATATAATAAATTCTATACAAGATACAGCTCAAAGAGGCAGAGAAATGAAGCCGAGGGGGCTATGAAGATGCTCCGTAAGAGAATAGTGAGCATACCGCTGTGACAGGCGCTGTAGTCTCGTTATAATATAGGTAGCTTAGGTGCCTACCCAGGTACCACTTATATAATAAGGGGGGGAAGATACCTAGTCTAATACAACAACTGCTATCTTCATACCTTGTCATTTCTAACGGAAGTGGCACTAATGGCCCTCCATACACCGTCGTCACTAGCTTTAACTCTCCGGTTAGAGTGTTGCAATATGTTTTTCCGGTTTTATGCTTATGTTCCAAGGAATCTTCAATGCGGCAAGGAAAGCAACAGCTGCAAGAACAGCTTAATCGTAACTTGCCGCTTGAGAAGGTATACGTATTTTTATTGCCCTCAGACCTGGGATTAAAAACGAGGCGATTTATCTTGGTCCTTGGCAGGATCTATATGCAACAGTAACGGGAAAATGAACTGCTGCTCACTCTAGCAGTCACATTCTCGCTGTATCTTTACCAAGCAAAGCACAATAGCGAATGATTAAAGCACTTGTAAAGCCCCTGCCTTCGATACTCAAAGCAGTCATAGCTGCAAATACGTAAGAAGATAGATGTTCTATGTATTGCTAAAATACTTGATACTGAAGCGGGATGACTCTAGCTATATTGGTCTTTACCATAGCTGCTGTAACACGGGCAGCCTAGCGAGGCGTTTCCCCAACGTCAACTTATTACCCTTCGCCCAAGATGAGTTAACCCATTATCCATTCTACCTAGTCGCCATTGCGACTAAGGGAGACGTCCGCAACAGTACCCAAGTGATGTTAATATCATCACAGAAGAGAAAAGATGCACGATAGATAGAATATGGTGTGTGTGTGTATAATATAAAATCATCAGGTCATAAAGCGCCCTGGGTGGATGCTCTCCACCACGTGTATTGAATTGGATACCAAGACGAGTTCACACACACATATATACATAAATACTTCCCATCCCAATTCTTTGAACGCCAACGCTATGCAGACCTAAAACAATTCCCGCTAGATTTCAAATGAGACAGAGCTCTCAACGTCGTTTTTAGTCATTAGGATGCTAGATCTCCGTTGCTATGCGTTCCCAAGTCAGGCTTATCTATTCTGGCTAGCAGAGCGTAAACGAGGGGACCTCCTAGGCCGACTCATTGATCTTGTACTTCTAGTGAAAAGCTCTGATTGGGACATTCCTCTCCTGCGCTTGACGCCTTGGGGTGGAGTTTCCTCGCTCATAACAACCCCATGCTCGTCAAGAAACATAATCTTCTCTGTTGGGGAAGGAGGCGCCGGTGTTGCGTCGGCTAGAAGTTGTCGTTGTTCGGCATCAGTAACAAACTCTGCGAGCATTTCGTAGCTCAAATGTAATGCGACATCGCGAACTGGTAGTTTATCTTGTTGATCACGTGGAATGAATAACTCGAACGGGAGAACAAGCTCCCCCATGGTAGCATGGCCATTGTCCCGAAAGACTGCTGAATTGATTGTACGTTGGACGGTGAGAACTCCCTCGTGCTTCCTTGCAGTCCATAGGAATAACGAGCCACAATGGGAATGATTCTCTTCCCGACGCTTTGGTTTCAAGGCATAATCGATGTCAACAAGAAGGACCGCGTTGACCTTGCCTGGGCTGTGGATAAAATACTCCTTCGACTTCAGCATGGCAGCTCTCTCGGCTTCGCTGTAGGCGACCTCTATCACCAACTGTGGTTGGGAGATTCCGACGTATGAAAATTGGCCATCGGGCGACTTCACCAAATGCGTCGAGCCGCCGAAATCAGTGTGTGCACATGATTTAATGCTGTTACGGAAAGATCGAAGTGATGGGTATTCGGTAGCGATACGGTTCAATTCTTTTTTAATCGCGTCAATAAGGCAGTCTTGGAAATGCTCATGCATGGGACTAGGCATCAGTCGCAGCGTTAATATGCCCGTCTCTGCATTCCAGTCCTTTCGTAGCGACTCGTTGAAGTACGAGAGGAGGCCGTCGTGTTCCGAAATCTTCTCACATAGCCTGTCGTACGCCTGCTGATCTGGGAGGAAAAAACTGGGATAGGCGTCACGCGTTGGAAGCCCGCAAAAGCTATCCCAAATGATATTATACGCTTCGGTCGCACCGTCGAGGTCGCTGTCGCTGTCGCCGTCGATGTCAGAGTTGTCGGTGAATCGGACGGTCGACGGGGAGGGCGGGAGGATCGCACGGGTCGTCTTCCTGTCGTTCGTATCTGTGTGAAGCGCACCAGATCTGTCGCTAAAGCTTGAACCTGGCGTTGATGCCATCATGGGTTGGGCATCATGGAATCGGGAGAATCAAAAACGAAAGAGGATGCAATTCATTGAGGCGGCAATGCGCGCAGAGGTGGATTGGTGGGATATCCACTTAGCTGCATTAAGCTGGATTAGTGGTAGAGAATCGTTGCAAGGGGGCTACCTAGACTAGCCGGGTTAGTACTAAGCGGGGGATAAAGGAACGAAGCTGGATTAAAATATTTCCAAGGGACCCGAATAATTCATCGTTAAGACTGAAAATTATTGATGCTGTTTACGGCATGTTTCATGCTATTGAGGTGGGTTTGCTAAGATGGGCTGTGTTTCCATGTCACCCTAGATTTACTAACTTAAATTGCTTTTATAACGGCGGTTAGTTTAGTTTTAGGTCTACAAGTAAATAGACTTATGATAACGTTAATATATCTAACACTCGATCTTATGATGGTGCCTCCCAGAGACTCCTAGCCATACCAAGTCGTGCCGTCCCACCATCTATGCTATAGCTCATTAAATGGGCCCTTGGCAAAGAGATCAAGCCGGTCCAAGCCCCAGCTCACGGCGCACATAGGTCCCAAGCTATTTTTAAGGCTGGTCCACGGACTCTACCTAGTTACTCCCGTTCCACGACTTGTGAAGGCAGGTTTTGTCGATGCCAAGGGCAAAGAAGTCGAGTAGATTCGGGCCCCGACTGACGACTCTAATGTCGCTGTTCGCCCACCCATCTAGCTTTGTTGCCACCAAGACTCATCTATTGATGCTGTCACGGAACCACCTAAACCTAACCTCTGATGTAGCGGGTTCAGCATATATAAGCCTAGAAAAGACCTAAAGGTAGAAGTTAGAACTTCTCTCCTTGCGCAATAACAACAAGTCAAGACCCAGTACAGTAGGGGCAGCGCTGTGACAGATACCACCCGCTTGAGTCGCGCGTGTTGTGATAAACGGCCAAGTCCTCTCCTCGGCCGAACAGATCGATCCGTCTAGGGCCCCAGGACACAGCCTTGATCGCGCTCGTGAGATAACCACCTGGGTTCACCCAGTTGCCCCAGCTGTTACCGTCCCAGGTGGTATGATAGCAGGAGTTTCATGGTCCAGCGCGAAAAGGTCGATATGGTTGAGTCTCCAGCTCACTATTTCCGAGGCACTAGCTCACCCGGTTACTACGTTTTAACACTATGAAAAAAAGAAAAAGATAATCAACGCTGCCGTCAATTGAACAGCTATCGCTTATTCATGGTAGCTATAAGTATAGAGTATATATGTCTAACAATATCTATTTCTGTCCGACTGTAGTGAGCTGAGTATCTATTACGACCTGTGTTTCTATTTTGAGTCTAGACAGCGCCGTACTGTTGTGTTCCCCGAGCAGCGAACCGAATGACACCCACCATATCAATTCGCTGGGTAATACTCTTCTCCGAGCCTGAATCATTGGGTATTAATACAGTGCCGTTGCTTATCCCCCAGTTTAGCAAGCATCTTTCGGTGCGGCCCGTTGAATATACTAGTATTCCATCCATAATGATTATTATGCCAGTAGGATAATGTTAGTAACAGACACCTCAATAGCTAACAGAAACTCCTAACCACTCATCATCCAACGACTCTACACAACCATGTCGCTTCTACAAGAATTTCTAGCAATGCAGCTATTCGAACGACCAGATTGTCTCTATAGGGCATTTGTACATGCTGTAGGTGCTGAAGTAAATGGCCCCCCGACCGAAGAAAGCGACGAGCAAACAGAGAAAGAATTTGACCTTCAGTGCATTATACCGCGTGTGCTCAATATTGTCCGAGAGGCTGAAGTCCTTGTATCAGAAGAGATCATACTCGGAGAAGAACGATCGGGTCTTCGGGCTAACCTCAACGAAGTTTTACGTGCTTCAAGACACGATATCGGCGCACTTCACTCCGAACTGCTCCAGCTTCATCCCATAGCACGACAGGTCAACGGTTACGACAAGTATCCTGAACTCATGAGGGAGATCGAGGACACCGAAAAGATCTTCCCACGACTTCGCCTTCCAGAGCCATTTGACCTGCCACCACTGCCCGTTTGTCCTGCACCTCAGCACTATTTAAATTACGACTATAATGACGTCCCACTACCTGGAAGGTCTTACATTCGGTTGGTCCGTGTCAATTTAACAACGAATAATAACAGAGATGTGTCTATGCGCGCCGTGGATCTGTGCGATAACCCGAGCTACGGGGCTCTTTCGTACACGTGGGGACCCCCTTTAAACGTATTTCGAACAGAAGAAGAGCGGCGCAAAACGCAGTCACAACTCGACGACCCTTTGTTGCAAGTAACGGTGCCAATCACCTGCAATGGAAACGCTTTGCACGTCACAGAGAACCTCTTCAGATTTCTCTGTCGTTGGCGAGAAGGATTAATCCACGCTCCATTCGAGGGAAGGTCCGGAGAAAACCGCGAGATTTGGATTGATGTAATCTGCATAAACCAAAATGACTTAGATGAGAAGAACATACAGGTGTCGAAAATGGGGGATATCTATAGCAAGTCGCAGGGAGTATATATCTGGCTTGGAGAAGAGGACTGTTTCTCTCGGATTGCTATTCCGCTGCTCTACAAACTAGCTGCGTTTGAAGGAGACTGGAACTCTCTCCGAGAACTAGGTGCTAGGGGGGCCGAGCGCGAGCTTCTTGATCGTGGACTACCACCCATCTTATCGTCGGATTTCATGTGTGTCTTCGCATTCTCGAGACGTGCATGGTTCCGACGCGCGTGGATTTGCCAGGAGGTTGCGTTTGCGCAGGAGCTCTCGGTCTTCTGCGGCGGCGTCAACATCCCAGACTGGAGATTCTTGACAAACTCAGTAACCTATCTGTACTTGACCGGGCTAACTGCAACCATAGACAGAATAGCATGGTCAGAGATCCGCGGTATCGGACTCGTCGATACCACCCGTTCCGCGCTAGGAATGGGGACGGACCTTAATACCCCCATCGATCTCAGCCCTCCAGGAGGCAACCCGGTTCGCTTGTGGAGTATGTTATATAAAGTTGATTTATTAGCTAACTATAGTTAAAAAGTTAAGTGTTTAATTATTACATATAACATGCTTAATACTTATTATTAACTTAAACTAACACCCTAGTGGTTTACAATTATAAAGGAAGTTGCTGTAGAGTATGTTCCATATATTGGCTTAGTATACTCGCTGAAGGGAGCTGGTATCGCATCCTTGTCAGAAAGGGAAGGCGGTGATACTTGCGTTCCACATACTGGAATGCTGGGAATCTGTATATAAGACCTCCATCCAGCCAGATAACTGTATTGTAACTTAGACTTCTAGATAATCTAATGGGATCACATGTACTACTCTTGACAATCCTCGGCGCAGGATTGGGCTCGGCATTGGCAATCGGTAGCCGACTTCCTCGAGAGCGCTATTCGGGATGTTACTTTGTTCAATAGGGTCACCGAATTATCCCAGGTCGTTGTTATGCATACCATAGCTGAATCGGTAACCGACAAAGTGATTGAAATCTACTACCGTGGGGTTGATGACCCAAATAACAAGATCGAGGTCAAAGGGAATCTAGCTCGTCTGGACGAATCGGTCGGATACGTATTAATCGCTTGCGGCGCAGCCAACTCAGACGAGAAGAGACGCAACAAATATAGAAGGCGGGTGCATGAGCAAGTGTTTGAAGGTAAAGCCAAGGGCGTGCATCACTTCCACGGCACCCGCTTCAAGGGCACAAATACGCACCCATCATATGCTAAACACAGCGAGGGTATCCAGCTTGAATACCGCAGGGATTGTTTAACGGTGCGAGTTGAAATATAAGTATTGCAGTTGATGTATTTATTAAGGATAAGTCTAAGGTATAGTACGATAAGGAGGTACTATGAAAACATACATCTCATAATTAACATTTGTTAAACATTTATTTTATTCGGATTTCTTACGACATTTTGTCTTTACACTTTTTACATACTCTTACATGAGTGATTAGGCCTACCAGTGGATCGAGCTAAGCATAGCAATATATGAGATCTAATCACCAGAACAGAACCTGACGGCGTGAGATAGGCTCACACTGCCGACAGATCCTGGCATTTCACGGCCACCCTCCCGCGCCATGAAACTATACCATTCACTCCGGCGACAGAAGCTGGACTTTCAATGACGACCGTAATACAATGATGGCTTCAGCAACGGCCATGGAATTGTGCAAATCAGTCAAGTTTCGCCAGGCATGTGACAAATGCCAGAATAATAAAGTCCGCTGCAGCCGGGACAATCCAATCTGCAAGCGTTGCGCACGGCGGCAATTTACGTGCATCTACAGCCCGCTGCGACGCATCGGGAGACCACGGAATTTTCAGCGCATGGAGAAGCACGACGATGCAACTTCTCGCGTCTATGAAATGAGCGTCGATGAAGGAGATGGCAGTCCAGCCTCCGTAGCGGCGACAGCTCTATATGGACATGCTAGTCAGCTGAGAGGGGATGTCCTTTTACCAACAAATAGGTGCGAAGCGGCTCCTACTTTCCCTCTTTCGCTTGTGGGAAAGGATTTGTTGTTCCATTCTGTGGAAAATGCCTGGATACCAGATCGTCATGCTTCACCTATGTCATCTAATATAGCTCATATTAAGGCAGATATACGAGGGGACAGTGTTTCCGCCCCAGCGATATCTGTGAGCACTGCCGTTCACGCTCTGTCAGATTGGTACACAGAAGTTCTGGCGCGGACCACGAAGCTCGAGCAGGCGCTTGCACAGACTACATCCTCGCCTACCATTGATTTTGTGCTTGAGGCTGAGCGCGACTTTAACCATCTTCACTGCTGGCTCTTCGCATGCGCCGGCCACCAAGCCTGCCTTTCTCTAGAAAATCCCCCTTTACCAACAGAGTCTGAACCTCAAAGCACCATCATAACGAGGTCATGCCCAGCGACGGACCGGCCGGTCTTTCTTAGCCTCGCCCTATTTGCGGAGCGTGTCGTCACCCTTCTCGAAGAAATGTTCCGTCAGGTTACCAAATCGACACAGAGCATGGATCAAGCGACCGACTTCATCTGGTCCAAGACTTCGGAGACGTCGGACCCTTCGGCGCGCCGCGTGCAGCGGTCTCTCTATAGCGCCACGAAAAAACCGTGCGTATCTGTAGGAATGGACTCGTACTGCGAACTATACCTAGGAGACTGCGCAGTGGAAGCTCAGGCCAAGGCTGATGCGCTGGGGCAAATCCTTAAGCTGCGCGTGAAGAGGATGCTAAGAGCTTTGGAAGCTCTGCATGCCGCCAAGCAAACGAATCCATGGGCAGGGCAGAGAAGAGGACAGACGTCGGGAGACCCATTTGACTGGGGAGGGAGCACTTCAGTACTGCATGCAGTAGCGGGCACTTTGCTAGACGATCTAATTAGAAGAATGGAGTCTCTACAGGCTGCAATGGTGTTTTTATGACAAGTCAAGGTGGAATCCAACTTGTTCTTGCCTTCAGCACATATATCAAATCGTATCTCAGTTCCTCTAATACAATGTCGTTCGATACCCTCGGGTGTAATCAATCTAAATCACAAGCACATGCTTGATTCAGTCCCTAGTAATCTGAATAACCTCGCGATAAGCTCTTGGAGACCTCTATCAGGCAGTGGGCACTCGACCTCATTGCTCCTCGTCGCAAGTGCGGCCTCTTCCTCTATGTCCTGCAGCACCGCCGTGAGGCGCAGAACCGAGTGCTTCACAGCCTTTTGCACGACGATGGCCCTCTCCACCAGGTCTAGCTCCAATTTCCCAATCACAGCCTTCGGCAAACTATCCTCTCCGGCTCTAGTGGTAGTATCACTGGTGTTGCGACGACAACTGGGCGATAATGATATGGATGCTGAGGATAACATTAATCTGACGGCTATCTCATAGTTAGACAAGACCACCCTTGTTATGGAGTAGAGCATCCGCCTGTCTAGGCGTGAACTGGCGTTCAGGCAACCATTAACATCGCTCCAGTGTTTCACGAGAGTGTGCGCCGTCTTCAGCATATCAGGTAATGTCAATTATGACGTTAATGACATTATTGGAGACTGATAATTAGAATTTTCTATGAACCCACCCATAATGCGCTGCATTTCTGCGTCGCAGAAACATGTTGGCGGCGGCGATATGGGGTTTCGAACCAGGGAGCACTTGGAAGCAGTAGACTTCAGGAACTGAGGGTTCAGGCGCTGGGGGGTCGGGGGGTTATCGTGATTTTTTACGGTAGGTTCCTTAGTACCTCTGATTGTTAATTCTGCAGCCGGGGGTGTTGTACTTTTTTAGGGTTCCTTGGTTAACCCCTGCTCGACTGCCCTACTTACTGCCCAATGCCGAGAGATTCCGGGGATCTAAATTACCTAGCTAGGCATCGGAGACTTTCCTTATTGGCTTGTTTCAGAGCGTTTGTAAGTTGCCAGGTAGTTGTCATTGATAAGGTGGTATGCAAGCCACGGAATTTTACTATGTACATGCGGCCCCCCAAAGCACCCGAGCAGTGAAGTCAACGTACGTAGATATGGGACAGGCCCGGTTCACTTGCAAAGATGTCTTACCAAATCATCCCGGGCAGCAATTCTAATATTTTTAAATTCACCTCGGAGCTAGCTGTCTACTTCATCTTTTTTCTTGTGTAGGCAAGCAGTAGAACATGTTCTAGTCGATTCAGTTACCATACGTTCTGCAGTAAAGCCTTTTTCGATCTGCCTACGTTTGACTACTTACTGTACAGCTACAGCACTTAGTACCTTTTTACGGCAATGGAGATGAAGACAGAGCCTCCTCGGGAGGCTCTCATGGTTGACGCCCAAGAGAGACACCCCGATTCCACGTCTGATACGAGCTCTGACACTGTTGCCATCACGTATCCTTCCGTTTGGCGTCAAGCGATTATTGTAACCGGCCTCCTGCTGGGTATATTCCTCGTCAGTATTCCTTAGCCCCTCCATGTCTTGCAAACCTGTATCGTCTTCTAACCCTTCTCTCTACTAGGCTGGCCTCGATATCGTAAGTGGTTATAAGCCCACGATACCTTCCATCCCATTACAAGCCAGTTTCCTACGAGAAAGAAAATACCATCAACGGAACTTACAGTTAAACACAAATCAACACCGATTGCTATACATCGATCCCTTGCTTCACTATTTGGGTAGTGGTGTCGATTTAGGCTTCAGAAGGAACATCGCCGTCCTGCCACCGTTATAAATGTTTGCTAATATGTTTTACCGACAGAATATCATCGCAACGGCAATCCCCGCTATTACGAGTAACTTCAATTCTCTCGCAGAATCGGGTTGGTATGGCTCAAGCTTTTTCCTTGCCTACTCGGCTTTCCAATCGCTTTGGGGTAAAGCATATAAGTACTTCGACATGAAGTATGTCTTCTTGGCATCCATGCTTGTGTTCGAGATCGGATGCTTGATTGGCGGCATCGCGCCGAGCAGTGCAGTGTTGATTGTGGGCCGAGTCGTTCAAGGAGCTGGGGCCGCGGGCATCCTCTCCGGCTGTTACTCTATCGCTGGTTACGTGAGCCCTGCCGACAAGGTGCCTCTAATTATAGGCATGATTGGCACCATCTTCAGGTGAATTCCCTAGAGCCATCTATCTCTCTTTTAGGCAGGTTTCGGGTCTCATTGCTCCTGCTCGACTCCCGAAATATGAGCTGAATCCCTTCGCTATCCGGCAATTACTGACTCTAACGTATTCAATAGTATCGCCAGCGTGATAGGCCCGCTCCTTGGTGGTATATTCACGTCTGATCCCCATTTGACCTGGCGCTGGTGCTTCTACATTAATCTTCCTATCGGGGGTGTGCCTATCTTTATCATTTTCTTCTTTTTCAAGACACCTCCTCATGCCAAGACGGCCAATAAGGACTCAATCAAGGACATAGCCCTCAGTTTCGACCCTCTTGGAGTTATCCTCTTCGCTGCTGCCCTAGCTAGCTACCTCCTAGCTCTGACGTGGGGTGGCACGGAGAGAGCTTGGAACTCATCTACTATCATCGGAACACTCATCGCATGGATTCTCTTGACTATTGTTTTTGTCGTCAACGAGTTCTGGCAAGGAGAAAGAGCTTTGATAGTAGTACGTCTCTTCAAAAACAGAGACATGTGGGTTAACGGCATTGTGCTCTTCTTGTAAGTTGATGTTCAGACCAAAAGGTTTAGAGCCTCCCGTGCTTTTGCTAATCTTTCTAAATCAGCTATTTTGGGGCTTATTTCGCCATTGTTTACAGCCTTCCCATATACTTTCAGGCGGCCTTGGAGCTAACACCAGGCGAGAGTGGAATCAGAACAATCCCAATCATTGGTTCGACATGTATGTGAATCTCCTATGTACAGGCAATAAGGAGCATCTTGCTGACTTTCAGTAAGCTGTTGCAAGCTTGTTTGGCTCCGTTCTTTTTGGAAAATACGGCAGATACACGCTGTTTCAAATCACCGGCATAGGTGCCGCAGCCATTGCTGGTGGATTAATCTACACTCTTGATATCGATACTAGTCTTGGTAAACAGATAGGATATCAACTTTTGTTGGGTGCCGGAATTGGTTGGATAGTCCAGATTCCACCCATTGTCGCAGGCATTGTCAATAAGCAAGCGGACAAGCCAGTTGGCACTGCAGCTGTGCTGGGTGAGTATTTCTTTTCTTGGCCCCTGGCATCATACTCACATTTTCATGACTATATCGCCTTCACAGACTACAACAACTAATCTCTGTTCTCATATTCCTAGTTATACAATTCTACTCAGCCTCAATAGGGATCAGCGCAGCATCTGCTATTATAAACAACATTCTAATACAAAAGGTGCCAGTCTATGCGCCAGAGGTTACTCCAGCCGAGATTCTGTCTATTGGGCCATACGATCTAAGTGCTCGTTTCAGCGGCGCTACGCTGCTTGGAATCAAGAAAGCTTACATAGATGGTCTCCGTGCGTCATGGATTTTGAGTATCGCTCTATGGGGCGTGGCTTTCTTCTGTACATTCCTAGCGAAGTGGCCAGGTCACATTGTACCTGCAAAAGAGGAGGGAGCGTCGGATACTCAAGAGAAGACATCACCAACTGCCCTTCACCTATGAGAAAGAGGTGCAGAGATAGATACGGGTGAAATCAGCTCATGATGTGCGGTTGCTGGTGTCATATGCGAACAAGCTAGTTGGGTACGGGTGACTTACAGGGAGCAATCTAAGAGGTCCTTTCGCGGCTATCAACAACGACAGACGATTACAAAACCAAATATAGAAGAACTGTTACTATTGCTCAGAGCTGTCTTCCTTCTATAATAAACGTTGTGGTCCCATCCAATGCGTAAGGTTCGACTTATTTACCATATCCATTCACCACTTCTCTCTAAGAACGAGGTATAACTCACTCACATCTACTGTTAAGCACATCGATTAGACTACAGTTGAAGCATATCAAATGAAAAAGCTAATCAATGAAGTACATATGATCTATATTTCATTCATCCATTCTATTATTGTAATTCAAGCGTATATCGTAATCGCCAAAGTTACGAACAACAGACGTGCTCATCAATGAATTTGCGAGTATCGCAAAGTCAAGCGGCTCCAGCACTCATTCCCTGACATCTGGTACTCGGTCTCCTTGAAATACGCCCGTAGCTGGCGTGAGTCATGCTTTTCGAGGATCTCGGCAACAAGCGTCTCGTGCACAATTTCCCACTCCCTACAGAGCTGATAAAGAACGCGCTTGGCGCTCTCAGCTGGCATCGAGGCTTCGTCGGCTAAGATATCGACAGCGTTTAGCATCGTGCTACCTTCCTGCTTGAGCGTGGCTGCGGCCCGGAGTTCCTTGTCGTAGCTCCAGATGTCGTTGATCACCGATATGTGCCTTGCTGAGTTCTTATCTACGGGATCTACCAGAGCCCATTCTTCTTTGGTTAGATGGATGGACTGCGTGAAGCAGATCAGGGCGCTTAGGAATCTAGTGAAGATGTTAGTAAATTTGATAATACGTAAAACTTATCATGTCTTTCTCTTTTCGTCTCTTCTAATATGCATTGAGGTTGTTGGAAACCTACTCCTTGCCAACATCGTCTAGGCGATACTCGAGGTATTGCTCCAAGTTCATCTTAGTGAGACGTCTTGGGTCCGTCTGAGAGTTCATAAAGTCGAAACAGGGTTGAAGCATAGCGTCGGCCAACTCTTTGTCACATTTACGCATCCCTTGCCAGACATCATACATGATCCTACATCAACAGTAACCGCTCTGGTCAGTGTTTGTCTATCGTCGTTAGACCCAGTAAACAGAAACTCACCACTCGGGAGGCGAATTGCGGTTGGGAAGTACCTCTCCCCTTGCGAGAGCAATCAATTTATCGTTGAAAGCCCGTCCATCCTTGAGCGACATGGCCTCAATGATATCGTCGACAATGAACAGATGAGTTACAACCTCACAAACGAGTCGAAGGCGGTCTTCGAGAGCATTGGGGAAGTAGTAACAGACAAAACGGGGAAAGTCAGCGCCTATGAACTTCTTTCGCTCCTTCTCGCCTGGGAATGGCCAAGTATCGAGAAAAAATTGGTTTACTGCGTCGGCTACCGTGTCCGTGAGCGGATGAGTGCGTACGGTGAGGGCCGTTGCAGGGATTTGCAACTTGTTGAAGCGCTCGGCAAAGGGCATCGTCTTGAACGACGTGAACCCATTGCCAACGGCCGGTGTTGCATTAGAAACTTGTTGGATCATCATGGTTGACATCGTGTTGAATACTCTGATTTGCTGTACAAACAAGCTGTTTGAAGAGACTGTAAAGGAGAATATCGACTAGGTAGTGGAAACTTGACTTAATCGTAAGATCGGGACTCGATGTATTGTTGGGAATGTTCTTATATTTCGTTGTTCCATATTTCTGTCCACCGTGATGTATTCCTTATGCTGCTCAGTAGCTAGACTCTCGGTGTCAGATTGTAGCACATATCCTTAGGTGCGTGCCGACAAGACCTCCGTGCCGCTTGACGGAGTGGTACCACTTCTGGTCAAAAAGTCTTTTGAAGCCGAAAGAAATTCGGACCGGTTAGGCTGCGGGCTAGAGCGGAGGTCTCTATTAGGCCATAGCGGGTGCGGCGCGGCTCTGCGCCGCGACGGGTGCCGAGAACGGAAACAACCGAGTCAATCTTCAGGACTCAGTAGATTCTAGAGAGTATACTGGCGCAGTAACTCATAAGTACGTGTTTCAAACATGATTGATTATCACCAAGGAAAATAGTCAAATTCAAGAGCTAGATACGCTTTATGGTCTTGTGCTATTATCATTATCCTTTTACTTAGCCAGACTTTTACCTCGCCATGTCGCTGAGCGGTATGATGTCAAATTTGTCCTCTCAGGAGTCTCCGCTTCCGTGGGGAGTTGATTTATCAGACAACTTCCCCCTCAAATACACCATCAGCATCTTTCTTCTTCTTTTTTGTTCTCTATGGGCGTTATCAACGCAGAGGTCCAAGTCTAGGCTCATTCCTGGCGTCTATATCGTTGGAGGACAGAGTGAGATTAAAGCGACGTCGCAGAGATTTCGAGACGAGTCTAAGACGCTCATCCACGATGGGTACAGCCATACGGATGGAAAGGAGCCCTTCTACGTTCCTTCGAACCTAGGCCCTCGCTTGATCATACCCACGCGCTATATGGAAGAGCTCAAATCAGCTCCTATTCAACAAGTTGACTTCATAGGCACAGTTCATGAGAGTAAATATCGAATTATTATTTTCTTTACACAATCTATACACGGATTATGCTGATACAATTTTGGTTTGCATAGTGTTCGAGTATCAATACACAGGCGTTGTTCATCCTTCTCGCATGGTTCCGAGCACTCTGGTCTCGCATCTTACACCCCGCCTGCCCAGTATTATGCCCGAAGTGCAAGATGAAATGAAAATTGCTATTAGTGAAGAATTTCCTCCCTGTGATGACTGGTAAGTTTCTTGATGCCCGATGGGGCCCATGGGGACCTCTATACTCACATTAGCGCCTTATTCAAGGACTGAGGTGAATATCATGGAGGTTATGACTCGGGTCATTACGCGCGCAACTAGTCGCATGGCTGGCGGCAAAACTCTAAGTCAAGACAGAGAATGGATTACGGCGGCTATAAGTTACGCTGTCTGGGCTTTCACGGCAGCTCAAAAGATCAAAAAAGTCCCGACGCCGCTGCGGCGCTTAGTTGGACCTCTTTTATCGGAGGTTCGCAAAGAAATTCCATGGTCCTTTTCGGTGGCTGCCCGTGCGGCAGTCCCGCTACTCGAGCATCGAAAAGAAACTGGCGAGCAAGCAAACGACTTTTTACAGTTTCTCAAGGATACAGCCAAGGGTGATGAAAAGGAAAACAAATTCATCTCGCATCTCCTGGTCATGGTGGCGTTTGCATCAATACATACGAGTGTCGCCACAATTGGCTCTTTGATCTTTGATCTATGCCAGTATCCCCAACTAGTAGAGATGATTCGGGGCGAATACGAGGGCATCGTAGACCAGAATGGCAATATCCCTAAGGGTGGATTTGCTAAGCTAGTCAAGATGGACAGCATAATGAAAGAGAGCCAAAGACTCAACCCCATCACGCTCTGTAGGAGACACACTCAACCTCTACATTCCGTGAATCCCCACAGCTGACAGCTATAACACCTCTCAGTGACCTTTGAGCGCATTATTCACCAAGAAAGAACCCTGAAAGACGGGTTCACAATCCCAGCCGGCACTCAAATAGGAGGTATAGATAACCCTTGTCTCTCCTGATACATCTAATCTGACTTGCATTTCTTGGTTTGCTCACACCGTTGTAGTTCCTAATTACGAAATCGCTATGGACCCCCGAATTTACCCGAACCCTGAAGAGTTTGACCCCTTACGTTTCGAGAAGTTGCGTCAAGATCCAGCCTGGGCGAACAAGTCGCAGTTTGTCTCTAGCAACCCCGATAGCATGTCATTCGGCTACGGCCGCCATGCATGTCCTGGGTGAGTCCACACGGGCTTTCTTATTTCGAGGCTGCACATTTTGCAAACTGACATACTTAATACGCAGGCGTCAGTTTATGGATCAAGAGTTCAAGTCTTTTCTAGTCAAACTCCTTAGCACATTCGACCTAAAGTTCAAGGATGGCCAAAGCCGAGTGCCAAATTCTCCGCTCGAGTCGCAGTATTTACTCCATCATGTGAGCATTCTTCTAAAGCGGCGCAAGTTGTGATCTTTGGCCTAGGTTTGTAGCCAGGTAGAACGCGACGTTAGATAACATGAACGAATTTCTACATAGGAGTAATAACCTCTTCTACGAACAAACACAGTTTTGTTACGGCGTATTGAAGTGATGTGGAGCGATAGGCCAGTCAGCAATAGTTACGCCGTATTGAAGTGATGTGGAGTGATAGGTCAGTCGCCAGTCGCTTCGGAAATTTGCGACATCATGGTTCTCTCATGCAATAACTCCGGACTGGGAATAGCTGCATAGAAACATACGTTGTCTTCACCATTAGCTGTTTCGGGAATACATGGCGTTTTAGTTCCTCATCGTTTATTTCCTTAATAACCTGAAGCTACTCCTTTGCCTATTGAAATAGAGAAGCCATCTATCCTTTTGGGTGCGGATAACTGCAACCGGTGACAGTTACACCAATTATACATAGGCACAATTCCGGAAACAGTAATATGACTAAGTGCCTGGTTATCTCTTCCTTGTGCTTGTTGGACACGTTGGACAGCTGGCATAGTCAACTATTCACAAGGTCACCCGATCTGAGTACAGCTTTCATCCGAGAGTTTTTCAGCAGCATGCCCTTCTTTGTCTTGATTGGAATTGCGTAAGGGATATTCATTTGGTGGCACAACTCTCCTGAAACTAAACCTGCCTTATAGACCGCTTTTCTTACTTAATTGATTGGCGATGATGTAGATAAGATCACATGAGATATTGTGCCACAATATCGCATCTCTTATCTATGAAGGACCGCAACACGGTTATATTTTCTATTAATATCAGTCGTTTGATAGCATCATGGCATCCCTGATTAGGAGATTCTGGGCCATTCTGCGCGAGATAGACCAGCTCCGCCGACCCATTTTAGTCAACTTCTGTGACGCCACTTTCAGTGATAGGATTCGCCATGCTGACCAAACAAGACAGTCTTTTCATGATCGCTTTGTTGAATAAGAGTCCTAAGTAACTAGGTATTTAGCTCTAGGGTCTAGCATAGCTGCAAGAAACAGATGAACACCAATGAGACTGTCATTTCCAAGAGACATAAGCCGACGGAAGCGCCTCTACGTGGTAGCCCTGAAGTCGTAATCGTCTTCCATAAGCTGACCGCATGTTTTAACTTTAGTTCAGAGTTCAGTGCGTTTCTGCCATCAGCCAAAACAAACAATCGGTACAGGGTTTTGTGGCTTCATGCCACAGTGATTCTAATTGGACAAACCGTATAAGAACTCTCGCCTGACTCGTTCTGAAGTCGACAGCCGAATGCTTGGTTGCCGCTATCTCTGGTAGCGTCAAAGGATAATAGTCCAGGCTCCAGCGGTGGATAAGGAAAGGCTGAACTGCGAATAGTCATCTCCCTGTGCCGGCTCACTGCTTCCAACCCTCAAAGATCTAGGCAATAAGTTCCACACCGGAGTTTTAAATGGATAGGCACGTTTATCAGGGTAGCATTGTCCCAGTGTTTTGACACGCATGTGTCAATTCTTAACCGACTGCTCTACAGTAAGACCTACGGCTCGCCTATCCACAACTACAGTGTACCTTCCCATCTGTCACAAGGCTTTCTGGTCTTCCAACGAAGAGACAAAGTTCACTGAAGTCTAGTTAGAGTTCTCAATTGGTGTCGAGTCCTCCGTGCGGCTCCACATTCTCAATGTTTCTCAGCTGGAAGCAGTCTGGAGAAGGAAATGGAGCAATCCATACAAAGCTCCCGATGACCTTTGATCCTGTTAAGGGAAAGACTCAAAGTCCTCAGGCTTGTGCCGGCTGCCGCGCCCGGAAAGTGAAGTGCATCTGGGACGGCGGAGGTTGCGAGCGCTGCAAAACAGCGGTATGTCCTCATTCCTTGTCACTAGCTCGTTTTTCCGGTGCCGTTTTCTGTTTGAACAACCCCTAAATTTCGACTATAGGGCCGTGAATGCATCTATGAAGCAACTAGAGGAGGCAATAGTACACGGCGAAAGTCTAGACACGATGCATCGGGCCCAGGTGCCAGCACGAAAAGCATCAAACGAGCAAGGACGACAGATGAATCGGCTGATCCAGCTGAGCCATTATCGACAAACCAGTCCTCCCAGGATGTCTCAGCTGCTGAGACAGCCACCGTCCAGACAAGCGGGTCCTCGTGCGACGACACAGAACTGTTGTGCATGTCGTCGCCGAGTACAGAGACTATTTTTGTGGACAGTAATCTAGATGCTAGCATGTTGGACATGAACATAGATCTAGACGCTGATACCACGAACTCATTCAACCAAGAAATATCCACAGACCTCATACCTATGCATGGCGTTACGCTGGGCGACCTAGTGCAGTGGACTGGGGAGCCATGGTCATCAACCACGCCGTCTCTTCCGACGCCTGTGTCAGAGTTTCCGTCATGCTACGAAGGAAAGCTTTCTGATGGCAACCCATGTCAGTGTCTACGACGTCTGGTTATTTTAGTAGACGAGATTGAATCGATAGCGCATAGGAACATTCTAAACTCTCCAGACAGGGCCCTGGCAGCGCAGAAAGAAGCTATAGGATGTGGCACCGAGATGATGGACTGCACAGCTTGCACTAGCCGTGTTGAGAATATGATTATTCTAACTCTCATGGTGGATAAGCTCGTGCAGACATGCAATCAATTGGCCGAAGCCTGCTGTGCAGAGCTCAAAAACAAACCACCTGGCACGAAAACCCCTCGTCTATCGCTCCAAAGCAACACTGAAGTGGCCAGTCACAGTTTAGGTCACGGAGGGCCTGAGATGGAGCCCAACTCACCCTCGAGAGTCTACAGTATCAACTCGTCGGTCGAGTATTTCTTCGTCATGGCGGGAATCTTACGTTTTCAGCTGCTAGAGCTATTCAACCTAACGCAGCAACTGCAGATTGTAGTTGCCCCGCTTGCATCGGACACCATAGGCCAACGATTGAAGATGTGCACCGAAGCTGTCAAGGATCTTCTGAATAGGGCTGGCTTAACTCCGCTCGAGGCCCCCGAAGGAACGGGAACCTTGGTTATGTAAAAAATCCTGGGGGTGACGCGATATCGGGACCAATCGGCACCAAGATATGCATAATTAGCTTTTGGCTTTACTGGGGTCGGGACGGGGTATAACAGGGGCTAACTGTAGGGCTCGGAGTTACAGTTCACAATATAGTAATCTTTTGTAGCAGATAGGATCCATGTGGCCTAGATTCCTTCTGACTTTAGTGGCTGATCTTGGCTGTATATGCAATTGGACTAGTCTTGCTAAACCCCGAGTTCTGCTAATGCATCTCAACTGAGTGAGGTCTGGATAGCGCCACTCTCGAGAACGAGAAATTTCCATCAAAGCTGGCAGGCTACTGATATAATTACGCCGTGTTAAGTACGTGCGGCGGGTGTAACGTTGATACAACCTGCCTGATTATGATTAGTGATACTTGGCCGCCATTTAAGGTCTATTATTCCTGGCCATGTCGTGTAACCCACAAATGAATACTGAGAATGGGAGGTTGCCGAGTTTCGGTCCGTTCCAAGCAACCCAATGTAGTAACTATCCGTGTCACATTGAGCGCCAGCTATCTCGAAACATCTAGTCCGGACCTTGATGTCCGCTTCCACGTGGTAATTGTCTAGAGTGCGCCACAAACATAAGTCCATTCCTGAAGGATCATGGCTTACCCGAAAGTTATCACGTCGGGACCGGAGATCCTCCCGCAGTTGAGGTCAGAGCCGGCATCTCAGCGGCCTGTGCTCCACAGACTACCGCAAGAAACTAACTTAGGTCAAGGACCTAGATAGTGTACAGAGGAACATAGGCTAGCTCTATCTCAGTTTTGATATTGTTCGACTTATGTGGTTGGCAAATCCCTCTATCTCATCACGACTTCATCATTTCTAAATCATGATTATTCTCAAGACGGGCGACATCATGTTGATAAACAATCACTGGAAAGATGTCTGCGGGCTGTTCATTCTGAGCGTAGTCGGTTATTTTATATGGAGTATAGTCTATAACTTATTTTTCCATCCCCTAAGCAAGTATCCCGGCCCATTGCTCGCGAGAGCTAGTAATGTCTGCTTCTCATACTGGTTCCACGGAGGTAGGCAACCGTACAAGATACTAGACCTCCATCTCAAGTATGGACCAGTAGTACGCATAGCCCCAAATGACCTCTCGTTCAACTCAGCACAGTCGTGGCAGGACATCTATGGATTCCGTCAGGGGCACAAAACCTTTATCAAGGGTCTCTTCTATGAAGGAGGTGTCTTTTCTTCGCGTGGAGTTTCCAGTATCGACACCGAACGTGATCCGCAACGGCATGCCAACATGCGCAGGCTCCTTGCCAACGCCTTTTCGATGACGTCGCTGACAGAACAGGAAGAGCTCATCCGAGGCACGATAGATCGCTTCATCGACGTCTTCAAGAAAAAGACGATTGAACAAGGCGCAGCATTCGACGTGACTAAAGGATATGAGAGAATGACTTTCGACATTATCGGTGATCTGGCCTTTGGTGAGCCATTCGGAGCCTTGGAGACGGAAACACCTCATCCTTGGATCGAATCGCTACTCAATTCGCTCAACAAGGGCGCTCTCAACGAGACTTCAAAGCGCTTCCCCATGCTGGCCCGGATTGGAATGTTCTTCTTCCATAATCAGGTTGCCAAGCTATTCGAGGCTGCAGCTCAAAATGCCGAGTATGCTGTCAAGGCAGTCGAAAGGCGCGTTCAGAGAGAGACGAACCGCAAGGATTTCTACACGCGTATCCTCGAGCAGCGCAATAACGAGCGCCACAAGGTCTCGGATCTCGAACTGGCGGCACATGCTTGGGACTTCGTGGCCGCTGGAAGTGAGACAACGGCAACAGCCATGTCAACTGTCACCTTCTTTCTTCTCCGCAATCCGGGGCTCATGGCAAAGCTCAAGGATGAAGTGCGTGGCGCCTTTACTAGCGCCTCGGCGATCAAAAACTCCACAACTGCGCCGCTACGCTATCTCGACGCCGCGTGCCGCGAGGCCATGCGCATCTACCCTCCCCTGCCGTTTGCCCTTCCGCGACTAGTACCTGAGGGCGGGGACACGATCGATGGCCAGTGGGTACCAGGAGGAGTAAGTTGCTAATAACCGTTTCTCGTTTGTGTGTAACTGTCCATACACGAACATTGCTGACAGATATGTGGTTTGCCAGACCGCAGTTTCTATCATGCCCACAGCAGCAAGTCTCGATCCTGCCAATTTCTCAGACCCCTATGCCTTCAAACCTGAGAGATGGCTGGATATTTCTACAGACAAGAAGAATGGGGATAGATTAGAGGCTAGCCAGCCATTTTCCATCGGTCCTAGGGGCTGCATTGGAGTTAAGTAAGTTCCTCTTCTCGCCCCATGCGCCCTTAAAAAAATCAGTGCGCCAATGGAAGACGTTAACCTGAGACTTACGATCGGTAGCTTGGCTTGGATGGAACTTAGAACAACGCTGGCTCTGGTCATCTGGACATTTGATCTGGAGCTCGATAGTGCGTGTAAGGACTTAGATTGGCACAGAGATTCCGAGATGCACTCTCTGTGGCAAAAGCCGCAGCTCCTCGTGCGAGCGACGCTCGCTAAACACGATGTTTAGGATCAGATACGAAAAGGGTAGAAGGTGGCAGGGAGCGGTGTAATTAGAGGTTGTTAAGATCCTCACCGGAGTACAGGAACTATTTGACTCACGAATAACAAGCACGAAGTTGAACATAGCGAATATTATGTTTTGTAACTAAGTGACTTAATGAACACATCCTGTATTTCCCTAGTTCCAGTGAGAAAATGCAGTGGTCACCTCTATTGAGAAACGTAGTTGTAAACTTAAGCAAGCTATCAGATTGACACACACAATGCGGTGTACTGTATATGTAAGCTGAACAACAGACTTATCTGACGGACTGGCTGACTAATTGATGATAAAACGATCTATCTAAAAGGGGTTCCATCCTTAACTGCAATTGAAGGAGTGAAGTAGGTGGCGAGGGACTCAGTTACCCCTATAATCACGTGACAATAGTGCTAATCAGGTGACTTCTATTGGGAAGAGAAAATACATAATGAAAACATCTAATAAACTAACATACATGATCTATCATATCTCTGTGGATATCCTCTACATCTCTAAGTGCTCGACGTTATGAAAACAACTCACCCATACTTCGTAGTAATCAGTGTTGTAGGCGATACGTTCGCTCCAATCTCCCACGTCCTTAAAATAAGTCTCTGTCTAGGACTTGGCACGGTACTCCCGGGGCAAGGCCAAGTGATAGGCAAACACATTATTAGGATCCCAAGTCTTCTTGAGCGCCGCGAGCCGCGGCAGCTTGTCTGCCCTATAGATGCTCTCAATCGGCTCCTCGCCATGAGCGTAATTGACATAGACAGCAAGCCCGCCCTTGATCTCATGCTCATATCCGGACGTTGCTGCGAAGGCAGTGCGCAGCTCAGGGCCCAGACTGGCGGCGGCGGCGGCGGCTCCATCAGTGCTGTCGTCATCCCAGCCGAACTGCAGGACCAAATACCCCTGGGCATCACGCCAGGGATAGGCGGCATCATCATCGGGCACGGCGAGCGTCGCCTGCGTCGGGTATGTTTCTGCTGCGAAGGCCGAAGTGGCGCGGGCGCTCGGGTACTTCTCGAAGAAGGCGGCCATCTTAGCAAATTGTGCCTCCCACGTCGGCGGGTCGATGTGGCGAATGCTGGCTGTGTAGATGTCCCGCTTACGATCTGGTATGCAGTTGGCATCGTTGGACCCAAATTGCTGTGCATAGAATAGCTTGGGCCACTTTAGGTATTGGATGGATGACACAGAGGGCTCGAGTGCGAGAATGGGGGCGAGGACGGCGCGTGCCTCGGCCTCAGTCGCGGCTCCGAAGTATTCCCAGTTGCTCACAATTTGTGTGGCGTTAATGGTTGAATTCCATCCCACGACACTAACTATGGCGAGCTGCGAAGGGTACGGCATTAAGGACTCGATGAGCTTCCAGTAACTGGCGTTTTTCTCGGCGGGGATGATGAAGTCAGCATTGAGCCCATATCCACTACCCCCAGGGGTCGGACGCTTGTCGATCTTATGCAACTTGTACGTCGCCTCAATAACGACACCGAGATTCGCGCCGGCACCTTTGATGCCCCAGAATAATTCTGAATTCTTCGTTTTGCTAGCCGTCAAGATAGTCCCATTGGCCGCGACGAATCGCACAGATTGGAGAGCATCGATGAACAATCCGTACACTCCCTCCCAGCGCCCTATTCCACCACCCAGCGTTACGCCAATAAAACTAGGGCAAGTGCAGGTACCACCCTCTTTCAAGAGATGTTAGCGTTGATACAGTTACAAAATATCGTGTCTATGCCATGACACAAGAGGGAAACAGAATAATCAGAGTATGCACATACGAATCTCATATCCGGCGTTGTAAACAGGATCTAAAAGGTCGGCCGTGCGGATAGCTGGCCCAATTGTTAAGGTGTCCTTACGAGTATCGATCTCCAGCTTGTTGAAACGGCTAAGGTCGATGGCGAGGCCATTCTGTAGACCTCCTAAAGTTGGGTTAAAGCCATGCCGTCCGCTGGTCACAAGGAAAGGGATTTTTAAGGTCGTCACGGCCCGTAGCTATGCGTTACTGTTAACAGGAGCTATTTGAGCAGTGGATAGGTGGAAAGCCCGCATTGCTAATTTTTCTGACATACCAATTTCGCAAGGTCTTGCTCGGTGCCTGGAGAAACTGCAGCAAGATAGGTAGGTTCAGAGAAGGTGGTCCATCTCTCAGTTGCGTTGGAAAATGCTCTCTGGCCCGGGAAAGACCATTGTGTACTAGGACCCCAGTTGATCGATCCAATGAGTGAGGTCACTAGATTCCCATACTGTGGTTTTGGTCTCGAAATTGACCCGAATGCCGACTGCGCCATCAAAAGGCACGAGCAGATGGTAAAAGATACTTTCTTGAACATCATTTTTGCTTCAAGGGACCCAAGAAATAGTAAGAGAATATGAAACCTGTGCAGACACCGTGATAGCATCATAAACTCCCACAACTCACTAGGTAGCTGGTACCATTTTATACACTTGAAGAGCGACCTCTCTCCTTAGGCTGCCTTCATCCGTGCCGCCGCACTTGGGTTGTCGCTTGTTGCTATCAACGCATTGTCCCGAAATAGAATATCTCCCATAATCGAGCTAGGCTTCAGCTCCGAAGCTAGCGAATTGAGGCTTTTACAGAGCTAGTCTGAGTCTGAGAAGTTAGAGGCATGGCTCATTGTGACTTGAGCAGTCATGGTTATAGTTAGAATGCTCATGTTTTCAAGCCGGTCGAGAGTCGGCGTCGATGTCGGCGGGGCTGTACATTGAGGTTCATTCCTCTCTGAGGCGTTGTGGCCATTTTAGCCATACTTGCTGGCGATTGGACAGCCTCAAATCCGGTCATCAGATCCTGATATCAGGTGAAGCTCCAAAAATAGGTACTCAAGTGGAATAAGGTATAACGATATCTAGGCCGTTCCCAGATTGGTGACGCACGCCGGATTCCTACAGATCAAAGTATAATGAGTAACGAAAGTAAAGGGGAACTCGTCGAATAAAGAGAGAATGGACTCGAATGCGAGGACACGAGAATGCGTATAGTTATTTGATCATCTGATGTGGCAGTTGTTGAGAAACCTCTAGATCGCTATTATAAATGTGATGCAAGTGAGTCTTCCCAGCCAGTGAGGGAGAAAACTCCCTACGCTGAACACAGTTGCCGCACCTCATCTTGCATGATATCTCGCATGGCACATTCCGTCTTGGCGAGATATCCGCCATGCTGGAACTGACAGTCATGTGAGACTCTAGTATACAGGGCTTATCCGATCATGGTACTAGGACACGAGAGGATCGGTCGCGTTCATCTAAGCGAGCGAGAGCAAATCGGTCTGTCGGATGACGAAAGCCATGTGGGAATCCTTGCAATGGATCGCTTACACTCGGGGCAAAGGACAGCCCTCTCTAGGGTAGGTGTATGTACACCGAGAGAAGGGGTGTTCGAAATGACCCGGTCTGGTGGAATGAAGAGAGAAGGAGTGAAGAGATTAGGGAATTCGAAGGTGGGAAAAGCCCAGTACTTAGTAAATATTTCCAGTAGGATGGGAGAGTCTAGACCCGCAGAGCTGCCCACCCCTGTAACCCAGTCTACCTAGTGCGTCACAGCATTGGATGACGTGAGACATGGCATACGCCACCAAAATTTGAGCTGTAGAGGAGCATCACTGTCAAGATAACTCTCTTACTTCCATGTGGTTCCTAGAATGATGGGCGCCTGGCCAATCAGTAAAGGAGTGTTGTCAAAGGGCTGTCGACCTGGTCTTGATTTATCAGCTCAAGTCTTTGTTTTCGAGGAGGGAATGTGGCGTAGTATCACCTCATTTCAAACATGGAATTAACGGCGTCGTTTCCCGTAGAAATGGAGATAAAAAGTTGTGTCAATATTTATAAATCGGGTTGTAATTGCATAAAGCAAGAGAGCTGTATCAGTCCGGGCTGCCTTCAGAATTTTCTGGGTATTTCACTAATCTACTGAGATCAACAATACTCAAGCAGCTTACACTCAATACCTCCATCACAGAGCTCTAGCGACGGAAAGCATCAAGAGATGGCGCACAATTTTGATACCACGCCTGAGCAGCAGGCAGGCCAGCTTCACTTCCTCAAAAGTCAGGTCATGGAGACCAAGGCGCCCGTGCTGAAGCGGAAAGATGCCGACCTCAGCGGCCAGACGGCCATCGTCACGGGCGGCAACATCGGCGTGGGCCTTGAGCTGGGCAGGCAGCTTCTTTCCCTCGGTGTGAGCAAACTTATCCTCGCCGTTCGCAACGAGGAGGGCGGGAACAATGCGGCAGAGATGCTGCTAGCCCCGCGCAAGGATGGACCCCAGAAGGTCGAGGTATGGAAACTCGACCTCTCTGAGTACGCGTCGGTGACGGCCTTCGCGGAGCGCGTTGGGCAGCTTGACAAAAGACCCGACATTGTGGTGCTCAACGCGGGTGTTCTATCCGCCAAGCTCGGTCTCAACCCGTCAACAGGTCACGACGTAGACATCCAGACCAACTACTTGTCTACCGTGCTGCTGCTCGTGCTCCTTTTGCCCATTGTCAAGTCAAAGCCCTCAGGCGCCACAGCCGTCAATAATCCAGTGCCACATCTCTCTGTCGTGTCGTCAGTCATGGCACACTGGACAAAGTTTGAGGAACGTAACACCGAACCTCTGCTCCCGGCTTTCGACAGCGAGGACCCTGCGCGCTTCGACATGGAAGAGCGTTACAGCGCCAGCAAGCTGCTCGCTCTCATGTTTCTCGCCGAACTAGCACGCAGGATCCCCAATAGCGTCGCTATACTAAATGCTCCAACACCCGGCATGACGCGGGGCTCAGGTTTCATGCGCCAGAGTGCCGGCACAGTCCTTGGGTTCGTCATCAATATCTATTACCGCATATTTGGCCACACGTGTGACGTTGGCGCCAGTCAGGTCATGGCAGCAGCCGTCAAGGCTGGACCCGAGTCTCATGGGCAGTTCATTGAGAACGGGAGGCAGCGACCGTGAGTACAATGATTTTCTTTCTCGTCTTCTATCTCATCTCTTTATATCAAGGATCTCATCTTCCGTGCTGGATTCAGCGATAAAGAGAACTCCCTGCTAACACATACGCCAACAGTCTACCTGTCATCATGTACACCGCGGAAGGAGAGAAAGTAACTAAGCAGCTATGGAAAGAGACTATGCAAGAGCTATCGTTCGCTGGTGTTGAACAGATCATCAATGATCTTAGTGCTTCCAAATGATCGCCATTCAATAATTATGGCTAGAGGTGCAAGGCTGGCGTAAGTTATATTCAGCTACCTGTGCCTATTGAGATACCTAGATAGAACCAGAATGTTGTATATATCGTCATTCTGTCAGTTTTATAACACCTATATTCTTAACCCTTTATACGTAACTGAATAAGTAAGAACCGGGGTATCTGAACTATCATGGAGAAAACGATGACATTGATAGTATGTGAATAGGGGCATATTAAGCTTAGTGAAAGACGCAAGTTTAGCAAATTAGCCCGAAGCCAACATAGCAAACACCCATTTACAGTTATTCAGGATTTAACAGATGCCCCACGCAATATGCACCTTTCATGCGTCACAATCATCGCGGTTATCTAGACATTGAGTGTGGGGGTGGCCGACGAGCTCGAAGTACGGGGCTAGAAGGGATACCGAGGTAATGCCTGGCGACTCAGGATACGGTCCAAGAGGGTGGTGTCTTCCAAAGCTAGATTACTGTAGACACATCCTTGCAAGCTCCGAGATAATAATAGCAAGGTCAGCTGTGTGTAAATCGCGGCCATTCTCTTTCCAGGTGGATGCTTCGGCGTCTGACCGAACTTGACCGCTGCCCTATACAGAAAGCCGCCGAGTGGCGTTTTGCGCAGGGGGTGACGATGGACGACAGTCATGTAAATACTTACACTCTACTCATTTCCTTAATCTTTTGGTCAAGGAACAAAGGCGAAGCTTCATTAAGACTTTGTCGGTTCCGTTATCCTTCATTCAAAATGGCTTTACTCGATTCTAACACGTCGTACGTGGCGCTAGGTCTGCTGGTCTTCGCGGCCGCGGGATATGTTGTGTATCAAACCGCGTTCTCGCCGCTCGCACGTGTACCCGGCCCATTTTTGGCAAAATTTAGTCAGATGTACCTCGTGTATTTCCATCTTTCGGGACAGTCTCACCGTATTTTGATGGAGCTGCACAAAAAACACGGCAATGTTGTGCGTACTGGACCGAGCACGTTGAGTATTGCCGACCCAACCGCGTTTTACGAGATGTACCGTCCGTTACCCCGTTCTCTCTTCTAAAACTCTACCCCGGATTCTTCAAGTGTTGTTTTGCGACCTCTTACAAGCCATCGCTATCTGTGTTTTGGAATTCGAGTTAATATTCTAACAAACAAGTTCCCATTTAGGCGCGGGTAATAAGTTTGTCAAAACGGATGCTAGGGGCAGCACGCGCGATGAAGGGGTTACGTGGGATATGGTTAACGAAACAGATGAGAGAATTCATGGAGAAAATAGACGTCTTGTTGCGCGCGCATACGCCATGGACTCAATGGTCAATCTTGAACCCATGATAGATGAATTGATTGCCGACCTTCTTCGCAAGTTACGCGAGTTACAAGGCCAACGAATCGATCTAGGCCATTGGGTACAGCTATATGCTTTCGGTACGTTGCTCTTTTTTTTCCTGTGCATATTTCGTAATAGACGAAGAGCTACACTTGAATAGTAAAAGTGATATCGCTCTGTGGTATACAGTACTCTGGAGTGGCCAGAGATGCCCTCGTATACAAGGATGCTGCGTCTTTCACCACGAAATCGATGAGACCAGTTATCAAAAAGCGATCAATCTTTAATGGAGCTGAACCTACTGCAAGACTTATCAGTTCACTATATATTCTTTGCTAACATCTATCTAGATATCGTAGGCTCTATAACATTCTCACGCCCGTTCGGATTCGTCGAGGAGGGCGATGATAACGGTTTATTCGAGCGCTTGTATGCTGCACTGTATTTCCTTCTCTTAACCCCTTCCTCTTCCCCGCGGCGCCCCCTGAGACCGCAGAGGACTAAAATTGAGAGATCAAAATAGGCAACGGATCTTCCATTCCATAGTGTGGGTGGCCTACGCCCCATGGGTCTATCACATCAATCGCCTAATCCTAATGCCTCTGATCGGCTCTTGCTTGGCACTTACGGATCAGGATTTTTACTTTATCGACGTAGCCTCGAAGCGGATCCGCGAGCGCGAGGCGCAGGGCGGTAATCCGAAGGACTTGCTCGGGCAGATGCTAGCGACGCAGCAAGTCAAGCCACAGTTTCTCGACTCCCATATCCTCCATATGATCTCTACCAACGTACTCGCAGGAAGCGACACAACTAGCACCGCTTTGCGGGCCACCCTTTGGCTTCTCTGTACCCATCCTGAGGTTCTTGAGCGCCTCCGCGCTGAGCTGACCGAGAAGATGACGCAAGACGGCGACATGAATCGGACGGGGGTGTGGAAATTTGCCAAGTCGGAACAGTGCCCTTATCTGCAAGCTGTGCTCTACGAAAGTCTCCGACTATTCCCTCCTGCAGCTGTTACGCTCGACAGGGTGGTTCCTGAAGGCGGACTCAAGGCTGGACCACACCATGTGCCGGCTGGGGTAGGTTCTTCTCTTTTTATTTCTAGATGAACTGCCGCGTGTGCAAATAGTTTTCTTTCACGAGCTAATCTGGGAGTACGATAGACCGTGGTCGGCACAAGTCCTTGGGTCATTCAAAGGATGCCCGAACTCTGGGGTTCCGATGCCGATGAGTTCCGGCCAGAACGCTGGTTAGATAAAGAGACAGAGTCACAGCGCCGTAAGTTCTGTAGTTTTCCCTGTAGTAGATTTCATCTTCTTCATCCTGCATCTTGAGGCCGGTTGTTAGCATACTGATACTACTTCATCTTACAGAGCGCTACTTTTTCGCATTTGGCCGCGGGTCACGGTTCTGTCTTGGACGCAGTAAGTTATTTCCCACTTGAAGTCGATAAAGCACTCAAGCTTACAAATAACGCAGATGTCAGCTGGATTGAGATGGAAAAGGTATGTTACTTCCGCAGGAAACAACTCTAGGAAGAGCGCCAGTGAACTGACTATGGTCGTTTAGCTTATTCCTACTCTAATCATGAACTTTGACGTCAAAATTGAGATGGATGGAGATATAGTCGAGAATAACGCGTAAGATCATGCTCCCGATTTCTCCACTATCACGTCTGGCGTGTAGTTGGAAGTTGCATCTAGCTAATATCGGTGATAGGGGACTCCTCTACCTCGACGGGCCATTTGCTCGACTTTCCGCGCGCGAAAGCGTGTAGAGCGTGCAGACAAGTTTTAAGGTTATGGAGAGCAGGATGGGCATCTTTTTAAGTCTGTGGCTAGAAACACATTGCAAAGGATGTTCTCACGTGACCTTCGTACGAGGACAATCGGAATAGATAGATTATTGAATTTCATCGCTCATACAGAAGGTTATCGCGTGCCTAATGATCCGACAAAAAATACCTAGTGTGGATAGAATGAAAAAATGGGAGGGAAAAAATTGGTAGTTAGTGGCAACTGCTGGAATCGAACCAACTCTTCTTGGCTTCTCGGATGGCGGCCAATACTACCAAGCGTGCGCCATTACACCACGCTGTCTGTGTTTCACTACCAAGCATGCACCAGTACACCATGCTGCCTATAGTTTTATTTAACATCCTCTGCCCTTTAATAGTATTCAAGTGTTGTTGAAAGCGTTCTACATGTACGTAGTACTATGTATGCAAAAGAAAGAAGAGATGGGTGGTGGGTGTGGGAAATTTCTTTACTCAAGTAGGGCGCCACCCGGGTAATCTCCGGATCATACATCTACCTGCCTAAGGTTAGGTACTTAAGTACCTAGGTACCTAGGTAGGCTGCGGGATCACTCTTGGTACAACCCACGATACCTTCACTAGTGGTAGTGGCGGGTGGATTGAAAGGGCTGTATTGGATTGGATTGGATTAATCCTTAAATGGTGCCATAGTGTGTGTGACTTTGCGAGTTCTCAAGAGGACCCAAAATAGTAAAGATTACATAATCTAAAAACCAGGTATCTTTTACAACACTGACATTGGTTTAATAAGCGACTGTCATCGTTTAACTGGTCATCTAAATGATGTAATATTACACTGCTAGCAATAACTCCCACTCAGGTTTGCTAGATAGCATCAATAATGATTCTATCTATGTACTGCGTAAACATCTCCTGGTTCCCCTCCTGCTAGTGCTTTTTACAGATAGAATCGGAGGCGATTGGTTGGGAATCAACAGTGTGTTACAGTCACACTATCCACCCTCGGGCAATACATTGCGATACAAGACGTTCGAATCTATCAATTGACCGGATACAATGAGCATTATTCTGGTAATCCTTTGTGGGGATGCCTTGGTAGGGGTAAAGCGCCGAGTGATGAGGTTTCGATCACATACTGGACACGCAACGTTTATGTGACAAGGGCTCTTGTAGAGGGCTTGGAACTTAGTCATATTCATTAATAATCTACTAGGGGTCTCTAGGGCCTTGATCTCTCTCTCTTTCTCCTGTCCTGGAGCGAGAGATTCTGTAGCTATTTATGCTCATTCAGGCCTCATACAATCTGCGACTCCCTTCTGTCTGTTGGGCATTCATGCCTTGACGGTTGGTCTTCTTGCAGCTAACAGATTATCCTTATCCAATCGCTTATAGCCTCACTTTCCTCTAGGGGTAGTATCGGTTATCTTCGGTTCTGAAGTCTTGGCCGTGTGACAGTTTACGATTGAATCTATATGGGCATTAACAACATTTTTCATTACTCGGAGGACAACAAGCATATCCCTGTGCTTTGCCGAGTACATTTGTTCAAGCACCGATACCGAAACGGAGGTCTCTTAGAAGCAGTAGGAACGTTTCCATTAGAGCACCGTCATAATGAATGAGTCAGCAGAGGTCATCGTACTGAGTCCTCAATATTGCGTAGATATATATAATGGAACTGTTTTGCCTAATGAGGCAATCCCCGTTCTGTAATCGGTCGAGCGCCATACACTGATGGTCTGATATATTTGGCGAAACATTCCCAGCTTATTATTTTTGCAGCTGTTAAATAGCTGTCCATATTTATCCCTCTTACAACTTGAAACTTCCCCATCATCCTCATGAATCATCACACATCTCCGTTCACCTTTATATCATGAGCAACTCACGAGTCACATACGAGCCATGGCTTGACAAGCTCAAGTCTCATTGGCTTATTACTCTAGGAACATTGGTAAGTTCGAGGGCGTATGATTATACCGCTAGAGCTGTAGTGTCTCAATTACTGACACGTAGTTGGGTAGTATCTGAGCTACCAAATTGGACTCATTGTTTACAACTTATTCTTTCACCCATTAGCAAAAGTTCCGGGGCCGCTTCTGGGTCGGAGTACCTTGGTAAGGCGATACATTATATAACTTGATCGCATCAGACTCCTCTCCGCCTTTTTTCTTGTAAACAGACGGACTAACGAATTCGTACTTCTTGCTAGTTATGGCGGCTCTGGGATACGACGAGCGGAAAACACCACAATCACATGCTAGATATGCATAAGAAATATGGTAAGATACCTCTACTTTCTTGTTCTTGTAGATCGCAAGCGAGTGATATTGGAGTTGGAGATGGACAGGGGGTCACTAATAGTGGCACTAACATATTCATATCTGCGAAGGCCACGTGGTGCGAGTTTCTCCCAACGAGCTGAGTTTCTCGACTGTGCAGTCTTACCGTGACATTTACGGCATCCCTTCTCCTGGGACCCAGCACTGCATCAAGAGTGAGTTATATGACATAATCGGCAGCGGATTCAAGACAGCAGACATAGCATCAGAACGCGATCCGCAAGCGCATGCACGGAAGAAGAAGCACCTAACACCGGCTTTCTCGGCGCGCGCCCTCGTGGCGCAGGAAGCTATCATCCATCGGTGCCTAGATGCCTTCGTGACCAAAATTGGGCCCGTCAGCCAGCGGTCGCCGGAGCTGGGGATCAACATGGTATCATGGTTTGAGATGAGTGCCTTTGACCTATTTGGGGAGATGTCGTTCGGCGAAAGCTTTGACTGTATCGCCGAGGAGAAGCACCACTTTTGGATCGATATGGTTTTGCATCATGTCCGTGAAATTGTCATCATGGACAATGTGCGCCGTTTTGGTATTCTGAAGTTGTTTTCTCAGAAGGTGCTGCCCAAGCTCGCCATGTCTGTCTTGGCCAAGCATACCCAGTATACCCGGGACAAGGTGGAACGTCGGCTCAGCCGCGAGTCCCCTCGGCAGGACTTCTTTACCAATTTGGTAGCTAAAGTGAAGGCTGGTGAGGTTGACCTAGAAGAGATGACTGCAAACGCCTCAACTCTCATGTAAGAGGAACTACCCAGCCCACTCTACCAGGTGCTGATGCTTTCCGTGCCACTTGATATGAAAAGCTCGGTCTAATCTATTGTCTTTATCATTTACGTTTACATACTGACACACAATCCTAGCATTGCTGGAGGTGAAACAACAGCTACAACAAGTGCAGCTACGCTGTATTTCCTCTTGAAGAACCCCAAAGCGCTGGCCAAACTGACGGCCGAGGTGCGCGGACGATGGACATCATACGCCGATATTGATTCAAACTCAGCACAACAACTGCCGTATCTACAGGCCTGTATCAACGAGGCCATGCGTTTATATCCATCTGGTGCGCAGGGTTTTCCCCGGCTGTCTCCGGGACGCATGATCGACGGGCTTTGGGTGCCCAGGGGTACAGAGGTTTACACCTGCACGTGGGTAGCTTCACGTAACCCGGACTACTGGAAACGTCCGCACGAGTTTATACCTGAGCGGTGGACCGACCCAAACTCAACCGACATCAAGGCCGCAAGCCAACCTTTCTCTCTGGGGTATCGAGCTTGCCCTGGGCAGAGGTATGTATTTCTTTATTTGGGTGATCAATACGTTCTATGCAGATCGGTTTTTCTAATAACTGTATTCAGCTTCGCTATCCTACAATTAAGCCTTTTATTTGCCAAGATACTGTACATGTATGATCTGGAGATGCTAGACCCTAACATGGACTGGGAGGCTGGCTCGCGACACTGGATAATGTGGTGGAAACCACCCATCAGGGTCCTAGCGCACAACAGACTTGGTCAGGTTTCGTTGGGCAAATCAGAATAAGCAGTTGGAATGTAACCAGCTCTTGGCAACGTCTTCCATAGAATTATGGCATAGAATTAGTAAATCTTAACTGCTTTGGCAATAACAATATCACAAATCTCCAACTATCCGATTGTGTCTCGCCCAAACTTAGCGGTGCTCACTCACAAGTAAAGTCATGTTGCGCATGCCAGATCCCAAAATCTTACTACCGCTACCTGGCGTAATTCTACACACTCGTGGCCCTAGAGTCGTAGCTGAATGTCTGCAACAGTCGTTCTTCGTACACACATCTCGTGTCTAACCTAGCAATGAAAGCCAGAGACTCTTTGGGTACGAATATCTCACTTCTTCCGAGCTATCATCTCGAGTCAGCTCCCGTAGAGGTCATGCCTGAGAATGGTTGAACCCGAGGATCGATGGCTAAATACGGTAGGAGGCCGATCGTCGCGGCCCCGCAGCGGAATGCCGTTCTGCCATAAGCAGCGCCGTAAGCTCGGCTTGTCACCCAAGAGAGGAAACCAGGGCATATGCGCCGCGATGCCATTTGGAAACCGAGTCCCTGAACCGCCGATTTGACGACGCACATAGCAGCCCGCTGCTCGGTCATATATGCCGTCATCAAAAGTAGGGGCAACGATGCTTGGGAGTGTGAGATAAGCTATACATGCTAGGGAGTTTGGACGAGTGGAATTCATTTTCGCCATTATTCGCAGCATTCTGTTGGGTTTGAGAAAATGACGTCGATGCAGATTTACGAGGGGTCTATCCCCAATCTCGATGGGAAGATTGCCGTCGTAACAGGTAATATCAATGACCTCCAATCATGAGTTACTCGAGCATGATTCATTCGAATCTGTATGCTAATCAAAATCCTATACAGGAGGATCATCCGGCATTGGTCTAGCAGTCGTCAAGTTACTGCTAGCCAAGGGAGCTGCGGCGGTTCATGTCATGGACAGAAACGAACCGATAGAGAGCGGCTGGCAATTGCGGCCAAACCTGCACTACCACAAGTGCGACGTTGCTTCATTTGAGTCTCAAAGAGCCGTATTCGAAGCTATCGGTCCCGCGCACATGGTGTTTGCCAACGCCGGTGTAGCCGAGACGTCTGATTTCTTCGCCGACGCCGTCGAGGGTGACGGCAAGACGCTCGCGCCACCGGACTTGTTGCTATTCGACGTTAATGTTCGCGGCGTGTGGTATACGGTCAAGCTGGCGTGGAGCTCAATGCGCAAGCACAAGATCCGTGGCAGCATTGTCATGACAGCTAGCACGACGGGCATTGCGCCCGAGGCAGCGCTGCCCACGTATTCAGCGCTCAAGCACGCGCTTAATGGCCTCGTGCGGTCGCTCCGGAACACCATCGTTCTCGACGGCGTCACTATCAATGCTGTTGCGCCTGCTGGTACGCACACGCCGCTCGTAGCAGGACAACTTGACCTGCTAGATGCCACAGGCCTACCCATCACGTCGCCACCCGAGCTGCCTGCGCTTGCTCTAGTCTACTCGGCGACCGCGATGCAGGAGCGACGCGTCGAGACCTACGGCAAGGAGGACAAGGCAGATCTGTATAAGAAAGAGCGGTGGAATGGGCGCATCATCTACGTGCTAGGTGATAAGTTCACTGAGATCGAGGGGCCGACGGCTGATCTGCGCCCGTACTGGTTCGGACAGGAGAACCATAGGCTGGTCAATCTACAACAGGCGACGACGGACATGCGCCAGGGTATAAATGATTCCAGGTCATAGATACGTTCAAGAAACGTATATCAAGTACAGTAGTCGCTCTCATACATATATTAGAACAAGTTAGATGTTGTACCAGCTGCCCGTCTCATGACTCGGATTTTTACTCCTTCATGAGACCATGTGAGAGACACCTAGTATATTCGTTCTACTTCGTGAAATTGAAATTCATTCTCTTATGCTCGTAAGATGCCATACTACCTGCACTTGAAGACTTTCGATGGAATTACATGACCCCAATGGCTTTATTTCATCAGCGATTCATGTAAAGTAATCTTATCGGTATTACAACGTACGTCGGGACAGAATAGTGTGACGGCCATGAGCTTGTCCGAATAAACCCTCGAAGTCGACTATTCACGAATTCGCGCTCAATAGCAACTTTCCCCCTCTCGTCTTCTTATCTCTAAATGATCGAATATCTGACCACCGCAAGCCTGCCGACTCGACAGCCGTGAGAAGCGCTCTGCTCTGCTCCGCTCCGCCACGGAGGTTTCCATAAACAGCAAGTAAATTGCACCCCGACCTTCTGCAGACCTATGTAAGAGAAGAGAGTGTGATATTTTAATTTATATCTACGTTGGTCAATTACCATGCACAACATTTCGCCATTGTCAAAATTGCCATCGACATGCTACACTCGCAGAAGGCAAAGGCTCTAGCAGCATGTCAGGCTTTATCAGCGGCCCTCCCAGGCCAGGTATATTTCCCGGACAGCCAAGACTGGCATACCGCCTCAACAGGTGCGTTCAAAAACAGAATTCGCAGCGATCAAAATCAATTAACTCATTAAAACACTACAGGGATTTGGTCCAAGACGTGCGTTCTCGCTCCGCAATGCGTCTTCGAGCCTAATACCACGCTGGACTTGAGCAATGGCGTAAAATTAATCAAAGAGCACGAGTCTCTATTCGCCGTGCGCAGCGGCGGACACATGGCTGTCCCGGGTGCGCAATCCGTGAACGAAGGCATCATGATTTCCATGTCCAAGTTCCACACGAAGTCCCTTAATCAAGACAAATCCATCGCCTCCATCGGGCCAGGACAGCTCTGGCTCGACGTGTATACCTGGCTCGCTGAGCACGGGCTCGCCGTCAACGGCGGTAGATACCCCATGGTCGGCGTCGGCGGCGTGTTGCTCGGAGGGGGCATGGGGTATTTCGCGGGCCAGCGGGGATGGTCTGTTGATGACATCGTCGGATGGGAGGTTGTGCTTGCTGATGGGTTGATTGTTGAAGTCACCACGTCTTCTGAAGACGCTTATTCAGATCTGGCGTGGGCTTTGCGCGGTGGGCATAATTACTTTGGTATTGTGACGCGTTTCGACATGCGCACGTTTCCTGCTGGCTCGGCGTACGGAGGGTTAGTTGTATACAGCGCGGCAGCTGAGGAATCGTTTTTCGCAGCGCTGGATGCGTATATGGCTCCTGGTGGTGGCTCTGAAGATCCGAAGTCGGCTATCAATCCCGTATCTACGATGCGACTTGTCAATGGGGAGTGGGAGCTGGGATTCCTGAATGTCTATATGTACGCCGACAGCGACGCAGAACCAGTTGCACTGCAGAATTTCACGAACATCTCAGCCGAGTATGCCGTTTTCAGCAGTGCAGACTTGCATGACAGCTGGATCGGTGTTCCAAGATCGTTAGCATCCATGGCGACGAGGGAGGATCGAACGCTGTTTTGGGCTATTACTTTCAAGGCAGATCGGAGAGCCATTGACATAGTATCACAATTATTCTATCGTGGTGCCCTCAACGAGTTAAACCATGTCGAAGGTCTATCCCTGACGATTTCCTTTCAGCCGCTGACGGTGCCTTACCTGACTGCCTCAAAGATGAAAGGGGGAAATCTGATGGGACTGGATCCTGATAAAGATAGCGGACATTTCGGTAAGAAACACAGACTCTAATTTCCGTACGGAAGAATGGACTATCTTAGTTAACATTATTTTTTGGCAGCTGGTATTCTCTTTCCTACTTGGAATTTTGAAAGAGACGATGAAGCTGTCTATGACTTCACGCGCAAGGCTGCCATCGCCATAGAAGAGAAACTCAGGAAACTTGACCTCTTCCACCCCTATATCTATATCAACGACGCAGCCAAGGGACAGAAGCCCTTTTCAAGCTATGCAGGTGGTGCGCACCTAGCTAGACTCCAAACGATCCAGACCAAGTACGATCCCGACGGATTCATCAGAGATTATCTACAACACGGCTTCGAACTGGCATCTCCAGGCTCTTCTAGATCCCATGGCGAGTTATGATACGTTGACCAAGAGTTAATCCTACACCACTTGGGAAGGAGAAGTCAAATGGCAGGGCGTTCTTGATTTGCAGTTTAATACCGGCAGCGATAATCTTGCCAATTGTACGCATGTCAGTAATAAAGAATAAAGGCTAATGAATGATATTATGTTCGAAATACATCGAGCCCCCATTGCAAACCCTGGTTGTTTTATTGGTATCGCTTTAAACCCAGCCCTGATTCCTACTTTAACCTAACCTCCATGACACCTCAACATTGCCCTGAGCCTTGAAAACAACTGAAAGCGTCGATACATTACGACATGCGCAAATATTCATTCTCTAAATACTTAAGATATTAAAAAAAGGCACACGCTACTACGCATGCGCTAGATGATTCCAAGAAACACATGATCACGCGTAATTACATGCGTGGTACATGCCAAACGAATAAGTTACGCATCACATCTACATACATATGCATGTGATCATATTCCAACCTAAACCTTACACGCGGAGCGCCTCATTCAGTCCATGCCAGTGTAAAGAGTTGAAAAACGAGCAGAAAGCCTAAGTTACGCGATCCTACAACGGTTCAGAAGACTGTGATATATATGAAAAAAAAAAAAAAAAATCATCGCGCGTACCTTTCGCAAGGATTCTTCGCGCATGATAATAGCCCAGAGTAAATGATTTAAGGAGTACGGCTGATAGGTGTTGTAAATTCTTGATATATATACTCTACTACAACGACGCGTGCCCACGTGCGTGCACTGAAACATCAACGCCACGTAAATAATACACATCTCGTTTCCGCAAGTAAGTAATTAACGCCGAACATAATGCACTCACACTCCCTCATCCCACCATCTCAAGTACAATCGCGCATTTACAATTTCATCCCGGACATCTTTGCCACTCGCAAGCTCTGCCTCATGCTAAGATCAAGCATGATCTCCTCGCTTCCGCCGGGAATAGCGTAAGCGCGGACGTCGCGATACAGCCTCTCGACCTTGGCGCCCTGGCCGCCGCGCGAATAACTCAGTCCGCCGAAGATCTGGCTGGCCTCGCGCGCGCAGAACTCGAAGGTCAGGGTACTCTGGGCTTTTAGGCCCGCGATGGCCCCGCCGAGGCGCAGCATGGCTTCCGTCTCGCCCATCTTCTGGCACTGGTACACGAGGTTCTCGAGCCAGTTGTACGAGGCCTCGGTCTGGCGCGCCATGTGGGCGAGTTTCATGCGGATGACGGGGTGGTCGATGAGTTTCTTGCCGAAGGTGCGCCGCTTGGAGGCGTATTTCACGGATTCCTCGTAGCAGACGCGCGAGAAGCGGAGGGATTGGATGATGATGCCTATGCGCTCGTGGTTGAAGTTTGTCATTATGACTGTGGGACTGTTAGTTTCGGACGAGCCTTTTGAGGAACAGGGAAGGGGGAGGAGCTTACCCTTGAAACCTTGATTCTCTTTGCCTAGCAGGTTCTCTACTGGGACTTTGACATCCTCGAATGTGATGTATGTCGTGCCGCTGGACCACACGCCTTGGCAGTCCATCCGTCTTGTGCTGACGCCGCCCATATCGCGCTCAATAAGCAGCAGAGAGACACCGTTCATTCCCTCACCTCCAGTCCGGACGGCAGTAGTGAAGTAATCACACCAGATACCGTTGGTGATCCATTTCTTCTCACCATTGACGATGTAATGCTTGCCGTCTTCCGACAGCTTCGCCTCACATGTCAAGTTAGCGACATCACTGCCCGCATCAGGCTCGGTGATAGCAAGACAGATGCGCTTCTCGCCAGTCAGGATGCCCGGCAAGATGCGGTCCTTGAGGGCCTTCTTGCCGAACTTGACGAGTGGCGGGCCGCCGATGCCGAAGCCACCGATCATATTCCAGACGAAACCGCCGGAACCGACACGCGATAGCTCGTCTGTGACGATCATCTCGTGAAAGAGGTCCCATTTCTCAGGGGGTACCGCCTTGACGGTGTTTTTGGTGTATTCGACGGGGTAGTGCACGCCCAGCAGACCAGCCAGGTAACCCCGACGACCGGCCTCGAGGAAGATTTCGCGGGGCACCTCCTTCTTCTCATCCCACTCGGTAACGAAGGGCTCGATCTCGCGCTCGACCCATTCCCGGACTTCGGCGCGCAAGGCGGCGTGCGATTCGTTGTAGTAGGCAGAATGGTACTAGAGGCAATTGTTAGTGAACACCACAATGAGATCGTCTACGTAGAAGGGGGGGACGGCACATACGTTCTGATACCAGCTGGGGTCGGCAAAGGGGATCTGAGAACCGTACTGCTCTAAAGCCTCGGCCTCTTCGTGTTGTGAGGACTGCACGGGAGCTTTGGTGGGTACGGGTGCGGCGTATGTGGGAGATGGCTTCGCCTCGGCTTTGGGCTCAGCTTTAGGCGCGGGCTGGGGCTCAGATTTGGGCTTGGAATCTAACGATCCAATCTGAAGAGATGGCTTGTATTTCTTGAGGACGCCTTCATTGTGGTATTTCCAGAATTGCTTCGACGCATCCTTCCCGGCGACGCGAGATAAGATCTTCTTACCACCTACAATTGGGAAGTAGGCGTTAGACCATGTCTGTGATGGCGCATACCGCTTCGCTGCTGGGACTGACTGATTTTGGATGGTTATGACTTACCTGGGTGCTCATCTTGGAATTTGGTCAGGTCGTAAACATCTTCATCGACAACGATCCATAACGAATCGGGCTTGTTATGCGACGCAACGTCGGCTTTACTGAATGTTTTAGACATGATGGATGAAGGAAGCGACACAATAAGATCTAGGGAAGGAACAAGGAGAGTGGGTTGAGATGGACGGGATGGGCGTAGATAGGGTCGCCAGGTACGATAAAAGGCAACAAAAGGTATGAACTGGGTATGAATGAAAGGAGAGTCAAAGTCAAAAGGGAGGAGACACAAGAAATAGTCAAGACTCGGGTCTCAGCTGGTCAGTCAGTCAGAGAGGTAAGCTCATTACTCGGGACTGTGCTATGACGAAGCTCGGTTGGGGAGCATTTTCCATTTTCACATGCCTCCGCCGCAAAGCGCGAACCGCATCCCGCAAACAGCCAGCGAGTCACGAGGTCCCTATTGCTAAGGATGTTAAGCCTGTTAAGCCTCATTTGAAGGCTAACTTTAGCTGCTTTACCCCACAATTTCTCGGCTTAGTCGAATGTTCCCCATGGGCACCGTCGCAGGCGATTTCCAGGCCTCTTTGCGTTGGTAGTCTGTCTGTCCATTTGACATGTGATGCCCGGCATAGGAAGTAACCTGTCAGTGATGTCATATTCTAGGGGATCAGACGATGCTAGGCCAAATTTGGTAGCGCAGCACAGACGCAGCACCTAAGCCCCCAGCATTCTAATTTCTAGCACTTTAAGTCGCTACCTAGGTACCTAGGTAGGTAGTGAGCTAGTGGAGGTTTCAGTGAGACTGGACCGAGGCATGTCTCCTTTAGGCCTAGTAGTTTGCATTCTGTCCTGATTCTGCATTCTGACTGCACTGCACCAACCCAACAGCTTGAGACATTCATTCTCTTGTCTAGGTGCTCGATTCAACGTCCCTATCGGGCTGCTACTCTCGTTCTGTATCTTTGACGTGCGTTGAGCTGTATTGAAGCTGTGCTTAGCTATGCCAAGTCAGCTGTTGGCCAGAATGTTGACTCGCAGCCCTCGCAGCCCAGCACCCAGCACTAGGCCTAAGACCCCAATCCAAATGCCAATGAGCACCAGGTTACACTGATGGAGCGACTAAGGCCACTCGGCGATTTCTCAATCATCAAGGCAACCTTCAAAATCCTCATTGGTATAATGTCTCTACAATACTCGGCATAAAAGCCCCCTGCAGATGGTGTACTTAGATGGACGTTGTGGACTGAAACATGCTGGGTAAGGTTACCCAAGGACCTATCCAGGTACCGTAGGCATCTACTCGCGATGGCGATATTCATAAGCGCAGCCAAAACCTGCCCCGAGCATCCAATCAACCAAATCAATTGGCTGCTCGATGACCTCCTTCTACACCCGACCGTAGCGCGAAACAAGAGTCTCGAGATAAACATCCCAAATCTCGTGACCTGTGTAGACAGACGCATGTATACATATGCACCGATGCCGCTTCTGAATCCTACACGGGACCGAATACTGTTGCCGGCAAGAATCCTAACCTGAGCGACAAGTATCATCCCCCTTATGCGCCCGCGCGCTGGGTCAAATCCTCGCCGACTTCCAGTTAGCAATGGAACGCACTAGGTTTCACGGGTTCACCTGTTCACGGGCTATGTTCGATGGAGTCACTGCCAATCGCAGAATTGACGAATTACTGTCGAGTGCGTTGGTTCGCAAAAGGACACCTACCTGTGCTGGATTTACATCAGTCCATATGCACTTAACAAGTAGCATTTGAAGGTGCAGTTCATAAGGTGCCACCTCCGAAACGCCAACGGTCGCAGCATTCGCTGTCGTATGTAGGTCTTTGAATCCTCGCAAATGACATGGTTCGTGATAATCAGTGGCTGAGCTCAGCCGTAAACCCCCTGTTCTACACTTGGCGGGCTCCCTCATCGCAACACGCGCCATATTTGAGGCATCTTGCCTGCAGCGACAAGATTGACTCTCCTCTCGTCATTTTCAATTCATTATCAGTTTCGTTCCATTTCGCCACCAGTCTTGGAAGAGACTTTTTCATCTCTCCACTCACAATTGCCTCCAAGACCGTGCTTCAAGAGTAGACAATTCGCACAATGAGACTCTTGAATGCCCACACTCGTCAAATCCACGAGTTCATCTCCTCCTATGATGTCGAGGATTTCGCCATAGTATCTCACACATGGGGGAAGGAAGAAATATCACTACAAGACTGGCAAAACTTGTCTCCGGCCGAGCTTGAATTGAGAGAGGGTTATGCCAAGATATGTCATTGTTGCCAACAAGCGATCGAGGATGGTTACGATTGGGTGTGGTTGGATACCTGCTGCATCGACAAGACAAGCAGTTCTGAGCTTTCAGAGGCTATCAACTCAATGTTTCGCTGGTACCAAGATGCCAGCATTTGTTACGCATATTTGGCAGATGTTGCCGACGACACCACTGAAGACTCTCTTCTCACGGCCCTGTCACACAGTCGGTGGTTTACAAGGGGCTGGACTCTTCAAGAATTGCTCGCGCCGAAAGACATCGTCTTCTTCTCCAAGAACTGGAAGAAGTTGACCACGAAATTGACATCATTGGAAACCTTATCCACTGTTACAGGCATAGAAAAGATATACCTCGAGGGTGAGCCTCTTGAGGATGCCAGCGCAGCGCAGAAGATGTCATGGGCTGCATCTCGACAAACTTCTCGTATCGAAGATATTGCCTATTGCTTGCTTGGAATTTTCGACGTCAATATGCCTCTTATATACGGCGAAGGGAAGAAGGCTTTCAAACGGCTCCAAGAAGAAATCAGTATGCTATCCCTCTAGTGATTATCCTCTTACTCTTGCCCCCCAGAGAGGCTAAAATTGCACACAAAATACTCATGAAGACCGCTCACTTTGATTTGAAATCTTAAATACTGACTCTAAGAAACTATAGTGAAAGCCAATCCTGAAGACCACACCTTGTTTGCGTGGGGAACAGTTGTCGAGAATCTCACAGACATACCCTATTTAATAACCGATGAAGCAGAAGCCTCTAAACTGGACGACATACCCTGGGATGCTTCAAAGCTTACACCTGCCCTTTCAGGTTTGCTTGCGGAGTCTCCAGCAGACTTCAAAAATTCGGGCGGCTTCAGGACTTCCAACATCGCAAACAAATTCTACAAACACGCGCCTCGCGGTATCATTACATCCCTCCCACAAATCCAAGCTCAGATGATCCGAATCCAACTGCCAGTCAAATACGACCTATATCAATCAACTGTCTATTGGGACCAGCCCCAGATTGCGACGCTACGTCTCCTCTCAGTAGCGATTCTGCTCTGTTATAATGAGAAGACACCTGGCTATCTCCCAGCAATATTCCTTCGTAGCTGCAGCGAGAGGTCTTCGTTTAATCGTACACGGGAATTTTGCGATCGATACATTAAGATGCCAATCTCTGTCCGGCCGGCGCTATTCAATCACCGCAACATGCTAAACATTGGGCCTCAACGATTGATACGAATCCAATCTGGCGATATTATGCTGCGGCGGTATATCTGGGGTAAAAACACGGAGACCATTGGGTGGCGAAGCCTATCTGAGGGTCAGACTATTCCCGAGGGCGTCATAAAGATGCGCGGTGAGAAGAATGGCGCGATTTGTCTCTTGTATAACCGAAATTGCGTTGTTTCATGCCGACACGCATTCGGCGTGAAGTTCGAGCGAGTAGAAGTGAACGGCGAAGATGGGGCGGGTATAGCCGTTTCTGTGATTCCGATGGACAACGGGCCTCCAGAGGGAACCAAGTTCGAGCCTATCTCGCCGGATTTCGACATCAAATGGAATACTCGCGGTCAATGCATACGAGCCGATATTCTTCCCGGATTCAGGAAGGTCCTAGCAATGCCATCCGATACCGTCGACTTTGATATTCTCCCATTTCCCGTCATCACGTTCAAGGCTGAACGACTTCCATTGAGCGGAAAAGGCTACGCAGCCGATGCCTATGTCGATGTGCTGGACTTTGTGATAGAAGAACGGATGCTGCCTTACTATCCTAACAGCGGCCATGAAAATCCCGACAAGAAGCACAGATGAAAAAAGAGACATTCAAGCTTATTATTCGAGTCTTAATATGTCGAACATTCCAGATGTGACGAGACGGTTATCTATGCCATGACGTGTGCCTCTCTGTTCAGTATTGGAGGTCTTCGGCTTTTCGCCGATCAATGCCTATTTGATATCTGGCCATATTGGTGAGTTGTAATCTCCAAACCCCAATATCATCCATCCAGGGTACTAAGAGTCGGTCAGATCGTCTGAAGGGCACATCGATTTGTGTTCTTCAGAGAATGTGCAAGAATCATAACAAGTATGGATATATACCCCAGTTACAATATCATACGGCGTCCTAGTCGAAACCTCTTGCCACAAATAAATATCGACAACTACTATCCACTAACAGGTACATATACATCGGGAAGCATATACACCTGGCGCTTTGAGAAAAGAACTCATTTTTGAATCAAACAAGACACCGGAAGGGCGTTGACAGCAAATGTCGGTAATATACACGCAACGCACGACGGGCTCAATCTGAAGATATTCCCGGGATAGCGGTCCCTTAGGAACCGCTTTAAGGACAATAGACTCGATTTAGCCGACATATCAGATGCAGTAGATCATCGCAAGCAATATAATTTGTGATCGTCTAGGCCTCCAAATCTTCAGTGTTCCGCATCAATTGAATGTATTTCAATCAATTTCACATGCGAGTTCGCGTACAGTGATGTAAACGGTTACATTCGTGCCTTGGACATCGGACATGGAGTTAGACGTCGTCATGACGATCAGAGGAACCTTTCACTGAGTGATTTCGTGTCATTTTCCCGTGCAAGATGTCTCTTGTGAGATACTTTCTAGCAAAACCTGAGCTTTCCCGCGGAGTATATCGTGCCGATAAAACCCTCCATGTCTCGCTGTACCAACAGCTTGCCTTTCGCAGTCCCAGCGTAACGGCCACCGACTACCTCACGGTTAGAGGGCTACCAAGCAAGCTCGCAACAATGCGGCGATACATAAGCACTACAGTCTCGCTAGTATTCTGGCTGTGGGCAATAATAGTATCTGGTCTTCCAAACTGCCCCTTTCCAGGAGCTGCATTCCCCAAGCCAACGAATCTCGCGGCGTCGCCAACAATACAAGCCGCTCTCGCCAACTTAACCACAGCCTTCGAAACCTACGACGAGACGTCTTCGAACAACCCCAACAGCACATCGTGGTCTATCCAAATATTCTCCGCGTCGTCAGACGAACCGCTATGGGAACACTACCACACCGCGCAGAACCTGCCGGAGCAAGAGGAGACGGCTAACTTCACCGTCGGCGCGGATACTATATATCGACTCGGAAGCCTGACGAAGATCTTCACCATCATGACGTTTATCGCGGAGGCGGGTGATACGCGCTGGAATGACCCTGTCACGAAGTATATCCCCGCGCTCAAGGCTCTCGCGGCCAAGGCACAGGAGGATCCGGTAATGAACGTGGATTGGGAGAGCGTTACGCTTGGGGCACTGGCGAGCCATATGGCGGGTATCATGAGAGACTGTAATTGAAAATCATGAGTTTATTGCTGGGGAAGTGATGTTGCTGATGCGATACCAGATGCGCTTGAGGGCGAGTTGACGCAAGAGCATAACCAGACTATGCTCATAGGCCAGGTTAGTTGATCAAACCTCGCATCCTTTACGCACCCAACGTCGAGGCTTTCCTTTGCCAACTCTCGTAACTGGATTCATTTTCAAAAACATAAAACGCGATTCTAACCTCGGATACGCAATAGGGATTCCCCCCAGCACCCCTGAACGAAGTCCCTTTCTGCGGCGAAGTAATCCCATGTACCCGCGCCCGTACGCAACCCCTTTCATTTCCTCACACATTTCAGCTCAGCTCATCTAAACCTCCAAATCAGAACTCTTCGCAGGTCTATCCATCATCCCGCCATCCTTCGCCCCGTCTCAAACGCCCGCGTATTCGAATCTCGGCTACCAACTCCTAGCATACGCGCTCGAGGGAATCACAGGGAAGCCGTTTGCGCAAATGCTCCAGACGGAGATCTTGCAGAAACTCGGGCTCAATCACACGTATTACCTGCGGACGCCGCCGGCGGAGCTAGGGGTGATACCGCCTGGCAACGAGATGGGATGGAATTTCAGTCTGGGGGAGGCAAGCCCGTAAGAATCCCCATGCATACATACCCTTCTCGTCCACATGACACCCACGATTCCACTGACACATCACAGCACAGGAAACATGTACTCCTCAATATCCGATCTCTCCCGTCTCGGCCGCGCCATCTTCCGCAGCACAATCCTCTCTCCGGCGCAAACCAGGCGCTGGCTGAAGCCCGTAGCAACAACATCCGATCTCTCCGAAGGGCTATCCTACCCATTCGGGTACCGACGCATCCCCCTCGGCACAGCAACTTCACACGCAGGTCTAACGCACCGGATCGTCGACAGCTACAACAAAGCGGGATCCATCAACAAATACGCCTCCCTACTCATCCTCCTCCCAGACTACGCCGTCGGTTTCGCGGCGCTGTTAGCAGGGGATTGGCCCGGGAACGCAAACTGGGATATGGCGGACGTAATCGGGCCAATACTCCTCCCCGCACTAGAATCTGCTGCGCGCGAACAAGCCGAGGGTATATTCTCGGGTACATATACCGCGAGCCACGTGAATTCCTCCCTGGTATTCTCCACCGACCCCGAGAAACCGGGCCTAGGCCTAGAGAAATGGATAAGCAACGGCACGGACATGATCCCCGTCGCGGGCACGTATACCCTCGGGAGCAGTTCCAGGGCTAGTATACGGTTATTTCCCACGGGTCTTGAAACCACCTCTATTCCTACAAATGAGAATGAAAATGGAAGTGAAAAGAAGAAGAAGAAGAAAATCGCCTTCAAAGCCATGATCGAAACGGCGGATAAAAAGGACCATTCGAACAGCATGTTCTCGACGAATTGCGGGACGTGGGTGAGTCAGACGGTCGCCGTGTACGCGGATTACCCGCTCGATCAGTTCGTGTTTACAGTTGCTGTTGCTGAGGACGGGGGTGAGGAGGAGGCGGAGAGCGTGATGTCGTTGGCGTTGAGGACGGCGCTTGTGAGAGAGAGATAGTTATATAGGTAGGTACCTAGATTAGGATTATGGGTGGTGAATGAGTACTTAGGGAAAGAAGGAATGCGAGGCGAGTGTTAAAAGGGGGGAGGGTGTGAGATGAGATGGAAGATGTGCAGCGAATACCTACACTACCTAGACGACACAATATAGACCATGATATACGCGAAATCACCACATCTCCCACACAATCAAAACGAAACAATGATTCGAAAAGTATATCTTTTAATAATTCAACGAGCTATAAACATCTAGCACCCACGAACCGACCAACCAAAAACAAAAAACGACGCCGGCTCTATATTGATTTGAGTAGTTTAACTACTTATGCAGGGTTCTTCGATAACCGACCTCCCGACCTCCCTCAAATATCCCGCCCTCCCAGCCATGATAATAACATTTTCGCCAGTAATGCTTTACAAAGAATAACTGACTGACTGACAGACTGACTGGAGTCCCTTTCCTCTTTCATTTTCAATACCTTCCAAAACAACTAACTAGTTCTCCTTCACCATGCCCAGCTTATGAGCAGCATGACCCGATGGCGTAGCAGCACTAGCAGCAATCTTGACGCTCTCGAAGACGCCACTCAGCGAATGTCCGATATCCTCGAGGATCTGTGGTCTCTTTTCCACATGGGCTTTTGTGTCGATGCCGTTCTGCGCCTCGGCATTGACGCGGGTCAATTCGGTGACGAAGCTCTGTCCCCACCATGCCGAGGTGTATTTGAATACGTATCGCTCCAGTTTGCGATAGTTGACCTCTCGCATTTCGGGGGACATGGTGACGGCGTCGTGGATGGAGTTCGCGAGTTCTTCGATGTTCCAGGGGTTGACGATGAGACTGCCGTTGAGCGATTGCGCTGCGCCGGTGAATTCCGAGAGAATCATTACGCCGTGGCGCTGGCGCTGTGTCGCGATGTATTCATAGGAGACGAGGTTCATGCCATCTCGGGTCGAGCTGACTAAACAGACATCGGAAACTGCGTATAGGGCGCAAAGTTCGTCGAAGTTGACGCTCTGATGGAGGAAATGGATGGGCATGAATTCGACTGTGCCGAATTTGCCGTTGATCCTTCCCACTAACTCGTTGACAACGGCGCGGAGGTTTTGATATTCCTCTACATCCTGCCGTGAAGGCACGGCAACCTGTACTAGCACGACCTTTCCGATCCATTCGGGGTGCTCTGTTAGGAAAACCTCAAGGGCATGAAGTTTTTGAGGTACACCTTTGATGTAGTCGAGTCTGTCTACACCAACTATGAGCTTAACACCCTCGAATTTGCGCGTCAGCGCCGCTATGCGCTCCTGGACTTTAGGCTTTTTCAAGCCTTCAACGAATTTCTCTGGGTCTATACCAATTGGGAAGGCGGCTACGGTGACGAATTTTCCATCATATTCGACACCGTTGGGTGTCGTTTTCGTGTCAAGGATTCGCGAGCAAGCGCTGAGGAAATGCCTGGCGTAGTCGTAGGTGTGGAACCCGATGAGATCACATTGTAATAATCCCTTAAGCAGAGCTTCGCGCACCGGCAAGATACGGTACACCTCGCTACTCGGGAATGGGGTGTGGAGGAAGAATCCAATCTTGATATCTTTCTTGCCATTGAGGCCTTTTCGTAACAATGCGGGAAGTAGCATCAAATGATAATCGTGAACCCAGATTATGTCGCCATCTCTCACATCCTTCAACACGGTCTGCGCAAATAACCTGTTTACTTCCTTATAGGCGGTCCACGCACTTTCGTCAAAGGTAATTTCACCGGGGTGGTAATGGAATAACGGCCATAAGATTTCGTCTATCAATAAAAGCTGGGAGTTAGCAATGTAAAGGCATTCTACGGGGGTTTATTTGGGTGTCACATACTGCTGAATCCATTGTAGTGTCGGTCGGCGAGCTCGCCGTCGACAAATATGGGGTGGGCGCCGTATTCGTCCTTCAACTGCTGGGTAACGGTGGATATCTCGCCTTCAGGAACCTCCATACCTGGCCAGCCATACCATTGAAAGCTCGTCGTCTTGCTCAGGCCACTTAGGCCCGCCACAAGGCCACCGGAGGACATTGAAAAATCATATTGGCCTTCATCCTTCCGTTTTATCGTTATGGGTAGACGGTTGGAAATAAGGAGGAGCCGACGATCTCCCGTGGGAGATGCTTCTTTTTCAGACATGGTTATGATGGTAGATGTGGAACGAGTTGTGTAAATAAACCAACACTAATATGTACTTCGAAGGGTGCTCCAAGGAGCTTATCTTGACTGTATTGAACTCGGAAAGTTTGGGTTCGAGAACAATGACAGAGTGCTTAGGGTCTAGGATGTACGAGATCGAATTGACTCGGCTTCGTCGAGGAGGTAGAGGAGGGGTTCGAAGGACAGTAATATATGCAACAATATGCTGAGACGGCTTTCTTGGCGAAGAAATAAGTGGACTTGTTACGTCGAGAAGAAGTGAGAGTGAATCGAAATGGAAATATGGAGTTGGCGCCAGGCGGGAGAGTAGAGGAAGATGAGGCGAAGGCTGTTCGAAGCGACAGAACAGGTGCCAAGGAAGCTAATACTTCTTTCTAGAGGCGCTCTTGTCGGAGGAAACGAGAGAGAATGCAACCACTGTCTAGTCTAGCCTTGAAGGAGGAGAAAGAAGAGAAAATGCCGCCGGCATTGATGCTCTAGGGGTGGAATTGGGTTTTATGGGAGGGAGCATCTTCGCCGTAATCTATCATGGACCATTCATCGGGACGGCAACACCAAACAAAAAAAAGCTTGTGTCACCTACGTAATATTCAGTGGACCGCCACCTGTTTCAATGGCTGCGATGGGGGGCATAGGCGGTATATGGTGACTCGACTAGGCCCGTTGTAGTATTAATTTAGCTTATTTTAGCACCCAAGCTGCCGAGTAGCTAGCAGATAGGTAGGGTAGCTAGGTACCTAGGTAGGGTAAGTTGTCGCCTAACGGGCCCAGAACAGTGGACTAATATGGCGCACCATTGCACAGCATGGGCCTGTACTCTAATTTTCCCCGCATCGCGACAACGCACCCTTTAACCATCACCATCACCGCAGGCTTCAAGCTGTCTGTCTATTCTTAATAATCCGACATCTTATCTACCGAGTCGCGCAATGCTCGACATAGCCCAATGGTCGTTCGTTGTGCGTACCTGTTTGTGTCTACTATGTAGGTGTAACATGAACGGATTCCGACGATTCGTGGGAGCCAAACGCCAAGGACTGATATGACGTCTTCGTCTGATAGCTGTATCTCATCGACCTATGTGCCATCGTCGTCCATCAGCTCCGGTATCCGTGCCGTCTTGCGTTTTCTCGACTTTTCTACGGCCACCTAGAATTAGATGTTCACCATGGCAAACGATAACTTTCTCCCCTGCATGATTTGCTGCATTAACTCGTTATGGTACCTTGGACACATCATCCTGTCAAATGCTCGTGGAGCCAAGCATGTCTCCCGCCAATCACCATACCGCACTCGCTCTCGAGTTTGCCGTATCGAGCCCCCGTCCCACGTGGGCCCGGACGTTCTGGTCCTGCTTTCTCATTTCTTGGATGCGTGTTTGGGTAGGAAATACATCGTATACCTACTTCTGCCTTGTGTGAACTCAACACTCGCCCAATTTCTGCTTATCGAGGCTCATCTGACATGCGTGGTATCTTTCCCGCCTATTATAAATTGATACCTATAACCAACCGTGCGGTACAATTGTCAATCAGGAGGTTTTCCTCCGCCGGGAACCGGGGTATCGCGTTATAATTACCAACAGCTCTGTCTGCTTCGAAAAAGTTCATGGTTTGCGCCCTCCCGGACGATGCTCTTTGGTTCTTCGAGCATTTACATTGGCTGCGTTTAAACACGCATCACCACTCGCCTAGGAGGTCACTCCCGATACAAGCGCTGGATTAATTTGTGCCTGAGAATATATCCCTCAATGAACAAACTCTAACCAACTTTGATTGTCCCGGAAATCAAGCCAATTAGAAATCGGAGCAGGATGCTCGACCTGTTTATGAGGGAAAATTGCTCATAACGATATCATGGCGTTTGCCCAAACGCAGACTCAAAGAGACACAGAATCATGGGCTTCTCACTGCCACCTTAATAAGGCTGTAGAAGGACCGTACACACGATGATTGCTTGATAAAAGAGAATATCTACTGATGCCAGTGTTGCTCAGTTGGTAGGTAGGTATCTTACCTTACCCATCTACCAATCAAATCCTGCACTCCACTAACCTCCTACCTAGGTACCTTCTAGTACCTAAAGCATAGGTTACTTAATCACTGCATGTCGTGCATACAAATTAAGTATATCCATTCATCAGATTGAGAATACCTAATATCTCATGGAATATCCATGATGTGTTCCGATTTTGTTCATAGGCAACCATTCAGAATGCGGTACCGTATCTATAGTTGTAGTGGTAAGATTACACCAAGTGCACGCATTGAATCGGTAGATGGAGATATATTCCCCACTCCCCTCGACCCCGGTCCATCTCACAATTTTACAATAAGACAAAGCTCATGAGATCTCCAAATCGTCTCTTCTCGGCTATGACTATTGTAATATTCTAACCAAGTCAAGTGGTATGTACGAAGGAGTAGAAGTATACAAAACATAGTGAACTCGGCTTGCTTCTCGATGCTAACCCGCCGCCCTTGGGGTATAAAACCAATGAATCCTTTCTCTCGTCTCATCTCAACCCATCTCATCCCATATTCCCGTGCCTCCTCTCGCAATTGGCCTCCTTTACTTTCCTTTCTTCTCCTCATGACCTTCGACGATGACGATGAATCGATAAAAACCTTCTATCATCCAAAATGCGGACTCTGTTCACAGCAATGAAATAACAGTCCTCGCAATTCCGCGGGTCCCATCCGATTTCGTGATTCAAATACGGGTTGAAGAAATCGATGTCATGTGGCGTGATTAGGTACGCTCTCTCTCCCTCTCTCTACTACTCCCTTCTACCACCGGACTGTATGACGAGTCGGTGCCAAGTCTGATAATAAATACCCGAAATGATAAACGGGGTAATATAATACGGTTTGAAAAAAAAAAAAAAAACACCCCTTGTGAACGAAGGTGTGAAAAATGGTGGGAGTAGAATTAGACATGTGAAGAGAAGCGAAGTAAAGTAAACTAAAGTAGAATAAGATCGGGAAGAAAGGGATAATGAAATGGTGCGCCGTGGCTGTGTGATGTATGAGAGCGGCTTGCGTTGCGGGGTGTGGTGTGGGTGAGATCATTATATCGTGAGGATTTGTGCGACGCAGTGCTCTTTCGAAATATACATGAGGTTCGGATGTTTGTCCCGTCCTCTGGTGATAGTTGTCATTATGGTTTAGATAGCTGTCGGCAATGTGGTGATTTAGTAATCGTATCGGTAGCAGAAGGTGCCGCCGAGGGTATTCAGGGCCTGGCCGACGGTGACGTCCGGGCGCAGACCGCTGCTGCTCAGCTTCGTGTCTAGCGTGATGGGCGTGCAGGGGCTCGCCTTGTCCGCGCAGCCGCTGATGGTCGTGCGCCGCGACGGGTTGGCGTTCTGCCAGATGCGGAACGTGTGGTCGACGAAGAGGTGGTGCATGAAGAAGATGGGGTCGCCCACCGAGGCCGAGACCTCTGCCATGACGGCGCCGACGCCGTTGTGGCCGTAGCCGTGGGGGCTAAATCAAGCGTTAGCATCGAGCTGCTGGAAATGAAGTGGCGATGACAGGAAAGAAAGAAAGACATACCCAAGCTCGAAACAGTCGCGGAACTCGTCGTACGAGCCCATCGCCAAGCAGCTGTTGGTGAAGTCGTTGTTGCACTGAGCGGTCTGGGACTCGTCGACCGCGCGGGAGAGGCAGTGGTCGGAGTTCCCAGTGCCAGGGCCAACGTGCAGGGTAGTACCAGCGAATTCCTATTTCGGCGTGGAATCATTAGCTTTGTCCTTATAAGATGCGAGATATAGAGGTGGTGCATACCCCCGACTCGATGCAGGTTCCCTGGCCATCTGATGTCTTTGCAGGGAGATGGCCAAACCAGGCATCCGAGAAAACGTCGGACTGCGCGAACGCGCCTGCGTGCTTGGTCTCGTCCCACCAGGGCATGGCGCGGTCGAAGGCGCACTCGTCGCGGAGCATCTGCTCGAACACCCACACGAAGTAACGGTGCCACACGAGGAACATGGCCGTCTGGTGGATGTTGGCCGTCATGCCGCGGTGGACCGAGACGAGGTCTTCGTACCGGCTCTGGGACCCTGTGTACTGGCTGCCGCCCGACGGCTTGCTTTGCAGACATTTGATGGCCTGCACGAAGGCCGTGCGGTCGGACCGACTGTAGCTGTCCCATTCGAAACGCACATGGGAGTGGCTGGCATCACAGCCCGCTGCCGCTCCGTTGTTCGTGTCCTTGCTACCTCCCCCAAGAGGAGGCTCCCCGGGAGTACCGTTGCCACCAGCCGGAGGAGGGGGAGGGGGAGGTGGAGGTGGAGGTGAAGGAGGAGTAGTAGGATCAGCAGCAACAGTGGTTGTGGGCTGCTCAGGGGTATTGTTCTGAGGAGGGTTATCATTACTGGGAACCTCCGTGGGTTGTTCGGAGGGTGTGTTTTCCGTGGTGTCCTCGCCACTGTCTTCAGAATCGGTGGGTTGGTCTGTTTCCCTGCCGGGGAAGTTGAAGAGGTCGCCCCAGTTGTCGAGCGAAAACCTGTTTCGGGTTGCTGGCTTCCCGGCGATATTCTTGAGAGTATTCTTGGCACGATCCTTGAAATCATGATCCCCCTCCTCAAAGTCCTCTTTGAACTCGTTATGTGAGAACTTGACCTGCCCTTTCTCGAAGAATTCTTCTAGGTTGTCCCATTGAAGCTCGAGCTTGTCCTCAAAGGCCTCAAGTCGGGCCATTGGGCGATCTAACCACTTTCCAAACTTATCCATTGGCCCATCATTGAACATGCCCTGGTTGAAAAACTGCCGGATGTTATCATCAGCCTTGTCAAAGAACACCTTGGGGTCCGCGGTAGGAAAGTGCTTGAAGCTGGAGATGTCGACATGTTGGACGCGCTTCTGCATTTGCGTGTTGGGCACAGCCAAAGCAGAGACGGTCATGGCGCCACAGAGGGCTTGCGATGTAACTGAGTATCGCATCGTGACGGAAGCCAACAGTCCTTTGGGAAGAGGAGGAGGGTGTTACAAGGACTGCCGAGTATTACGATTATTTATTTTGGCATCGATGTGAAAGGCCCTTCGGAGAAGAAGGAAGAATCGCACATGCGAGCGCAAACATAGATAAACATGGCAGTCGAGGAAATAGGAGTGCGACTCGTTGGAGACCTCCTTTAATATGCCGTGGGTAGCAGGCGTCGATCGTCATTTTTTACTTTGGGCGCTGCGCGCACATTGGAGACAAACAGCCAGGTGGTTTCTGAGTCGTTGTGGGCTTGGTGTTCAATCCAGGCAGATCTGCAGCATTCCCACAAACCAAGTCCACAATGCCGAAGGGTCGAACCTGGATAGTGCCAGGGGGGTCTTGGTATGGACCTGTCTGACTTACTTGTCTGACTTGCTTGGTAGCCTGGCGAACCTGGCCAGACATCCCGATATCTGCGCGAGCCTACTTTACTTAGCATGTACCTCCCACTAACAGCTTAGGGCCGCTGGTTTCATCCTCCTGCGAAGCTCGCCAGCTCCCAGATCTGCCCTGAATCTATTCCTAGATAATAGATGCCACCTACCTAGAATAACCGGCATCGCGTGATGCTCTCGTCTACTCGCTAATAAGGTTTCTTCACTATCCTGAGTCTTGAAACTCAGAAACGCCCAAAATAGACTATAACAACTCAATGATATCTTGGCCGAGGCATAGCAAGGTTCAATGTGCCGTGGCCGAATATCTGATGATTCCTACACACAATCCTGCTTGTTAGTAGCGAGGCTGGTACTGTAGCGTAGATGGTGGATTTCAACCATCGCGTCAGGCGTCACTATCAGCGTCATCTCACATGGTGAACCATGTTGCTCGCTATTGACGACGACATGTCGGCCTAGAGTTGGCCTGACTCTCGATGATCCCGTCGTCATACGCATGCTACGTAGGCTAGAGCTCATTGTTCAATGTAACGAAGCATATCATATTCTAAAGCATGCTGCCGTTAGTAGCTCGTAGAAGGATGGGATCTTCTTCTTCGCGCATGTGGGCCTCTCGGGTCGCATTGCTCAATTGACCCCAATCGGTTTCTAACTGGTATGTGATCCCATGGGCAGTGAATCTATCTACCCACTTGCCCGAGTAGGCAGCTAGGTGAGGATTTTGTATTGGGTGTACAATACCAACGATTCTGCCTGTGGCATGCGTGCGCGCGTGTACCTAACTACATATCTACACCTACACCTTACACCTACAAGCCCCTGCTGGTGCTGGTGCGGGGTACAGAAGATCATCTGCGACGAACCGCTACAGCACATCGTGGGGGTGAGGGGAGAAGCGAAGTGCAGACTGCTTGCCGACATCACGAATGGCGTCCATCCAGCTTCGAGTTGCCGTCTTCCTATGAATTTTCAAAGGAGATACGGCGTGCGTTAACGAGGTCTCTAGTGCGGATGCGACAACGGGTACAACCTATTCATTGCTGTGTTCTTCAAGCAATGCCAGTTCCACGTAATTACTTCCGTAGCTCTGAGACATGAGAACTGTGTAAGACATTGCTATCCAACAGTCGGCAATGAGGTTTCGCATAAGTAGGTAGGCAGAAGATCGTCAGATTTCGTAGTTCCTCGCGTGTCCCTACAGAGTTCACGCTGTGCGATCCCGATCATCTGGGTCCTGCAGATACGAGATGCGCTCTTAACGTGGTATGACGTCTCACAGCCGCAATTTATTGATGAGTCTGAGGGGTAAAGAGTGTGCGAAAGGTCTGTATATAGGCGGATAGATGGACAAATGGACGCATTGGGCGTGCAGTTCCATGGCCTGGGTGCCTTTTTTGGCGTTTGTGTTGTATTCGTGGGTTCAAAGCTGTCGGCTGACGGCAATCTCGCTGCAGAAGTTAGTAATTGATCTTCGCTGCATCTTCGCCTACTCACCACCGCTTGCGTCACCGACCCATGAATATTATATCATCGAATCACTACACATTGTAGAATCCATGGGCATATATACTGTAGAGCAAAAAACCCTCAGTATGACTTCATTCGCGATAAGCGGTTCCGCCGCCCGCTTTGCACTCTGGTGTCACCTCTCGTCGTCAAAAGGCGTCATGAACATGAGCTATCACTTTGGCTTCCATTTCAACTCCGCATACCTTTAAGACCCAGTTATATTGGCCTTTGACCCATACCACCCATGTTTTTTAAGGTGACATTATCGCTACCTAGTACCATTTATATATACTTTAGTTACAATTCGTTCTTTAATCAACTATTAAGATAGCTTTAGTTAAAATAGTTATATCTTTAGAAAGCCCTAACTTAGAGCTATTTGCAGGTTATTTTATTTTTTTTAAATTCGAAGGGGAATAATGCCGTAAGACCTAACGAAACCAGAGGTAATGTGCCCCCATTTATGTAGCACTTTGTAACAATGATAGTTGTAGTTACATCTGGCACGGGCAAAATTAGTATGAGAATGGAAGTAGCTATTATTTTAGCTGCTCTAATTGGCTGTAGGGATTACAATAGTGCCTTGGCAGGTATGCGGAGTTGAAATGGAAGCCCAAGTGATACCTACACGACGATAACCAATGAATCCCGATATCATGAACGGACAGTTTGCTAGGCCTACTATATCTTCTCAGTTTGCTGTCCGGAGTTATTGAGATTAACGGATCCGACGGCTGTGTTTCATGTTCGGCCGCTAAACAAACGTCTTGGCTCGCCATTTAGCATCTACAACACCATACCTACCTACCTACATGTGCCTTGCATTAGAAGTCGTGTAGCCACATGAATAATTTAGACTCGCATGGTAGGGCTACCCAATCGCGAGGATATGACTTACTTTCATCTCATGACGGTAGATCTGGTGTCAGTAGAGATCAGCATTCAAAGAGACACACATACCCAATAACCACAGAGGTTTCGAGCACAGCCGTTCGCACGGGTCGACGCATCGTGTCATGAAGTCTTTAAAGGAATCTAGTGTCGGGCTTTTTTTGTTGTGATCAGCCCGGCATCCTTACTTAGACCGGTAGAGACGGGGCCACAGATGGGGCAGTGTCGGGGCGATACATAGGTACTACCTAGCCTAATCTACAGGAGTCCGCCAGGGCCTATCTTCAGTGCCCCTTGCGCTATAACCTCAGGAGAGCAGCCTTGCTGCTAGGAGCATCCATCCTTCTCCATCCCTCGCCTGCAGAAAACGCCGACCACATGGCTTCAATTGCATCGCATGGAATCGATACCAATCGATCCTACCTATTTCAACATAGACTGATTCAGACCCTTTTGCTTCAGTATTTGGATTCGTGGCTAAATTAACCAATTCCGCTTCCCGCGTTGCTGAGTCCAGGCTAAGGAATTCTTATTTTAAACTGGCCTGGCTCTCGGATGGCAGAGGAATGGCTCATGAGAGCGTCCGAAACCTTCCTGTAATCATATCCAAGACATGGGATGCATCACACGCGGCTACCTACCTTGTGCCTACCTTGTGCCAAGAATGTAGCAAACAAGACGAGACACGTCCCCGAAGTTCTACAAGTCTCGAATTGATTCAAGAATATGCATCGGCTGCTATGTTGCATCGCGGTCGCTTTGGAGATGAGTCGTGGCTTGACTCTTTCTCAACCTTATAGGATACCTACCTACACCTCACCTCCACGAGCAAGTGTAGGCAACACACATCTATCATGGCATCGTGAGTCCAAGTACACACAATACTAACACACGCAGGAAGCATACCAGTTCGCTTAAAGAGGTTAAGTAATCATGCTCGCTACACGCACATGCAAGACACACACTGCCGCCACCGTCTCCGGGTCTGTATGCGTACAGCTTCACGAACTGCAACCCCAATAATAGACGCGGTATTCCCCCAAAGCTGTATACTGTCAGACGCAAAAAGCCACTTTTGCTTCTAGACTAGAAATTCCTGGAAAATGGCAGAAGACCTTTTACATCCTTGCCTCGGTGTAGTGTACCGGTATAGCCTGTGGATGAGGCTATTCGAGGCAAGGGATCCATATAGTGAACACAAGTACGACGCTGGCAGCGAACCATTTTGACACAAATACTCTGCCCTATGAAGGAGCTGAGAACTTCAAGATCCATCGCAAAGTTTGTGCGCGATGACGATCAACATGTGACCCTTACTGCCTGCGCACAGCATGACGGTTGTAGCTCCAGTAGCGCGATCCCGCCCTTAGGCCGTATTGGAGTCCTTTTGACCATTTTTTGGCGCTAAAACGGTCCTTTTAACGAGCGCTTGACTTCACGTAAGCTGGGCGGGAGTCGGGGCGCGAGCTCTTGAGGTCCTTTTTTCCCTATTATATCCGATTCGTTACGTTAGCTCACTGGGTGCCAACAGCGCTACCCTTCTTCGGCATCGCCGCATGGGTAGTCTTAGCCACTAAGCAGGACCGGCTGGATCACTCCCCTCCCTCGCACACGTTGAGCGAAGAATCCCCACACTTTGCGTAGTGAAAGGTCGGAGGCGCATCAACCGGTACTGCTGAGCTGCGTCCGAATACTCGGCCCCTATTGTCCGTTAAGGGCGAGTTTCAAGGTGAAGAGACCAACAACATGAGGCGTTGTCGCGTCTTATAAGAGAAGACCTGCGCTCGCCTTGGGCAGCGAGAAAGACACTGACCCAAAGCAGATCTTCACGATCAACACTTTTTGGCATTTTTATTCCATTATTCTTTGTCGAAAAAGTACCTCTCAATCATCAAAAGTTACTATCGCAACTCGGCTATCTTTGCAATGCCAAGTGACGTCGATATCCTCATTGTGGGTGGTGGTCCTACCGGCATGACCCTCGCTCTAGAGTTAGCCGTCCAAGGAATCTCTTTCCGCATCGTCGACAAAGCCTCAGTGCGATCACCCTTCAGCCGTGCGCTCGTTGTGCAACCCAGAACCCTTGAAGTTTTCAACCGACATGGCGCCAGCAACGTCGGAGAGCTTCAATCGCTAGGCAAGGTGGCCGGCGCGGCCTCTATGTGTGTCTCTGGCAAAAAACTGGCAGACATCAATATTAATGATGTCACGCTGACTGGGACCAAATTTCCTGCTACTATGACTATAACTCAAGATGAGACGGAGAGTTGGCTTGAGATGATGCTTGCTAAGCACGAGGTCAAAGTTGAGATGGGAGTTGAGGTCAAGAACATCACCCAAGACAAGGATGGCGTCAACGCCACATTATCTCCCGAGAACGGCGACGAGGAGAAAGTACGCGTGAAGTACATAGTTGGTGCCGATGGCGCTCACAGCGCCGTCCGTCACGCTTCCAATCTTTCTTTCGATGGCGATGTCTATCCCCAGGAGTTTATCTGTGCCGATACCTTTATGGAGTCTTCTATGCCTCAAGGCCAGGCTTATATGTGTCTAGGCAACGGCGCGATGATTGTGCTGCCGCTAAAGGACGGGAGAGTCCGACTTGTCGTATCGCGACCGGGTCAGGATACCACGCGCGACCCTAAACTAGAAGATTTTGAAGAATTCATGCAGGAGATCTTTCCGGGCGGAGGCTCTCTACACGATGCATCGTGGGTCACCCGGTTTCGTCTCCACCATCGGGGTGTCAACAATTACCGCGACGGAAGACTCTTCGTAGCCGGGGACGCCGCGCATATCCACTCCCCTGCTGGAGGCCAGGGTATGAACACCGGCATCCAAGACGCAGTTAATCTTGGGTGGAAGCTTGCCGCTGTTCTGCGCGGCGAGAAGCCAGACTCGTTCCTAGATACGTACAACACCGAGCGGCATCGTATAGGACAGCATCTCCTCCAGACTACCGACAGGGTGTTCACATACGTAACATCTACGAACCCCATCTTTCTCTTCTTCCGCAACTTGATCCTACCCTGGATAATACCCCTCGCCACGTGGAACAAGGCACGCCTACAGACGCGGTTTCAGTTCATAGCACAACTCCGGATTAGATACCGCCACTCGGACATCGTGGCGACCGCGAACGGTTTCGACGGTCCTATAAAGGGAGGAGATAGGGCTGTCGATGGTAAAATCATGGGTCCAGAGGGCGAGAAGTGGATGCTCGATCTTCTGACCCCTCTTAGTCATCATCTCATACTCTTCTCAGGGTCAGGGGCAAAACAAGCTAGCGAGGGCGAGTTGAGTCGTGCCGAGGCCCGTTTTCTCGAAGACGCCAAGACTGCTGTCAAGGTGCATACGATATTCAGCGGGGGACAAAAGGGACAGGCAGGATACGTGGATATTGACGGCGGTCTTCACAAGGCGTTTGGCTTTACCGCTGCTGGTTACGTGCTTATTCGGCCGGACGGATATATTGCCCATATCGGGCCTCTAGCGGCACTTGGAGAGGCTGCGAAATGGTTATAAGTGGTGACTGGTCAGCCACCACATCAAAAGCGATAGACGATACCCCTCTCTTTTATTTGTACGGCATGATTGTATATGACTAGGACCTTTTTAGCATGGAATTGAATTTCGAGTTTGGATTTCGTCACATATAATGCACCGCACAAAGGAGAACATCTTAGACGAAGGGGCGTTAGTTATGCCCACGACACTAACCTCCAAAGGTGAGGCCCCTTCTGTGCCCGTAGGAGAGACTCATGTATGACAATTATAAATAGTTGTTTGTTTGTTAGCTATCTCATTATTCCCTTAAATCGGACAACACCCTAAATGGTGAAGTAAGGGAGAAATACACCACTCTCTTACTATTTATACTACCGCCATCCCGCCAGTCCTAGAAGTTATTTCGTCTCGTCCGATTATCCGTTACCGCCACACGTGCACGTGTCTCTACGCTTCCCAACAGAAAGGGTGATCCGTCTTCGAATGTTGCCTATATTCCAACTACTTGATATTCTCCAACTTCGACAGTGTTTGGTATCAGCCAGGTCAACAAATTCTTTGACGTAAGGCGGAAGAACTTGTTTCGTACAATATTGACGCGAAGTATAGTCGTTGTGTTACCAATGACGGTGGTTTCTCTTTATCTCTTGTGATTTCGAGTAGTTAGCTCTTGTGCCAAAGAGCATTGTTTTACGATAACAAAGAAAAGTGTATTAAAGGCTCAGACTATACAATTAGGCCACCGCTCGAGTTTGATCCAGCAAAATACCTAAGGCAGCACTCATAGATTTCAACATTCAAGAAGCACACTACACAACAAGAGAGCGAATCTCATCACATCTTGCCACCAACCATGGAGAGACAGCTTACTCAACGTGAACACCCACCACCACGCACCGCGAATCTCACCAGGCAAGCAAGCAATGCTCGAGACTCAGACCATTACACCCCAGTCCGAGAGGTCTATCTAAGAGAGAACGAGATGGATCAGCGGAAGAAGCGGCTATCTAAGACCGACAGAGAAATGAGCAAGTACGAGGAATATCTGCGGAACAAATGGGGCTGCCATGACGCCATCCCAGATCCCTTTGACCCAGAGAAACTTGACGCAGCGCTGAGGTCGCGGTTTCCAGCCAAGAGCAAGCAAGAACGACCTCTCGTTGCACGGGAGAGAGTTCCAGCGCCGTTGCCTCAGCCGGGAAATCAAGCTCCAGCAGTAAAGGAAACAAATTCTCAAGAAATGCCTCCAAAAGACATGTCTCCTACATCGGAAGAAATGATCCATGCAAGCGCCGCCATTGACACCGATAAGCAAGAGAAAAGCTACGAAAGCGAAGTATCTTCCGACAACGAAACATCATCAGAAAAGCACACTACCCCACCACGCGGACGTTCATCAACCTCCAGCCGTCGCGGCCGGAGTACATCAACTTCGGGTCCAGACGCAACGGACCGGCCCCGGACCCCACGCATCCGAGCCGGCTCGAAACCACCGCTGAGCCGCAGCGCGTTCGTCGCGGGCGGCGTGCCGTGCGAGCACGGGCGGTGCCAGGGCGAGTGCAAGCGCGACGCGGGCAGGCGCGCGAAGGCCCCGGCGTATTTCCCGTTTAAGAGTCGGGCGAGGTCGCGGTCGAAGTCGAGGGGGGGACAAAGTCAGAATCAGACCTAATTTAATTAGGGTGGGGATAATTATCATGGGTGAGATAGAGATGTTGATGAGAAATGAAATTATTGTTATGAATTTTTGGTAGTTTATGGGAAATGAGTGAGATTGATATTGTGATGTAATTATAATTACCATTTGTCTTTGTGTCATTACTAGGTACCTATGGTATTATTTTCATTCTAGTGTGGCTGTTGAGATTTGGGTTCGGTGGTGGTATGTGCTGATAGATGGGATACACACTTGCCATTGATTGAAATCTTCTTCCTCGAAGCTATCATCAATGCTGACTACGGCTGCGAATATACTGTAGTCGCTCTGATCCCCACGTTGGCAACACCATCGACAACGGCGCCGGTTGCTCTTCTCCTCCTTGCCAAACATCTGGATCGAGAGTTCGAATTTTCGCGCCTTGTGGTAGTCGGAGCCCGTCGTCCTCCGGAATCCCTTCGTCTTCCAGTCTCTTGATAGCGCGAAGCTGCTCAGGATTCGCCGCCTGACGAAGCAGAGTCCAGAATTCTGCGTCGGACACCTGCCACAACATCTCATCATCCACAGACCCTGCCTCTACCAGTTCGCCTATCACCCGGCCCGTCCGCTGATACATGTCGATGTGAGCTGGACTTGACCAGACGTCTTTGTCGGCGGCGATGTACGCGCGGGAAAGAGTGAGCGCTACATGGGGGTCGTTCAGCACCAGCAGACGGTTGGCCGCCGTAGCACTGGGAAACGCCTTCAATGAGCCGACAACCCTCCTGGCGTCTTCCATAGCAAGTTTGCCGAAGCTGACTGCGTCGCGTAAAGCGTAGTCCAGACGATCGGCGCACAGTTGAGGCGAAGGCATCTCCACCAACGGGAACAGTTCTTCTTGGAAAACGTTCTGAGTAATCCCATGTCTGGCGAGGATATCCGGCAGCCGCGTCGTCGCAAGATACCGCGTCTTGTGCACCTCGTGGTAGCTTTCTTCCCCAGGCTTGGAGAGGGCGTAATCGATGACGTGGCTGAGGGCGGTATGAGAGATGTCGTGGAGAAGAGCAGCGACTTGCTCTTCCATCACGCCACCTACTCTTCGCACGAGCATAAATGCGCCGACCGAGTGCTCGAGCCGCGTGACGCGCGGCGTCAGGCCCAAGAATCCGGTGACGCCGTGCTGGCAGATCCCGTGCAGTCGCTGCACCTCGGGGCTTTGCAGAAGGTCTACGAGAACTGGTTCGTGGACGAGTTCCTCGCCGTATATTTCATCTCGGATCAAGATCGTGTGCTTCTCGGTGAGTATATGTGTCTGGAGGACTCCGGCACTGGTAGGAGATGGCATCTCTGCTGGACCGGAATGTATTGATAGAAGTAATCGAAGTAAGATGATTAGGATGAGCATATGCACTGTCTACCCAGACATGGACATTTCGCTCGAGCCCATTGGCCGGCGTAAACCGTCGGGCGGTGGAATATTCGTACCACATCCGCCAAACCTCTGTACTTTATATTCAAAAGATAAATATCACCTAAATAGCTTATATTTCATAGATCTAACAGATGGTGCCATTGAAGGCACACTTGAATCTCAGCGAGACGCATTCAGTACAGACCCCAGATCCCTCCCGCGACCAGTAGATCTACATGGTGTTAACAACCGAGCTCTGCATTCTACCCTGTAACAAGCCGCCAAGTCGATCTCATGTCATGATATGCTGTCTTATTACATGCTTGCGGCCTAACCCCCTCTTCTCAGATGGTTCGACGCTGCATTCGGTCACCATCGCTCTCTAGCCAACGCCTTCCCATTAATCAGTGGCCCAATTGCACAACTCAGAACTCATGATTTGATGCGGAGAATACGTCATGTCGAACTCGCAGCACTAGTATCAACCGTAATCGCACCCTCATCAACAGGCTCTTCAAACCCACTCCAATACATGTCCAAGATATCAGGCGTGATCTGGTACGCGCAATCCGCATTGACTTCCACTTCTCTCCTCCGACATATGCGCTTCCATAGCGTTTCCTTATCAGGTGCCTTGAGGTACACGAGCACCCATCTAGCCCCCAGACTCTCAATAAGACTCTTCGCCTCGTCGCGATCCGGTTTATTCCAGAACGCCCGGTCGAAGACGACGTCTCTGTTCTCTTCCGTGAGAAGACGCTTCAACCTCGCGAGACATTCTTCCGCGGCCTCGTCGAGGTACTCTGGGTATTTCTCCGGCGCGTAGTCTACGCTGTAGAGCCCGTGCTTTGATGCGAGAATGTTGTCGAGGGAAAGACGCTCGAAGTTGGGATGTGCTGCAACGAGAGCTTTTGAGAATGTTGATTTGCCGGCGCCTGTGGATGAGTTAGAGGAAGTGTTCTTTGGTGTTTGACGCATGTTAAGTAAACCCTTTGAAGAGGGCTTGTGTGGTATTACCTGCGATGCCACAAGTCATTACCACTACGGGCTGACTGGGATTCGACTCAGTCCTGAGGATCTGAGGGCGAAGGGTTGCAATGACATTTTCCATGTTGGGCTTCATGTTGGAAGGTTAATTAGCGATGATCAAGTACAGCTATGCTTGGAGCTCGTGAGGGTCATGTTTGATTGATCTCGAATGACTCACGCTTGCTGAGTGCAGTGCTGACAACCATCTCACTGAGTCACTGTGCTAAACCCCGCCTCCATCCCCAACTTTGACCAGCGCGTAATTCGTATTCGTCGCATTATGTGGTCAGCAATCGATTTGCTTGAACACATTATCGTGTTGCATCTTAAGAGAAGGACACCGAATTCAAACAGAAGTTGGCTGGCGAAACGATGCGAACGGTTGATTTAGTGTTATCTCCGTTTGGCATCTCAAGTGAAGCTCTTATGGCCTTAGCAAAACTCCAACCAGGTCTTACAGCACTGACCGCCTGTGTTTTGATGCTGTGCTTGAAGCCAATCTCCATATTATAAGGACTGCTGTCATCGCCCAAATAGATTGAAGTATCCGGATAGCCCTTAACTCTTTTTATCAATTCCCGTACCCGCGACGACGAATAAATCCATCCTAGCATCATGAATCGTGAGATCTCCGCTCATTCCGCCGCTGTCCTCCCCACTTGACACTTGCACATCTGTATAGCAATCTCCTGTTTCTCTGGCAAGACGTGCTGTTCTTTGCTTGGGATCAACTCGAATACCTGCGCCCGGCGCTATAGGGTCACCGATCCAATAGAGCGAACTTGATTCTTCACTTCCTACAGTCTGATCACTAAGTTTACTTTCAGTCTTTACCAGATCGGCAAGTGACACGTTACGTTTTGTCGAGTGTAAGAGGCGGAAGCTTGGCTGAAGCTGGAAGAGTACATGGGCGCCCTCAGTGGGAAAGTAGCCGCCTATTATCGTCTTTAGTGTACCTACACCTACATCAACCGCCGTGGTAAACAACACGACGTGTGCAGACACACTGTTTGAGAGTGCTTGAGATTGGTGTAAAATTGTCGCATCAAGCGAACCTGAAGTTCCTGAAGTCAGTGGATTTAATGTGATTTGCGTATTTTGCACGTTACTTCGTTGCCGACCGACATTGTCAAGATCAATGTGAGGGGCGAAGAATGAAATGATGCCAGTGATATGGGGCAATTCGATGCCACGGACAGGCAGCTTCGTGATGTCAGCTGATTCCGCAGGTTGCAATAACACTGTCCATAACTGCTGGAACCGCAACAAAAAGTTGGGCTTGGTGATATCAGTATAAGACACATTCATTCCGAGGTGTTAAGATGCTCACCAGCAAGTCTGCTACTCTAGAAAGCTGCTGAACACCAACGTCTTCTCTGCTATTGTTACCTGCCAAAAAATCTACCAAGGCCTTCGTCTCACCAGGACATTCGCAGTTTTCTTCAATAATGTCACCAAGTGGGTGATACAATCCCCATGTCTGTTCCCGCAATCTCAACCGCAACATTGGATCTATTACAGTAGACAAATCCTTTCGCCTCACCATCTGACCGCGCATCACTCGGCGTCCACCTTCAGCAAATAGCCTCCGCACTCCGGATTCAAGTTGATCCTCCGAAGGCACCGCGTTTATGAGCTGCGGACCAGTCATGACTAGGACATCCATGGCATCATTGAACGCGCCGACATCAATATTCTGCTGTGACCCGCATGAAACAGACGGGAGCGCGATGCTACTGAACACCCGAGAGATACCAGCCCGTTGGAAGAACGCCGCGTCCTCGCGCCAGTACCAGTCGAGCTCACGGGTGCCAAGCAAGCTATCTGCTTGAAAGACGGTCAACAGCGCCGCACGCTTGAACGATTCGAAATCCAGCTTCGCGCCTTGCGTCTCCTGGAGAGCCGTGGGGAACGGATGGCGGGCGTAGAAATAAAAACTCCGCTAAAGTAATCGCACCGCGGTTTCGGAGATTGTGACATCTTCCCAAGACCTTCGGATATGGCGGCGAAAGCATTCTTCGGTCCAGGCTATGTTTGAGGGTTCTTGAGTAAGTACTGGGGTTGCTACATCAGGATCTAAAAAAGGGAGGAGAAGAAGATGTAATTACATTTACTGCCTGCCGGACTCTCGATGGCATATTTATCGAATGTCTCTCGTAGAAGCTCGCGCTCTCTAAAGGAATGTAATCGTGGTGCGAGTACCGTCCCAAGCTCGTTGTAGACCGAATCTTTTCGTCTCGATGTCAGTCAAATATTCACATATCGTTGCAACACTTATAGCACGTGGACTGCTAACACACCGCGGGTTGCTGCATCAAGATATTGCTTCACTTTTCGCTTCCCAGGTCCGAGAGCTATGTCGTTTATTAAATATAATAACGATGACAACATCACTTTGGGCCTACTGGTAATCGAAAAAAATTCATTGTCAAGCACGAGTGTGTATTGCAGTCTGCCAGAAAGCAGGGTGGAGTTGAGTAGAAGGGCTGTTCTTGATAGAAGGAAAAGAGTACATTAGGGAAGCATGATGGAGGGTCAAGTGTTTCTATATTGAACGAGTGCGAGGTAAGCAAAAATCATGCCACGTGGACCAATCCACTGTCAGTATCAACCAGGCAATGGGCCTATTTAGATTTCATTAAGGCAAGCAAGTTTACTCTAGACTATATTAGATAGAAAATAGAACAGCACTTCAATCAACAGTTTGGATGAGTCAGATCGGAAAATAAGTTAAGAGCAGAGAAATGAATTGGTTGATAGCATCATATACTTCCTGAAGCAATATGCCACTAGTCAAGTAGGGATACAAATGGTCAAAGAAACACAAACGTCAAAATTTTCACGACCCAACTACTTATTAATCTATGTAAGTGAAGCCCTCCAATGATCTGTAACGAGTCGAGCCCCTTACATCAAGTAGTTAGGTCAACTTTTTCAATACAAATGAAAGAAACCTGAGTATGTTGCCCTTCACTGACCCCAACAGACTCGTTCTTGTCCGAGTCCAAGTCCATCGCGCTGGCCCTTGGCTACTACTGCGCACCAGCACTCCAGTGTGGACGGGCTTTGATCGTCGTCGAGATTGTATGACCGCTCCACGGATCGGGGTCCCAGTCCCATGTAGTAGGTTCAGCGGTCCCGCGTACAACGGTACCAGGTACACCAGTCCCAGCAGGGGTACAATCCTCGAACCAAAATTCACACTCGCTCGTGGTTGATGTAGTTGTTCGCCTAGAGCTGGTACTAGTGCGAGTGCTGCGATGCGAGTATGAATGCTTGTTGGTGGTGTGACGAACAGGAGGTAGGCAGTCGTTAGCGTATTCGCAGCTCGTCGTGGTTGTGCTCGATGTGGTTGGAGATGAAGTCTCTTTGTCGTCTGAAGTCGTCTCAGTTGGCAACTCCAAAGTTAATGTAGGCGGTTCAATTGTTGGCCAAATCGTTGGCCAGTCGTCCGTCCAGGTGACGGAGTCTGAGATTTCAGAAGGAGGGTTTGGACAATCCATGTCTACCTCTGGAGCACAGGTTGGCGCAACTGTCGGCCAGTCATTGGTAGTGAACTCCTGAGGCCACGATAGCGTCCTGGTTGTTGGGGTCGCTGTTTCTAAACATAGAGAGAAACCAAACTGAGAGGCGACAGAGTCGATGCAAAGGAAATCCGTACAGGTGTATTGGAAGGGCGTGGGTGAGGAGAAGCTACCCTCCGACGTCCCATACCCTCCAGTCGGAGTTGGAAAGGTGAATGGGGTTGGAACATCGACCGTGTATGTCCACACAGTGCAAGAAGAACTTTCCTTCTTCCAGTCCCAAGTACAATACTCTCCTGTTCGAGTGGACACCGATCCGTAATGGGAGCTTTTGGAAGATAGTTTCGTGACGGACATGAAGGTACTGTGGTCAAAAGGTGATACGGAAAAGGTACGATGGGTCTCAAGAGATCCAAAAGAGCTATGAACCGGTGTTGGGATTGACAAGAGAGTGGTAGCAGGTGACGCACTCGGTGTTGAATTGCTGTTGCCCATGTTGGCAGCCTCGGTCTGGTCAAAGATATAAACGACAATGATCAAAGTGAGCTTGTTTTGGCAAATACGAGAGACCCAAAATATGAAATTTCTCTGCCATTTATATCTAGCCTTCCATATACAGTCCATGGTCCATCGAAGAATGCACAGGCTCAACTGAAAGGGCCCGAGACATACTTGCGTTCTTCGATCTATCCTGAAAGCACTATCGTACCACTTCTGTTCACCAAGCTACATGTCGTCATCCAGGTCTTTGAAGAAGAAAATGACTCTGCTGATCTCTATATCTCATGCTTCACTTGTGGGACTTTTAGTCTATCAAGAGCACAAGAGCTTATCATAATCTTTCTATGTCGCAATAAGGGAAGCTTAGGACAATATCAAGAAAAAGTTGAATTAAAGTCTCAGGTTCTAGTTAACTGTACGCGGGATCATCACCATTGCTCGGGTGACAAAACTTCTGACACTCCCCGAAAAAATGTTCTCGTTACATAGAATACACTCACACAAACACACGGCTTCAATTGAATTGAGATACCCAAGGGAGATTAGGTGAGATGTTTCAGTCGGCAGTGAGCAGTTCCAATTGTCCCCTTGCTGTAACACGTCAAGCTGTTTGTATTCACCCTTGGGGCTTATTACTTGAATGCACAGGTTGATGGCAATGCTGGATCCTGACACGGTGACTTGGCTGTCTACACTGCTGAGGTAGGATTTTTTAACAGCGCCACAGCGGAACAATACATTATGGGGGTGCCAATTGGAAATGTCTCTAAGGTTTACTTGTACAATCACCAAATGTCGCGAATTAATAGTAGCAGACCTGGTCCGGGTGATTTCTCGAGGTGCACATTGTCTCTGTCTGAACCACAATCAAACCCGGACTCCGGGATGAACTGCCCGAAATCTGACATCCTGTGACTGTGTTACTAGATCTGGTCACACCATCTTATTACCAGATGAGGCAGCAGAGCCTAATGCAGATATGATGAAGGTCATCTGTCTCAATATGCAGCACGGGATTGGGCACAAAGATGGTAGATGATCTAAGCGCGTCAATAAACCGCTCTTTATATTCAACTCTCAATGATGAGGAGTTGATTTACTCAAGGCAATCGGCGATCTCAGACAATTAAAGTCAAGACTCTTGGCGTGGCGCGGACATTTCCTGCAGTTGCGACAATTTAAATGCAATTTCATATGCCTTCATGCTTATACACATGAATTAGCTCCTTGACCAACACCTTCAAGAGACAGACCATGCAAATCTCCCATGAGGCTATCCCGCTATCAGTCGCCAGATCGGGAGCTAAGCATCTACAGTATGCCTGTAGCGTCACTCTTTTGCACCCGACAGCCAATCAGAATTAGGGACTTCGTCGGATCTGGCAATTATCGAAGCGGGTTTCCCCAGACTACGCCTAGCCCATTTTCGGAATCTGTTGTAAATCTCAGCTGGTTGACCCCGGCATTGTTTTTATTGAATGCTCATCATCGAAAGCTCATCAGACAAGGAAATATTAGAACACAATAAAGCAGAGGCTCGGCAGGCGGGCACTGATTCGGGATAAGCGGAAACGGGCGAACTTTTTTGTAAGACGATACCTCCTAGATGCATCAGCAGCCATTGGGATTACTAATTCTGCTACGTACTAAGTAATCACCGGAATACTTACCAATTGATGTATGCCAAAACTACCCAGGACTTTAACAAAGCCACGAACCTCGCGTTAGCTATATTGCTTCGGCTTCCGTAACTTTTCATAGTCATATTCTAGTTGAGGAAATTGTAATCATAAAACACGTTAAACAGTAGTAAGCTTCAGCTTGGCCTTCTGAAAAACAAATAACTGCTCATTTACTCCACTTAGAGACGTTAGGCGGCCAATGTGCGCATATGTAACGGTAAAAACGCTGGTTAGAGGTAAGTAGCCAAGGCGTGCCTAAGTAAGTAAAACCTCTAGCCAGACTCCAGCTACACATGAGCCGGCCCAAATCTCGCTCTCCGTCCGCAATTAGCGTGGTAATAAGCCAATGGCGATATCCCTGTAGCGCTTCCATCATGGGCACTTGACACCTAGGTATCTGTAAGAATGTTCATGATGCTGGTCGCAGTACGTTTACCATGTCCATGGCGACGAAGTACTACGTCCCGCAGGGGAATGCGGACGTAACTCATGTCAGAAAGCGACCCCTCCTCCTCCAATGATGAGGATGACTCTGGCGCAAATAATGGAATATTTCACTATTCAACCCTGTCCATGTCTTTTCCCGCGTTTCGTGACTAGTACGCGCATCTTATGCAAGATGGTCGTAGCCCATTAGATATATTTCAACAACCTCCGACTCAATCTTTTTCCTATGATACTATCCACCACGAGCACTTCTCTCTTCAATTGAGCGACCTGAATATTCAAAAACGAGCCTACAAGCCTCTATACAGCAAACACAATGACCGTACGTATGAATGGAGAGTCGAACGGCGCCACCCATGGCCCAACAAACGGTACCACGAACGGCACCCATCCCGTCCAGAGACTACCGAAATCCTCTCCATACCAGAGCTATCAAGATTGCTTTTCAAATGTTGCCAAATACAAGATCATCGATTCAACATTAAGAGAGGGCGAACAATTCTCGAAGGCATACTTCACATCCGAAGATAAGATCAAGATCGCCAAGGCCCTAGACTCCTTCGGCGTCGACTACATAGAATTGACGAATCCGTGCTCGAGTCCACAGTCCTTCGAAGACTGCAAAAGGATCGCCAGCTTAGGCCTCAAGGTAAGGACTGCGATACCACCCTTACAGGCGCAAGCATTCTACGTGCCTCCTTGAAAACTCGACTAATCCAGCTTGCAGGCCAAGGTCCTCACCCGTACGTGCGAACCCTCTCAGACAGCTCGCTCTGCATTGACTAACACCGGTAGATGTGCGCTGTCATATGGACGACGCCAGGAAGGCCGTAAGCAAGCTCTCTGCTCTTCGCTGTGCGGCGATTAGATGAATTAACATGGGACCTCTAGGTTGAGACAGGCGTCGATGGAGTCAATCTCGTCATAGGCACATCCAGCTTCCTTCGCGAGTTCTCGCACGGCAAGAGCATGGAGATGATCCAGAAGACGGCGCTCGAGGTCATCGCATACGTCAAGAGGTCTGTCGCGCAACTTATACTGCAGAAAGTACTTGAGCTGACCTCTCTTTCGTTCTCTAGCCAAGGTGTCGAAGTTCGATTCTCATCCGAGGATTCGTTCCGCTCGGATCTCGTCGATCTCCTTGTTCTTTACCAGGCGGTTGATAAGGCCGGCGTGAACAGGGTTGGTATTGCAGATACTGTGTTCGTTTTGACCGTGTTTCTATAATCCCGCCGGATCGGCTGACAGTGAGTTAGAGGAGGAGCTACTGCGAGGATGGTGTACGATCTTGTGCGAAGGCTTCGCGGTAGGTAGTCCCGCTTCGTCTGAGATGGGAATTGCGGAAGCTTAACGGATCATAGGTGTTGTGCACTGTGATATTGAGTGCCATTTCCATGATGATACAGGTACGTGCTTGTGAGGTTGATGGTAAGCTGGGTTACTAATATCTTGTAGGTTGTTCGGTTTCGTAAGTTCATTGACCAATTCCGGCGCTGTGATCCGTTATGCAATGAGGCATAGTCTAACACTGAAGCAGCGTAAGTCAATGTTCCATACCCTTTATATATACTTGAAGCGTATCAATGCCCCTTATTTCCTTACAGAAGCTGGTCCTGATGAGCTAGGATTATTCGCTTTCGACAACTCTGATCTCCTTTTGAATCGAGTATGCACGCTAACATTCAGGGGCAGAACGCACATAGTGCTCTCGAGGCTGGAGCTACACACATTGACACCTCTGTCCTTGGTATTGGTGAGTAAACATTCGATTCTTGTGATACGAGAGATTAACACAGAATCTAGGTGAACGGTCAGTCCCCAATTATAACCCCTTCGGAAAAGTCTCGAACTTCATTGCTCTTGCATTCTTCCAAAGCAAAAGGCAATATCTTACTCTGTATGGTCATTATTAACTTTATCGTGCACGCAGCAACGGTATAACCCCGCTAGGATCCTTGATGGCCCGTATGATCGTCACAGCCCCGGAATATACCAAGGCCAAGTATAATCTCATGGAGCTTAAGGCTCTTGAGACACTTGTCGCCGATATAGTGCAAATAACTATTCCATATAACAACGTATGTTGCTCCCGGTGCTGTCTTGTTGCTATTCTCCAGTCAGAATCCTGCTAACTACTGAAATTACAGCCTGTCACGCACGTAACCCCCTTGCCGCTTGAGGTTGGAAGGTGTAGCGAAGACTGACCAATGTCGTAGTGGCGAGTGTGCATTCACACATAAGGCAGGCATTCATGCCAAGGCCATACTCAACAACCCTTCGGTAAGTCTGCCTGAGAGCATCATGAGATGCGAAATAACGGGACTTCGGGCTGACGCATTCAGACCTATGAGATTATCAACCCCGAGGATTTCGGTCTCTCTCGCTACGTGTGCATCAATAGCCGCATGTAAGTCACTCTCAGCTCTAGTTTGGACTGCCGACTAACTTGACGCGAGAACTGGCTGGAATGCCGTGCGTAGTCGCGCTGACCAGCTGGGTCTATATAATATGTCGGATGATCAGATAAAGCAGGTGTAAGTCAAGTTATTTGCAAGACTTCGCTTCTTGGGTACTGACGAGCGACACGACAGCACCGCCAAGATTAAGAAATTGGCCGATATCCGCCCCCTGGGGATTGAAGACACAGACAGTCTATTGCGGTCGTTTCACCTTGAACTTCAGGCAGCAGCATAAATAAATGAACGAGGGGGGGTATCGAAGTGATCTGGTTTTTTAAGCGCATGTTTAGCGAATTTAGGGTAAAAGGCAAAAATGAATACTTCGGTTCTCTTATGGGAAACTGATCATGACTGTTGAGGAACAAGAAAAAAAAAATAGTTCAATAGTCCTTCGCGAATAAAGAAGAATGAAAAAGGTATTGATCTTGCAATGAAGATGATTCGCCTGGTATAGCCCGGCATTGCCTAACAGGGCGGTTGAGTTGCCCATGCAGTGCTGTGTGAGACGATTTACAGAAGCCCGGTATTGCCTAAGTGAGACTCTCAGGGCGTTCGCGCTTCGCCAAAGCTTGGAGTCGTGCAGCACATACCAATGATCGAGTAGAGTGTCAATTCATCTCATACGACTATAAGGTAGTTACATTCATCATATTGATATGGATTTCACCTTCACTTAACTAAGTTCGTCGCCACGAACATATTATAGTGAACGAAGATCAGCGAAACATCATGGGGTGTTTTCAAGATGGGCTTGAGACTCTTGACCTCACTTACTGCAGCGCTATTCACGTGCAAATCCTGGGGGCAACGGCTACACTCTTGTTATTCTATAACATCTCTAGTCATTTGTTTTCTTTAATTCGATCCCTGCGCTAACTTTCCTGGCTCCAAGATGGTGAAAGGGCGACAGCGCAAAGAGCTGAAGTATAATAGCGAGTTTTGAAGATGGATGTCTTGCTAGTTGAGTTAGGTGATCAGCCTACATACGACAGGCGCTCAATTGGGTTGATGTAGAACAAGTTGTTTTGATGAAGCTCTCATACTTGTGATCTGAAACTCTTGTGATGCATATATCAATCCTTATCTACAACCGTGTAGATTTTGAAAAAAAAAAGTTGGGAATGAGGGAACGTATTTGTTACTGAATACAGAGGTGAAAGTGACAGCTTGTATGCCCGCTATTTCCAGAGGACCAGGGGGTAACAGCTGCTGTAACTATGCACTAGGGTTAGCGACTTTGCATCCACTGTAGCGAGAAATTCCGCAGTGGGTCGAGGCGCTGATTGACGAGCGAACAACCAATTCACTTCACGGTTAATAAAGATATTGTATGGAAAAATTAATTGTGCACAAAGTCTTGCAGGTGATATAGTCATTTTTTAGTGATCGGACAAATATCATCCCGCTGAATACACACAAAGCGACCAGCTAGCTAGCTCAGTGGAAGAGCGCCGGGCTCATAACCCGGAGGTCGATTGATCGAAACAATCGCTAGCTATAATTTTCTTTTTCTTATTTTTTCTCCCCTTCTTCGAGGCACCGAGAGAACAGCACGTGTTAATTCTCTTCATCATTCCAGATCATAGAATTTTCATTCTGGAAATTATGCTTTTGCTTTTCCAACAATCAGCTAGCCAAGAATCTCGCGACAAAGTTTGTACTAAACTTTGCGACTGTCTTGTACAGCGCTGAGTATCCCGACCTTCCATCCAACAACTCATGCAACCAATACTGAGGGTTTCCTCTCGATAGACCTTTTTAAAGCGCCTATCACGTACCTATCTTCCATAGCACTGATATCACATCCTTGTGTATCGCATATTTCAGAAATTGTGCTCATATCACCTCGTCCTTCTGGGATGGGTCAGCGAACGATCTGATTGAAGTCATCTTCCCTCCCGCTACGAATGCAGTGAAACGACGAACTGGCGGATATGGCATGCACCAAAAGCGTTGGAACATCTTGTATTGTTAGCGGCCAAGGCAGATTACTGTATTCTAAAGGGAGTCAATTCCATGCCTAACATACTACTATTGTAGACCACTTGGTCGATAGACTGTCGGCAGCTTGATTCCGAAGACCTGTAAAGGAATTCATTCTGCTAGCAAGTCCTGGATTCTAGCTTTCATCAAGCATAGAGCTGACTAGGTCTCCATTTGCGTCCGCGTCGTTGCATTCCTTCCACGCAGCCTATTCAAGAAACCGTCGCAGTCCCCGACAACACGCTACTAACCAACCTAGATTATGCAATGATCGATATGAGATATTCTCTATCTAGGTAGGTAGTAGAGCATGGCATTGAATTACGGTAAGGCAGTGTTGTGCTTGGGCCCACCGGCACTTCTAAAATAGGCATCACCGGTGCCTCAAGTTCATGATTGGGCCATGATGGCAAATCGACCAAAACGAAACAATTCCGGTACAATTTGAAGATTGAAATAGATGAAATTTTATGTCGCTTCATTCTATGAAGTTTTCTTCTCGTTCATGTGCAGTTTTACATAGGAAAGATGGAGGCTCTTAGTGCGCCATCGTTGCAAAGCAATGGTACCTACGGCCAGCTGAACGCTGTCCTAGGTACCGACATTTCCACATTCTTAGCCAAATTCAGCATCTGGCAGGTGGTCATACTGTTTCTTTGTTTTTCTTGGGGTGCCTCATCAGTTACGACAAGCCGCAGAATTAGGGTTGCTGGAGCGCCTGTGCATGGCTACTGGTCATGGTTGGAGCCGACATGGTTCTTCGAGATGAGGTACTGGAAGGACGCCCACAAAACCATCGTGACTGGCTATCACAAGGTGCGTCTAGTCGTCCACTATTGTTCCCAATGCTATGGCAATGTGGTTAACGTGGTGCTGTAGTATAAAGATTCTCCATTCGTGCTTCGTCGTCAGGATCACGATATAACAATTCTCCCAACCAAGTACATCAATGAGCTTCGAAATATTCCCACCGCGAAACTTAGCCGAGGAAAAGCTAACTCTTTGGTGAGTATCGCGTTATCATTTATGCCTCGGCTTGAAACTGCCGTATGGCCTCCCTCTCTAACGTATTCTCCAGGAATGGGGCGATCAATGGGCCATGCACAATTTGTGGGCACATAGTGACTGGTCGATCAAGGCGATTTCGGAGAATAAGGGCGGCCAGATGGTCAGATATTTCGAAGCAATTAGGAAAGAGCTTGATTACACCTATGGTGTTGAGATGCCTCAAATATCCACAGACGGTAAGCGTCCGATTACTAAATTGTGCAGGTTTATCAACTGACAAGTAGCAAGACTGGACTGAAATTAATATTCAGCATGTCATTGCCAAGATTTTGATTCGCATAATTGGCAAAATGATAGTTGGAAAGCCAGCTTGTCGCAGCGAAGAATGGCTTCACCTTGGGGGACACTTTACTGGTAGGCACTCAGAATACATCTCAATCGCCTTCACCTTTTAGCGGCCCCTAGTCGCTATTATCTAAGCTCAATTCTTCCCCTGTTTCCGGTTCAACAATGGTTGCACTTCACTAATTTCTTCATCGTTTTAGAGGACTTTGTCGCGGCCGCCATGATCATGAGAGTACTGCCAAAGTGGCTTCACCCGATATTCACGAATATCATCCCTCAGAGACGGGGGCTGAAGAATGGTATAAAAGAAGCTCGTGCGATTATCGATCCAGTTCTAGCCCGACACGAGGAGACCAAAAAGAAAAGAGCCAAGGGAATGGAAGTCGACGAGGAAGATTGCATGTTGAACTGGGTTGTTGACAACGCGAATATGGATGAGGTGAAGGACATACTGCCCCAAATCGTGCTTTCCATGTTTGCCCCCGCAGCCCACACTACGGCTATGGCCATCTCAAACTTGCTTTTTGACTTATGTGCCCATCCTGAATGGTCCGAGAAGCTTCGGGCTGAAGTCATTGATGTTACGAAAGAGTTTGGTCCTGTGGGCCAGAGATTGCCAGTCAAAGAATGGACCGGAAAGCTTGAGCTTATCGATGGTTTCTTCCAGGAGAGTCAGAGGATGAGTCAACCTATATCAAGTGAGTCGCTCATTGTTAAGATGAACTTCATGACAATGTGGCTGTTTGCTAATTCTTCTAGTTACACCCAACCGATATGCACATGAGACCGTCAAATTCAAAGATGGCCTGACATTACCCAAAGGCGCATTAATCGGCTTCGTCGCCGTCCACAACCAGATCGATCCCGAGATTGCACCAAGCCCAGAAACCTTTGATCCAACGAGAAGCATTCGCAAGAGGCATTCCGCGCCGCTTGAGGAGAGAGAAAAGCATCTCGCTGGACACTATACCAAAGAGAACTTGGCTTTTGGATATGGCAGCCAGGCGTGCCCCGGCAGATTCTACGCCGTCGCTGTCCTTAAGATGGTAGTATCCAGGATTGTTATGGACTACGAGGTCAAGTTCAAGCCAGGCCACTCGAAGCCGACCAAGTATCATTTTCTAGAGTTCATCCTCCCCGATCCCACTGCAACACTCATGATGCGGAAGAGAAAGTAGTGCAGCACTATCAAGCTGCATATCGATGTCAAATTGGCAGGGCAGCTTCGAGTGATTCTGCGCTAGTAGGCATTGCTCGTGAGATCACACGGGGTTATATGAATAGCTTCAGCAGGTAGATAGACCCAAGGCATTGTTACTCACATTTTGTGGCATGAATATAGTTGATTTTATCACAAATGATGGGTTATCCTCGATATCCCCTTGATTGAGTTGCGCTATTCAGCTTCACCTTATACCTAGCTTTTTTTTTTTTTTTTTCCGAGCATGACTGCACTGATCTCATGATGTTAGATCTCCTTTAGACGCTAGGCTGTACAACACACACCACTCTTACTCCAGCGTTCAGTCTAGCTGCCATCATTTCTTATATTACGTGTACGTACGGCTGAATGTGCAGCTTCTTTACGGCTACAGGTGTAACGCTGTCCGTTCATAGTATCCAAGAGGTATGCAGGCACGATTCAAAATGAGGTTATACAGACCTCGCTTCATGAAATAGATAAATGAGACCTAAGCGGTTAGGATCGGTAGTCGAATTGTATATAGAGTCAAAGTCAACCCGCCAAGGCCAAGAAGGAATTGGTTGATCCTAGATTTTTGCGTCCCTAGTAAATCATTATATTGTGAATAACGTCAACTTTACAAGTCCAGCCATCTGCCCCTATTCTACCTCAAGCTTGAAAGCTGTCACAATGTGATGTCGGATTTCACCAGCTTAAACAGTTGTTCAATGAAATAATATTATCGTTTCCATCACGAATAGTAGGAATTCTATCAAGCCCGCGTGCGATCGTAGAGGACACGTGTCGTACGTCGGATATGCCAGTGTTAGTTCAACCCTTCCTTGAACCACTTCATCTTATAAACATTCCTTCCTGGCTGATCGTCTACAGTGTAATCTGACAACCGCATAGATGTCCTAGAAATCCTTTGTTTCTTGGAATCTCCCAAATCAGGCTATCAACCACAGTCCTATATACTCCTTGTAGAAGTTCCGAGCTGTATTTCCCGTGTTCGTGAACGGAACGCTTCCCATAAGATCAACATACGGATTTCCCTTTCGGGCCATGAACACTTCTACATCTCGTAATTATAACGCTAAGCCTCATTCTCACTAAACGGGAAGTTACCGAGTTCATTCCAGTATGAACAACAGTATATGGATACATCATTGCGCAGGCTCATTGGCGATAGTTATTTATTGAATGTTATTCCAGCTATACATTTTAACCAAATTGTACGTTACGGTAATCCTCTTTCAGTTTATCCTCTTATCAGCCATCCTCTTGAACAACTTCTCAAAATGCCATCCGCCAGCGAAACTAATGGGTCCAACGGTAACGGAGTGGTCAACGGCAACCATGCGATCAGTAACGGCGGGACTAATGGAGATGTCAAGAAAACCAACGGAGTCAACTCCAGAATTCTTCATATCCCAGATCTTTTTGATGGCATCCTATCGGGTGACCCCGTTGAGAATCCAGTGAGCAACTCTCCGAGGCATCTCCTTCGCAACTCCCAATATCATCTGGTTCCCCATACTATTTAGCAGTTATCAGTTCAATATTACAAGTTAGACGTTGGGCTCATTTACGGATTGTGCTTGAACACTGACGCCAAAATAGTTAGAGCCTTCAATAGGACCACTGTCGGAAGCATGGACCAAAGCGTATGTGAAATTGAGCATACCCGCACCGAACGATGCCGCTAACGTCGAAGTAGACTTACCAAAATGGACCCCAAAACGGCCAAGATATTGACCAAGGCCAACTTCGCCTACCTCATCAGCTTGTCTGCTCCCCAGGCAGACGCCGAAGCATTTCGCATGGCAGTTGATTGGTGTATCTGGGTAAGTCAGAATTGGAACATTCAAATTTATACCCCGCTAATCACTACCTGCGCAGGCTTTCGTGTTCGATGATCGTAAGTCCGATATCTGCGGAACGAGATGAACCCTTACTGATAGCTATGGAAGAGTATGACGAAGGCGAGATGAAAGATAAGACTATTGAGTCGGCCCATGAGATGATCTACACATTGAGTTTGATGGACGACTCATATCCACCAGTCGACCCGAAGAAATACCCGCTTCGCTATATGTTCCAGTCAACCTGGCATCGATTTCAGCAGGTATGCTAATCCCATGGCCTCAAGCGTTTCAATGCTCGGCATGCTAACCAGCGACCACTAGAGGAATCCCGCACCAGGTAATATACATGCTTTCTATTTTCGCAATACACTTACAGCCCTCGCAAACTTTCCTCCCAACCGTAATGCGGGCCCTGCTAACCTACGCTTTGCGAAGACCTTCAGCAGCGCTGGAAGGAGACTCACAGAAAGTGCCTATACGCTATACTCCAACAAGTGTGGCTAGCTCAATCTAATACCGGGCTCGACGTTGCTATTCCCGACTACATGGCAACTCGACGGCAGTCAATCGGCTCGTATTGCTTATTCGTGGTAGTCGAGTACGTTTACCATTTCGGAAGAGAGAGTGTGCAAAATAGGGGTGTTATGAAGCTAACCCGGAATAACTAGATGGGCACACGGCATCAAGTTGACACAAGATATTATGGATCATCCTTCGATTGCCACCTGCGAGCGCGCCGCCGCAGACCTCACTTGGCTGTAAGGTTGATGAACCTCTGTTTTATGACACTATGGTTAACAACAAATTCAGGGTGAATGATGTTTTGTCCTACAAGAAAGACTTGGTAAGTCACTCGCGAGATATTGAATGGGAAGTCTGTTCTTAGTTGCTAACATCCACACTTTCAGGGCTTTGGTGTAGAGCATAACCTGATCTGCCTACTGAAGCGACAAGGCCTCTCCGAACAGCAGGCAATGGATAGGACTGGCGAGATTATGAACCAGTGCCAGAAAGATTGGGACGACGCAGTAGCGAACCTACCTTCGTGGGGCGAAGAGACTGATAAAGAGGTACAGAGATATCTCGGCGCATGCCGGGATGTTGCAAGAGCTAATCTCTGGTGGAGGTACGTAAACACGCACCATTAATCTGTGATTTTCACTGATTTCGTTCCTAGTTTCAAGAGCGGTCGGTATTTGAATGCGGAAGAGGCGATTCAAGCGCGTACAGCTAGGATTTTGACTTTGTAGGATTTGTAGTGGTTTTTTTGGTTTTTGGTTTTTGCCTAAGGTATCGTATAACAACGCTATGACAGTTTCCAAATGTTCTATTAAACATATGAGTTTGTTTATCTTCTATCAAATCTCCTCCGGGAAAGTCTATATGTTCATCGTGATTCCGAAAACTCATCCGCCCCCTGGGCCCCCTGGCCCTATAGCCGCGACTTTCTCCGTAATCGACTGCCTTAGAGCACGAATCACCCACTCGTACGCAGGATGATTGACCTTTACCCCCTTTTCCAGTAGCGTGATCAGAGAACCCAGGCGAGTGATTCTGATACCGATAAGTGATCGAATCACATTGATCTCTTCCTCGTCGTCAAGGCGCCATGCGCCAGCTTTTACTTTCAAGTCTCGCTTTCTCACGTCTGATTCCGATCGCGGCCTTTTCGAGCTACCTTGTTGTGACCCTGGTAGAATCATCTCACTTAAGTCGCCGATTCCATTCATCATCTCGTGGCACATGGAAACGATCAACATCACGTAATCGGACCGTTGACTGCAGGCCTTGCATTCGAGTAGTGTCTCGCAGCTGACTAATACGTCTTTTTGACATTGCAGCATCTCATCCACGCTCACTGTGACCCCGTTGAGTGGGCAGGCTCCCCAAACTAATTTGACTTGCATGTCCTCATTCGCTTGCATGAGCTGCTCCAGACATTGGCAAGCTGTGGATGCAGGCTGCAAGGCCGGCATTTCTTGGAAACTTAGTTCCGGTATCTCGGCAAATGTCCCTGCTTCTGGACCTGTAATATTCGAGGACTGGCCTAAAGCTGGTATCCCTGATGCGAAGCTATGTTTCCAAAAGGATGGTTCGTGCTTGGGGGTGGCTATGGTTTGATTTATGGCTTTTGATGTGCCCTCTGACTGTATCAATGAATCTTCCCCGGTTGCATCGTTGGACCCTTGAGTGTAGCCTAAGGGATCATAATACAGTTTCATCTGATGTGTATCACTCTCTCCGCCGTCGGTCTGGAGATAATTTGGGGCATTTCCAGTATTTACTAATGATAGAATCAGTACATGCGTCCTATGTTTCTTTTCGGAAGAGCTTACAGTTGTCGTTGTAAGATAATGACCAGAAGTCGAAAGGCATCTCCTTTTCAAGGAGGTCTGCAAAGGAAACCCCGTCTGGAAAGGTAAGAGCCCCATGCCCTGAGTTTGAAGGGGTGCTATCTGCGGGTGACGTTATCGAAGCCGTATCTCCGGCTATGACAGACTGGTCGCTATCCAGCCGCTCTGATTTATTGGGGTCATTATCCTCTATGGGTAAGGTTGTATCTTGAGATTTGGGGGCTCCTTTCGATGATTTCAATGTCGAGGTCTTATCCGATTTTGTCTTGTTCTTGTATGAGCACTCCAAACCCTGTTTCGCGCATTTAACGCAGCTATCTTCATTGCTTGCAGGGACACATTTCAACTGCGTGAGCTGTTAGTGATATAGAAAACGTACATCTCTTGTAATCACTTTACCTTCTTTAGTTTGCACAGTGTGCAAGCTCGCTGTTTCTTCGTCCTACTTCTCTCAAATGGCATACCAGAGGACTGTACAACGTATGCAGATTCGCCATTGTTGCTACGTCGAGCTTTCAACGTCTGAAACATGGTAGTCGGTAATGCGGGGTGCCCAAAACGATTATTCTACCGGTATCAAAATGAGCATCACCACCCTAACATGACCAAAATTTAGTACCAAAGTCTCAAACCGATCCAGCATGTAGAAGGGTTCAATCAGGCGAGTTTCGCTCTTTGACCATCATAACCAGAGTCCCGATTATCGGCGGCCAGGATGATAATTAAGGGTTTTCAGTGCTTGTCGTAGGGCTACCCTGTATCTAAGCTGAATTGTCATACAATGACAGTCGAGAGCGATTCATTATCCTTGACACGATGCAGACTTAAACGACAGGAATTAAGGTGAGATGTGTCAGAACTTGCAGGATGTGGCGTGGCGCTAACAGTTGATTGACATCCTGGCGACCTATATTAGACAGACCTGCTGCAGCGGCGTCTCGGATACCTGTGTCTGCATTGGGCGGCCGTCGGATAAGAGAACAGAATGCGCATGCCTCCACTACGTAAGCAACTCTTACCACAATGAAATATTGCCAAGGCTGACAGGGGGTTGATGGCACAGTTATCGAACGCAGCGGATGCAATCTCACAAATCGACATCTACAGGATTTTGAAGACGTCAGGATTCGGCTCTTGGCAAGGCAAAGAAATTGCAACAACTTGGCTGTAACATAAGCATGTTCCCGAGCAGGCTTACTAGAACATCGACCGCTTAATAATTTACTCGGCGTCATTATACCATCAATCGTCTGAACAGCCCTCACTTCATCAGGCTGATCCAACGTGTGTGGGTCTAGGTAGAACGGACGGAATCTGGTGCCGTCCGCTAAACTTAGAATATCAGGTCAATATACGCCGTATTAGGGTTGTATCTCGATACGATCTTGCTCCTAATGCCAACGGTCGTCTTGGCTATGTTTTAACTTGTCAGCCATCACTCAGTTTCGCATAAGTATTTAAGTCTCTGGACAGCCAAGGGACTACAAGATAGGCGCATACTGAAATCCCTTAACCACCTACTAAATCAGTGTATATATTACAACATCGTTGCTGTTCGTTCCACTAAGGTCTAATTAGTAGTTGCACTACTGCAACTACAGCCGCCACGACGCTCTGGTACAGTTTGCTCCAGCTTCACTCGACTTCCTGTACAGTGCCTCAGGCGTAGGTCAGTCAGCAACTACGCGATTATTTAAATCAAAAACCTAGCGGCAACTCAATGATATTATCTATGCAGCCTTGAATACCTAGGCACTAATTGATCCCTACTTTAGTTCATATCAATTATATGCTGCACTGCAATACGTACTCTTGAAAATTGTTTGCCATTTGTCACGGATCAGGCCACGCTGCATTGACAAGTTCGGACTCTAGGAAGTGTATACAACGTTACGAGTCAGAGTAGAAATAGACCAATCTCGTGTGCGATTAGTCAAGTTCAATTTGTGTAGATATGCCCCTAGAATCCTACAAACGGTATCAATATAGATGTTTATGTAGCTGATTTCGAATTTTTGGTCCATCCGTAGGGGTTGGAAGTAGCTACTCGCCCAAATTTCCCCATTAGCTCCCACTTTCGGGGCTTCTCTTGTTCGAGCTAATCCCTGTTTCATAGAGGTAAAATATATCTTGTTTTGAGATAAAGCATCTTAGTATTTTGCCTGGAGTTGGTTGGAACAATGCGGTAATCTTGTTACTTTGCCATATATGGATAAAGTAGCTAGAATACCAGCTTATATGAAGTTTGGTTTGAAATACTTTGATCTTAGTAAACACAATACCTCGAACTAGTCTCCTCTCTATGATAAGCTTTAGGTCATCGTTTCTGTATGCGTGTTTTGATATAAGGTAACTTATCTTGAAAACTATAAAGAAATGTGCAAGTACAGCTAGTATCAATGAACCATTTCGGAATATTCCCAAAATATTGTATTTGACATATTTGAGATAAAGATAGACAGCTATTGAGGCATTGAAGAAGTAATTGGTTCGCCAATCCTTTCTTATTCGACCCTAAGAGCAGCAAGAGATATGGCGTAAGAAGCTTTCTTGATTTTTGCTCTCCATAACTAAATATGGAATGTTACCTCAGAAATTTGTCATCAGGTGATTGACATTCAAGTTGATTCGGATAAAATAGAGGACGCTGGGGTAAATTTTGAACATTGTATCTTTCACATGCCTAGGTTTAGCAAGCCGAGTATTACTTTAGAGTCCACGACATACTTTTCATTGGGTCTTAGGCATCCCCTAGCTTTGCTAACAGATCTACATAAATAAGCTCAAAATTGCTTAGCTTTGCCGGTGATTTATGCGTATTTGGTATAGCATTAGGTGCCCTTGGTATCAAAACCGCTACGGTACATATCTAATATGCTCTAATTGGCCATGTAGAATCTTGATAGGTATCGGAGGTTTCGTGGACTCTGAAGCAATAGTAGTTGTTGAATATTTTAACTTTGATAGGTAAGCTGACTTTGATCTCTAGATATCCATAAGGGTATAATTATTCCTCCGCGTTGACATTTCTGATGAGTCAGGGCAGAAGATCAAATAGCAAGAGGCTCAATTTACCCTAACAGCTCAGTTTCATTGACTCTTTTAGCTTTTAATCGTTCTAGATTCAGAGGTACCCCGTGCCGCTGTCATGCAGTAGCGGAATGGCAAGCTGACAGTTGGCGCACACTGCATCTGTGTAGGAAGTGGGCCCTCGAGGAAAACGCGGAGTAACCCGTTAAAGATCATTCCGCTACTTTAGCGGATCTTAGAGGCGCCGCTCCTGGTTTGGTGTGTGCGATGCTATCGGGGTTCAGCACCAACCTGAGTCATCCGAAATGTCTTGGATAAGATATAGAGCCTCTTAAACAGGGCGTAATTACCTATTCAACCCTGCCCTTGCAGATGTTATCTAAAATATACTTCTTGGGACAACTTGGGGTTACCTGCATTATGCAATGCATATGCACGATAACCCTCCATGCTGACAATTTCGGCGAATCAATCGTCTGATAGATGCGATGTGCTTACACTACTTACCCCAGGCACGGGGTTTAGCGCCTGCTTATGAGTTATGCACATATCACCACGTGCGTTTCGTCTATGAGAGTTGCATTTCGTATAATTTTCCTGGGCTGGCTCACTAGCGGTGCACTTATAAGGGCAGCTGGAGTCGGCCTAAAGGATTTGACCAACCTCAGCGTATTCAACAGTGGGCTAAGAATTCAAATAAGACATCCATATATAACATATTTTACTTCAGTATAAGGCAAGTGTGATTCTTGTCCATGAGTACCTTGCAGTCTCTATATAGTCAGTGACTAGTTCCCTCACAGAGGAACCTTCAGCGGCTGTCGGGCGTGCTGCGAAGGCCGTATCTGAATAGCAGAAACGCCATTGGGCGGAAGCAAAAGATCCCAGTCGAGTCATTGTAAGGAGAGTAGAAAGTTTTCCCATATTCCTTTCTTCTCCTGGTATATTCTTCTCTCCCGCTTCTTCTTCTACTCATACACACATACCAGACCTCTCATCATAACCACAAAGATTCTCGAAAGGTATTTACAAATCTACTGTCCGTGCTTAGATCCACCTTCAACGAAGGATTCCGTGAATCTATGCTTATCTACGGGTAGTGCCGGTAAACCTAGCTGCCTGCCGCGGAGCATGGATTTCTAACAGGGCACAGGCGGGAACGTAAGGCGATTTCGGGAGTCGTCTTTAGAAGGTGGAGTCGTTCCTATGAACTAAATAGACCCTTAATTACCTTTTCCGGCATATGATGTAGGTGGTGTAGCCTCAGTGTGGCTAGGTACCGTATAATCCTACAAAATATCCAAGTATGCAACAAGTGCAAGACGATCCGCGTGTTGGGATGCACATAGTGTGCTTTGGAGTCTCATATTGATTTCGGGTCGTATCCCTGCAAGCACCTGACACTTTCAGGGGTTTATCCATCAGAATGCAGTATTTCAAAAAGGTATGGCAAATCGTTGTGGCTACTGTGTTCATTAGGTAAGCTTATGTGCCAAATTCCGACAATAGCTGCCCACACTCTACACAATATCTGAGGCTTATAAGCAATTGTGTATACAATTTAACTCGCTTTTCAGCAAGCACTATCATACTGCTTAATAATAGTTCCAATTCTCTGTGACTGAATAGTATGATTATTGCGAAGGGCAAAGTTGGTAACAGATGCTGCTGACATGCTATGTCACGATGCAGCGCTAAGAGATGACCTAAGCATATTATCACCCCTAGCTAGTCGGTGAAGCTCGGTGATACGGTGTGCACTCACGTACCTATATGTATATGCATGCCGTATTGATTTACAGAGTCCTACCATTTTTCAACTGAGCGTAATCAGATTTCAGAGACGTGAATCACAGTAAGGGTGACACCACGAGCAACCTACAGTCTGCCATAGCTAAAAGAAATCCTGTGAGATACTCCGATCAGGATATCTGAAACAAACCTTAAGGTCAATTGGCTTAGGATATGAATGCAGATTTTAAAATAAATCCTTTTAGCGCGTCAACATTTTCGTTACAGTTACAATCTAGTAAGTATATTTCGTTCCACTGCACAACAAACGGTATCGTTGGCTGGCACGTGCTTCTCTGTCCTTCCGTCCACGGTCCATCCACGGGAACCGTTGTGGAGCAATCGGCATAGGGGTATCGTTCTGTAGGTAGATCTTTGAGCTTTGGATCTTCGGTATGGGTGGGGTGTAATGTAATATAGCGTACATGTGCGTTTCGATTATTCAACTGATTATTGTAGCTAATACCCAAGACTTCCAGCATAGGCGTCGTTCAAATCTTGCTTGCTGCTCCTGCGACAATAAGGTCAGTATGATGACATAACCCTGAACCCTCATCCGACCCATCTAGATTGATGAGATAGCCTTTATCAAGATCATTGCCTGCCGTCTTGATCTGATGTAAGACCGGGGTAGGGGTTGTAGAATAACGGGTTTCCGATGAAGTTACTGTGCCCTTCCAAATTAAGAGAAGAATCAACTCACAAGGCGGGGCTAAGTCCGAGATAAGCGGAATATTTAACGCCAAACTTAGCATCGGCTACAGGCCCGACAATCCCGGTCTGGCTAGTTCTTTGACATCATCCTGTGAAATACGCTCTGCGGCGATATGTACAAATCAACTACGACTATGCTGATGTGAAAACCATCCTATAACCTTCGATGTGAGACTCATGTCACGAAGAGGTTTCTTTCACAATATCGCGTTCTAGAAGAGTACCTATTCAAGTTTAAATTTGGAGACTGAACCTCACCAATGGTTGATTAATCGAGTTAGCTTATCAACGTAAGCCTGTTTCATGCAACTTATTACTTCATTCGCTTATCCCGCCAAGCATGGTAATCGTATAAGTTGATACAGCTGTCTATCACGTGATTATAATCTATGTGCATTCCAAACTCGTACCGGTAGGTTAATAATCGCTAGGTCTAAATCTTCCCGTCTCATACTTATACGAATAGCAATACTCTCTTAGCAGAAGCGAAAATAGTATAAACCAGAGAGACAGCGGAGTAGTCAATTAGTCATCTCGCGTATGGCGTTAGACGGTAAGCCACTTGTCCCGTGCAATGAATCGTCATAAGAGACCATTAACCAAACCGAGATGATCAGAGTCCCTGACTCTTACCTTTGCTCGATGTTACTGCATCTATTTTTGGCAAGCAGCAAATGTAGCTAACAACCATAACTAGGGAGCAATATTGTAGCGGCCGACTTCAGCTACAGAAAAATTGCCATAACAAGTAAACTTGTGTCCAAAAGGCGGAGATTACATAAGCGGATTGTTCCAAGTTACTTCAGACGTAGTCAACCGAGACAAAACAAATCACCTATGATGATTTTTCTATGTCGGTCTAGACTACGTGTCATGAGCAAACACACATGCCTATAAGACAACGCATTTCAACTTGAAGGGATGGTTGTCACGGTAGCCAGACCCCCTCGCGTTATACCAGGCGAAGTAGACTGCTTGATAATTACCTAGGTAGGTGTATAACCAGCCGTAATAAAGGATAGACATTCTGCTGTGGATGGCAACAGTGTGATACACCAGCTACTCACTTCATATTCGGTGTCCACGAGCGAAGCTATCGCGAGACTATGAAAACAAACGACTACCGGTGATGTGAAGCGTCACGTTCATGAGAACTTGACAGATAACCACTTCCCTTCCCAACTGAGGTAAGTACTAAGCACTCCGTTATGGTAAGTTAGGCATCTATGCCTAGTATGCAAACTTTCAATTTTAATTTAGAGTATTTTCAAGTTCAGTTTGATACTCAATACCTAGTTAATCTCTCCTTGTGGCAAGAGTCCCCTCCCCCGCCAACGGCTACACCAACCCCGCCCAAAAACCAAAAAAACCCCAATCATCCCTGTCGGTTAGAATTGATTGGCTATGGCAAAAGGCAAAAGGCGGGGGCAAGCGAACCAATATGTGCCACCAGGCCGAAACAGGAAATCAATAAACAAATTCGGAAAGAAGTTGACGATGGCAACAAGGGATAGTCATGATATTGTTTACTTTGGACACGGTAGACGCGGCTTGGGCTACACGATTAACACCGAGAACACGGACACGACATATGAATTACACTACACGAGGAGACGCAGACCAGACCAGACCGTGTCGGTGGGACAAACTAAGAAAGCAATCAAATGAGCAAGCAACAATAAATACAAAATACTATGCTAGATCTAGATCTGAATCTTAAACACATACATACTTATGTAAACTACTTCAATATCTTGACTTTCAATTGTCATACCAGACTTACACAACCTTTCTTGCATCAGATGCGACACGTGTAAGTCAAGTATAGGCATCGGACAACTTCGGATAGAGAGCGATAAGTAAGGAATTACCCAAAGAACACCCCCCACTGCTATGCACCTTGCTGGAGCTGGAACTAACTCAGTCAAAGCGCGGGCGCACGAACATAGGAAATGGAAGACTTGGACATGCCAATTGCGCTTCGGCGCACACCACGCAATTGTGTCGCCAACCCATCTTCTAATAGTGCTGCTGCTGCTGCTTCTTCATCGCTTCGACAGCGCGTTGTCTCCGCGCCATTACCAGCCATCCTAAAAACTCCAAGCAAGCCGCGCCCTAAGAAGCGCGTGCGATTCTCTGATCCAGGGCCAGATCTCACAGCCACAGATGATGCGCTATGCTCGACAGGCTTAACGCCCATGGTCAAGCGGTCATCGCTCAGCGAGCCGTCTCCCAAGCGCCGGCGAGCGTCTACAGGGGACAAGGAGGTCACAACTCCGAAAAGAAATAGCAGCACAAAGGCGCGCGCGCGCAAGCGCGACAACGAGGAAAAAGTCTCAGCCGAGATACAGCGCTTGCGTGCCGAACTCGCCAATCGCGATGCTGAGATCGAGCGTCTGCACAATGAGACGCTGGTACAAGATACAGAGCGCATCCTGGAGCTCGAGCAGCAAGTTGAGACTTTGCGCTCGGAGTTAGCGCAGCAACAACTCCCGCCACTTCCCCAAGACGAGGAAGATTACAATCTCTTTGACGGCGGTAATGAATACGATCTGCCGTCTCAGAGTTTCTATGACTGGACAATGGCACCTCACGATCCCTTCTCAGATAGCTGTCTAGATGAAGACAGCAACTTCACGCCAATGGAGATAGTGTGCAGCACGCCCTCGCAAAGACGGGAGAAAGCAGGGCCGTCCAAGGGTTTATCGGCGCCGTACATAACGCCACCTTGTACGAGCCCAACTCTACCGGCTACACCATGTTCGGCTCGCAGGACAGCGCCAGCAATGCCTGCGACGCCGCAGTCGCACAGTGGCATCCAGGCATCTCTGCCCGATCCCGAAAAGGAAGCTTTAGAATTAGAACTGACGTCTCTACGGCTTGAATTAACCAAGTTAACAGAGACGCTGGATACACACGCCGCGCTACAAATTCGTCTATCAGAAAAGCTTTCCACAGTCTCTGCGCCATCCCTTGCAGCCGAAAATAGCGGCGATGATCAATCAGAGCTAGAAGCGCGTCTAGACTCCGCAATCCAGGCCCTTTCGGAGCGCACGGCATCCCTCTCCGAACTCAGCGCCTCTCTCACAAACCTGGGATTCGGCGGCTCAGACCCGCGCGAAATCGTGTCCGAAATCGCCGCCGGGTTCCGTGAGACGCGTCTCGAGCTAGAATACATCACGCCCGGCGAGATCACACTCCCGCTAAACTCGCACGCGGCGGAAGTTCTAGACCTCGTATTAACGCGTCTGCGGGATCTCGCGCGCAAATCTCACGCTGACGACGAGACCATCGACGAGTACCACGCCATCGAGCTGTCGCTCCGGCAACAGCTCAGCGCGCGGTTCGACGCGATGAAGTCGTTACGCGAGGAAGCCAAGAAGAACGCTACCACGCTCCGCGAGCGCGACGCGCGGATCGCCGAGCTCGAGATCGGACTCGATCGATTGAAGGGGGCGGCAGAGGGTTACAGACGGGATATCGCCGAGTTAGAAACCCTCGTGCAACGACTCGAAGGGGAGAGCGAATCGTCCTCGGCGAAACTCAACGCGGATCTCGTGCGCGCCGAAACAGCGCTCTCCGAGCGCGGCGCGCTCATCGCGGATCTAGAGAGCAAACTGTCGACCACAGTAGCCCAAGCAGCGGACCTAGAGACGAAACTGAAAGATCTCCAGCGCCGGAAAGAAGCCGAGGCGAAAGTGCGGAATAAGTCGTATTCCTCGGCGCTTGCCCTGCGCGATGCAAGGGTATTAGAGCTGCGGCGCGAGATATACGATGTGAATCACTCGTTGCGGACTGCGCATGAGATCATTGTGAAACTGCGCGTTGAGAACGCCGGCTTGACGCGCAGGGCGGAAGAGGCGGAGGAAGGGACGAGGTTGGCGCGGCAGGCCGTGGAGACGATGAAGGCCGAGCTTGAGAAAGCTACGGCTGCGGCACCGCCGTCGCGACGGCGGACGAGATCGAGCACGGCGAAGGAGCTCGCGACGCCACGGGCTGGATCGTCTTCTGTGAATGGCAAAGGTAGGAGGAAGCGGAAGTGCGATAGTGGGTTGGGGCTTTTGGATGAAGACGAGGATGAGCTCGATGTTCTCGTGTGAGACGACTTTCTCTTTTGTGGTGTACCAAGATATCTTACCTATGTCACCATCACTCTCTGCCCTCGGGGTTATTTCCTTTGTTCGGTGTATCATTAGAGTCGGCGTTGGTTCAAATGATGCTGTTTCGTTGCGGCAGCTGGTGTTCATCGTGGTCATCATCCACCTCGGAAGCTATATCTAGCTCCATCTAAATGCAGATAGGACGGTACCTATGTAGTTGGGTATGACAATTATCTTATCTCCCTACCACCACGCACAATAATCTCCATTGTGCTCCGCGAGGTGATACAGCATGAGTTTCTTGGGGGTACACGATATCGCAAGCATATGCAATTTGGGTGAAGCGGCGGGGAAGATAAACCAGGAGAGGACGGCTTCCGATGAGGCACAATGTAACCTCAGTTACCGGCCTGGGCACCAAGAACGTATCCTATACCACAGGATATAAAATTACTTATCTCAAGAAGCAAACTTGTAACACGGTGACAACAACAAAAAGGCTTGGAAAGTCAGTCAATCCACAGGCCACGATGTCTTCGTTCCAACCCGCGCTCAACACGACAACTCTGGGCATATGCGTCCGCGAGTTATCTTCGTTGCTTTTTCCTCTTTACATCCCACGTAGATCAGAGTTCCCCAGCCGGTATTACAGCCGAACCAAGCGTTATCGTCGCCCGCCATCCACACCGACCGGTAGCGAGGCGCTGTGGCGCACGAAACGAAAACGAACATCACATGTTTTGAACTGCAGCACTGCATATCAAGTCCCGCGAGCCACGGTCGTTCAATCTGCAGGTCCCCATTGACCCGTCGCGGTCAGTATCATCGCGGCCAACGGTATTAAAAATTGACAGAGGACCGACACTTAATAAACTCTTCTCTTCATCAGTTCCTCAATTCCTAAAGCAAGCAGTCTGGATATTCAGTTTTTTAGAGAGTTTTTTTTTCTTCCGAACTGGACTGCCGTTATGTCGCCAATTGCCCAATAACCCGCCCCCAATTCCCAGCTGCTAATGTCTTCCCGACGAAATCACCCCCTAGCGCCGGTGGCGTCGTCAGCTAGCAGCCAGAAGACGGCCGTCGTCGAGTCGGAGGACATTTCCAGCGACAGGAACGATTGGCAGCAGGCGCATTACTACCACTTATTTCCAGCGGCTCCTCGCTATCCCGTCTCCGCCTACTGTCCCCCGAGAAGAAGCAGCGCGACGCCCGCCGAGCTGCCGATTGCTGAGAACCGCTTCCGGGCTCCGGAACCCGCGATTCGCCACACATCTGGGCTTGGTGAGGTGTCTACTTGGGGCCTACGCGTCCCGAGTCGCACGACGCATATCAAGGGCACTGCTTGTGTCGTTGCGGCCATTGCACTTGTTTTCATTGTTGTGCTTGTGATAGCGTAAGATTGTCCGTGCATGAACAACTTATAAGATCAGTGGAACTAACATCTGACAGACTTGTGTCGAATAGAGAGAACCCATAAGTAATGAAAGATGAGCCGCGATATAATGGTACAATTGCTGTTTAAGTCTTGACAATGGCCATCTACTAGACTTGATTAGGTCGAATATCGATGGTCATAGGCAGTGCTTTGGGAAATCGGCGATATGAATGTTCATATGGAGAAGACACAAGGGGCGCCTGTGACAACTACAGCCTCCGAAAATCACAGATTACAAGTGATCAAAGGACAGCTACAATCAGCGGGACTGATGTAAACAGCGCCATGATCGTCCCAAACAGGCTCATCGAAAGGCTAGATAGCGCTGCAACTCGCGCAAGACCAAGGTGGTACCGATAGTTGAAGAGTTCGCTCCCACCGTGACACTGCGTGTAACATAAGCATCTGCAATTCTACAGACTCAAGTAGGCTTCAAGACATAGACGTAGGCTAACAACATATAATCGAACATTCAATGATATCTAAACTATGGTCCTACCACCCCATCACCTTAGATGCCGCACCATCGCATACTGGCGGTACACCCCAAAGCCTCTCATCCTGTTCTTATCCCAAGTATTCAAATCGACATCGCGATGATCTACATTGCAAAAGCCAAACCGAAGATACAAGCCGTGGGACCCGGGGAACGAGATGAGCCAGGTAGGCAGCGCGGCATCATCCGCTATCTGCAAGCAATGCTTCAACAGCTGCGATCCAACCCCCTTGCTCTGCTGACTTCGGTCAACTGCGAACGCGGATAGATCTACGATGGTTAGCACTGTGACCCAAATCGCAGACAATCAATATCCGGACCTACAATAGCGCTCCTCCCCTTTCATATGCTCCCTCAACTGTTCAATCTCCGCACCCACCGTCCTCATGAACTCAACCTTCACACTCGATGACATTTTCTGCACCATCGTGCCCGTGGGAGTCTGATCCACTTCGTCGCCAGCAATTTCATGCGTCCAGCATGCGAAGCCGACGATGTTCCCTGAAGCGGGATCAATCGCTTTGAAGACCTGCGTGCCGACGTGGTTGAATCTTGCGGCGAGTCTGCCCTTGAAGAAATTGAGCATGTAATTCACGTCTGTCCAGTTCTTGTCTGCGAATCTGGAGGGTAATTCCTGCGAGTAAGCTGAGCGATTGATTTCTGCGAGCGCGGGTAAGTCTTCCCGGTTCGCTAAGGCGATTGTGACCGCCATTGAGCTGAGCTGTGGATTTGGGCCGAGGAGGAATGGCGTCGTGTGTTGATTTTACAGCTGTGCTAAGGCTGGGGAGAATCGAATCTTATGCACTCCGACTTTGCCATGAGTTCAAACGTAGTATGAAGAAATATGTAATTATGATGCGGGTCTTGAGAGTGTTGTTGGATATCTTCACGTAGCTCTTGCATTAGCAACCAACGCTCATTGACATACATACTTAGTACCTATTTTAATCTACTGTGACTAACAAGATACTTTGATGCTAATCATCTAGCTCGTCATGCGAGCTCAGCGGCTTGACACAACACGCACAAGTCCTTCCATATGATTCCAATCCAGTTAGGCATCATTACGGCAGCTATGGTGCCCGTAAATTCGTTGGGCCGAAGCTGATTTGAATATAACGGTCTGCCTACCATTTGATCTTAACTGACATGAATATGCTGACAATTCTGAGGAATCCCTTGAGAAGATTTCAAAGATCTTCTGGGTTTTAGCTATTACTGATATACTAACTGACGGTCTGACTCACATATTCCTATCAACCTCAATAACATGAGAATATACACCCGAGTGTGAGTGAATATTTCGAGATTCCGGAAGACGGCTATCAAGAATTAATCAAATCATCGACTTATCTGAGTGAAAATGGCAGTTAATCCGGCTTTCAACAACAGCCCTTAAGTTTCTAGACATTGCGCTCATTATCGCGAAGCTAAATCCTGTTATCTTGACGGGACTAACGAGTATGGTGTCGGTAGAGTCAACTGAAGTAGTACAGGAATTGCTTCTCAAGGTCGAGTTAGCACGATATGACAAGTTACGGCGTTTTTAAGGAGGTCAAATTTGACTGCGTCCAGCGGAAACCAGTTGTGATCCGGGTGGCACCTGTGCCCCTATACAACAGCTTCGATGTGTGGAAATGTGTCGGCACTCCCCGTGAGGCGGTTTGGAGCTCGTGTGAGGATTCTCAGCTGCGTAGGTATATTTACCTGAATGGATAGTCTAGCTTCGGCAGACGTAGATCGTAACCACCGGGAGATATCGGACTTTCTTCAAAGCAATTGCTTTGGTGTCTGTTTCATGAGATGACGACATCATGGCCCAAGATGAAGGAATACTACGAGTGATATGTTTACTTCATTTCATTTTATAAGTTCAATTGGTTATACCTTTCAAACGCTAGCAAGGCAAGCATCAACAAATTGGACAATCTCCCGATTGAATCTTTCAGGCTCTTCGTAGAACAACCAATGCCCCGAGTCAAATGAGATTACCGAGGCTAGCTTCTGCCCTTGACACTTGCGGTTCACTCGCACAGCCGTCTCCGCCACCCCCTCATACGTAAAACAGCCTGATCTCTTACCGTAAAGGACCAGAGTCGGTCGATCTATCATCTCCACCGCTTCTCGATGGTCGTACCTCGTGTGGTCGCACATCAACTTCGCCAGCCACTCCTGGTCACACAGAGCACTAATGCCCGTGAAAAATCGCATGTCCTCTTCCTTCTGTTCTTCTGAGACGGCGTCTCCGGCACTAGGCGCATAAAGATATCCTAAAGAAGACTCCGCAAGGTCCCGGTGTGCGGCGACGGAGTCGTGGATCCAGGATTCCTGAGCAGATTTCATCGTCGCCTCGTCATAGCAGCCCTTGTGGGCCCTCGTCGAGTCCCAGTTCTCAAAGGGCGAGCGGTCTTGGAGCGGAGCTTGGTCGACGAAGACAAAACCCGCGAAGTCGTCGCAGCCAAATAGCTCGAGGTAGGTCCAGAGTACCGCGGCGCCGATGGAGCAGCCCACGGGGACGATCTTGAGATCTGGGCGCGATATACTCTGGAGATGCATGACGATCTGGCGCAGGTCGGCGGCTAGACGGGCGACGTGGTACCCGCCTCGCGTGCGGCCCGACGCGCCGTGTCCGCGCATGTCGGGCGCGACAACCCAGTACTTGGACGAGATGAAGGAGACATTGCGCGTGAAGTAGGCGCTTGACCCGCTGAAGCCGTGAAGCAGGAGTACGCAGCAACTCGCCTGCGGAGCGGAGATGGGGGACGGCAGGGATGTTTGGAAGGCTAGCTTGCAGCCATCGCTGGCGGTGATGTGTGCATCTTGCATCTTGCGAGCTGGTGCCAGTGTTCCAATTGCATCCAAGTTGTTTTTGGGAAGAGGTAATTATTTTAATACCTCCTAGGTAAATGCTACAAAGTCACGATGTTAGGGGAGAATGGTTACGCGAAAGCAGCACGTAGGTAAGTACCTAACTTAGCCTTGGTATTTACAGCGCACCTTAGGGCATTTAGTTGGAGTGTTAGTGCCTACCGGACCTACCTAGGCAGTTGTATTAGGGGAGCGTGAGCGTATTTAGGAAGAGCGTAGGAGGGGTAAATGCTGACCTAATACTACACATACTAAAGGAATGACAAAACGAAAAGCAACGATCGATATCGATCTCATAGTTAATAGAAGTAGAAGGATATATTTTTCTGACAATCGCGCCTCGTAAATGCCTCAGAAATGCATTGTAGAAGGGAGGGTTGTGCGGTAGAGTCATCGCAGGCTTGTAGAACCGCTTAGGTAGGGACAAGGACGATAGGCTGCTTTGTCGTGCGCATGGTACTGTCGTCTCCCAGAGAAATTGTCTAGCCCTTATATAAGATATGAACTGATGTCTTACCTCCATGTCATCACTACAGAAGGTTGACAGTTCTGTGAAGGTCGGCGTCAATTGTCTCGCAAACTCCCATCATACGATGAAATTGATAAGACGCAAACTCTACTGTTCTACACCAGAGATATGTCTTTAGTCTTAAATAAATATGATAGCGCGAATTCAATGAATGAAGATGCTGAAATTCAACTCGCGCGGCTCGACTGACAGTCAAGGATGTGTATGTTATAGGTATAGGCGACTGGTCGAATTGGCGTCACATATCGATTGCAAGTCAGGATGGAGTTGAGACGAGCAGGCGAGTAGAAGCTCGGCCTCAGAAGTCTGTGGACTAGTCTTAATGCCAAGTTCTATCATCCTATATTATCAGTTTGTTCCAGCACACGTTGTTCTGTCTGTTCTGCTGGTCGTTATTCCTACCGTTCAAGCAACCTCAATCATGAAAATTAAGATTTCTTAATCATTCATCGGCAGGTTCGAACATGGAAACGTTTTATCAAAGTTGAAAACTCGATTATTGATGGTGAAGGGTTTCCAACGTCGAACATTTCGCACCCCGTCGTCCCACAGCCAAATATTAGCACGGTATTAGCATCGAGAACACCAACGAAAAGGGACAAATGTTACTTGATTCTCTATGGCCAAGCTAGATATAAGTATATTCTGCTGCGCAACGCACGAAAACAAGATAAGCTAGCCCCCCGCCTTGCGGGCCACCTTCTTACGGGCCACCTAAAGTGTTAGTACTGTACACTCAAGTCTCATATAAACCTTAACAATCTGTATTTTACGAAAAAATAAATAACTAATTAAAAAAAAGATAGCTACAACTACCAGATTTTAAAATTAGCTATATAATATAAATCTATATATATAATTAAATTATAAAAAATATCGACCTATTATAGGAAGTATATTTAATTGTTAAAGTTATAGTAGTTTTTTTAAGGTGTAATTTGTATAGGAATTTATACAGTGCTATATAAAAATTTTCAAACCTATTAACTTTAACTTGGAATATCTATACGGAAAAAAATTGTAAAAATAAACGTAATATATTAAAAGATGCTAAATTGGTTAATAAATTTAATTCCTTTACCTGTTTACTTTTACGATTTTTATTGGATTTATGGTATGTTATTAAAGGTAGAAATATTACCTTTTTAGGGTAATATTTTAGGTAAGAAAAATATAGTGCAGCGCGTATTAAAATACTATGCATTTTTTTATACAAATTATTACCCTAAAAAGGTAATATTTCTATCTTTAACAACGTACTATAAATCTAATAAAAATTGTAAAAGTAAATAGGTAAAGGAATTGAATTTATTAACCAGTTTAACATCTTTTAATATATTATATTTATTTTTACGATTTTTTTCCGTATAGATATTCTAGGTTAAAGTTAATAGGTTTGAAAATTTTTATATAGCATTGTATAAATTCCTATATAAATTACACCTTAAAAAAACTACCATAACTTCAACAATTAAATGCACTTCCTATAATAGGTCGATATTTTTTATAATTTAATTATATATATAGATTTATATTATATAGCTAATTTTAAAATCTGGTAGTTGTAGCTATCTTTTTCAATTAGCTATTATTAATTGTCTATTTTGTAGTTTTGTATGTAAATACCGTACAGTGCAGCCGGCCCGTGAGGAGATGGCCCGTAAGGCGGGGGGCTAGCTTATGTCGGGTCCTATTCAATCCTCCAGCAGTTTATCCATCCGTCTGGTATGGCAATGAGATGTCTTCTGATAAGGGCATAGTAGATAGCCATATGGTATGTCGCAATGTCCCAAATTCCAAGTCAATAGCTCTCTAGAAATACCCACCCGTGTTGTATGTAGATGGCTCAGATTTTACTTCCATGGCCCTGCGGTTCGTAGCACCGGGCCGTCTTCACCGACAGTTACGCCTCGCAAGTCGCTCCAAGCAAGCATTTTGAACTTGACTTTTGCTTGTCCAGGATGAGATGGCCGTCTTGAATACCATTCATCCTTCAGCCCTGATAGAAGAAGCCAGGGGTCGGGCGTGGGGTGGAAAAGATTTTGGGTATCTTCGAGACGAATTTCACAGTATGCCCCAGTGCGATTGCAAAATTCCTTGAGACCCTTCTCCTGTGCAATTTCTATAAAATTGCGTTAGCAAGACATGAAAATACATACGCCTAGTCATGCGACTCACCCTGTAACCGTCTAAAGACGTCAACGCCGGTTTTCGTTATAACAGTATTTTCTTTCTTTGGGAATAGTCCTTCTAGTTTGCGCGGACAAAAGTGCTGAGCCTCGGATTCCGCCGTCATCATACTTTTCTTGGTCGGGCAAATGAGGTAGAACTCTTGAAGATCGCGGAACCATCGAAGGAATCGGCACACACTTTTATTGCAAATTTCCGCTGGGTGGTCCGTTGGGTGTAAACAGCCGCCCTCCCCACGCACGCAGCGAAAGGGCTGAAAGGACTTGCTTCCCTTAACCCGTCGGAGGAAATCCCACTCTACTCCGATCCTGGTGATGCCTTTGAGAAAAAAGTAGTTTTCAAGGCCATTTAGCATGACTAGAGAGATGATTGTTTCTCCATAGTCGAACCTGAAGGTAACGAGGTCGGTCTTATCATTGAACAGGACACGATCGGGATTTTTTCGTCCTGGGGTGTCATATTGATGCAGCAGAGTTGCAGTGGTTTCGAAACGTAGAAACTGGTCGAAAGCGTAGCGATCTAAACTGGCCATCCCGACTCGCTGTCGCCAGACAGAGACATCATTCGCTGCCTTGTTGGATGGCTCATATATGAGTCTTGTGCAACGGTTTGGGTCCACGAAGAGCCGGAGGCGGTGGGCGCCGTTAGACCATTCCCCGAAAGCATACTTCCAAATTTGCAGCTTCATCTCAGGAGGGAGTCTTGGGTACGGGTGAAAAGTCGTCAGAACCTCGGTAGATGAGGCTGAGTCACTGTCGAGACTATTTCCAGATTCCTCCATTGCCTATAAAAATTAGCTTCAAGGTAAACATATATTACAAGGATTGAACAAACTCACAACTCAGGATCGCAATATATCTGAAGATGTATGTGCTCTGCAAATGTTTAGAGGAATGGGAAATGAAAGGGACTGTGTCTGGGGACAGACAAGCTGATGAGAGATAAGATTACTTTAGGATACACAAGAGTCTCGAAAGGTTGATGGGCATGGGTTGAGTTTGGGGTCTTCTTTTTCTTTCTTTCTTTTTTTTATGGCGGTAAACTGTGAAATTAACGGCAGGAACTTACCACTGTGAAAAACGCAATGCAGGAGGAAGCAACGAGAAACCGAGACACTGGGAAACTAACGTGAATTTCGAAATGTTTGCTTTTTTTTTTATACCGCCCTTAGGAGGCGCTTGGTCAGAAGAGGCGAAACAATCCTCGGAGGGCGTCTTATATATCAAAGCAGGCCAGATAAAGAGAATTGCAGATGGTAGTTCAGTCTTGAAGTAAGTGTAGATGGCGTCAACAGGCGCGGATAGTTGGTGGGACTGATATAACAGAGAGGTAGTAACACAGGTCAATGTTGTTGCGGAAAATGAGTGCAAAGCAGGAGTGGGAAAAACTCGGAATGCATCGCACCAAGACCGTGAAGAAAGCGAGTTGAGTTACTGATTCAAGGTAGTCGGCAATAGTTCAAGTATTCAAGACGAATGTCGTGATCAAGTGGCCGACGGACGATATCTTGAAGAGCAGTGATAGCCAATGCAAGTTAGCATTTTCATGCATCTCAGGAAATCCAACAAGGCAAGCTTGGAACAGGTGGGATTTGGTAAAAAATATTGACGGGCTGATACACACCAAGCTTGAGGTTGAGCCGGTAAGTACCTGTGAGCACAAGCACACACACACACACACACACAATACAATACGTTGGCAGAGCAATTCAAATCCCGTGGTCTCAGAACTAGACAACGACATGAGTTCAGGGAAGGCACTTACAAAGCCGAACAACGCTCTATAAAAGCTACTCTCCAAAGTGCCACTCGTCTACAACTCCCAAGACGATCATATTCCGCGAGGATGCTTAACTTCGTAATGCTACACATAGATAAATACATCTAGATGAGATATGCGCCAACTTAGATCAAATCGCCATCAACCCCACCCTTACGCCCCCGCAACCACCGCCAGATTCTCATAGATCGTGCGCTTGACAGCGTAAAATGAACCGCCTATCTGGCTCGCCGGACCCCCTCCAACAGCGAAGCCAATGCTCTCGACATCGATGCGGCCGGTGGCAGTCTTCCGGACCATCACCGAGCCGTCGATCAGCAGCGTACCTTCTCCTCTGAACTCAGCCGTGTGACCGGATTGTTGCATCGCTTTCCGCAGGTCAGCTAGTCGTAGATCGCCGACGTGAAGTGGTTGGGCCACGGAGCGGGTTGCTGATGCCATGTTCATAGGCAAGATATCCAGAGTTGGCTCCACCGGAGTTTCTATCGGTTCGCTTGATTGCGAATCTTCAGTTTTGATGCGTTTGTTTGCCGTATCTTCATCGTCGTTTCGTGCGAGTTGCGTCTGTACGGCGAGGAGTCGGCCGGTGACGGTCGCAATGCTCAATCCACGGACACTCTGCCATTTCAATTGTTTCAACAGGGTTGGGGCTAGTTTAACCACCCAGGCGTTGGTGTCAACACTTGCGTCAACAGTAGCTCCCATGTTGGGAGTGTATATGTCGAAAGAACCATCTGCCATTAGCTTCTTGCAATCCGAAGCTAGTGTCATTGTGTCTTCGCTGCTTCCGCCTACGAGGATAAGCTTTCGAGGCTGGATTAGAGGTATAAGCATGTGGAGGCTGCGCTTGTCGTGGATACCGGCAAAGTCGACAAAGTCAATCTGGAGTTTGACTACAATCTTTTCCGTCTGGACCACTAATTTTGACGGTCCATTCACTGAATCATCTGGGTCATCTGGGACTGCGTCCAGCTCGTCGTCATACCCGCCATCCGAGTATGCCACTTGAAGCTCATCAGTCATGGTTCGTGTCAGCGCTGGTCGCTTATTGGTGTGAGTTCCGTGGATCTTGTTCGCAGGTGCGGCGTCGTCCCATTTGCGCTTCTTCCCCAAATTATCGTGGCCATCACCCTTGCCGAGCTGGTCCATGTCAACGCCATCTCCATCATCTCGCTCCTCGGCTCTGAGAAAATCCTCTGGTCGGATACCTTCGCCATATTCGTCGTCACGCTTTCGTCGTACCGCGTTAGGAAACATTCGATCTCTTCCTCTCTTATCCGTTATATCAAAATCATGAACCCCCTTCTTTTTTAATAGTATGTTAATGCCCAAATCTTCGTCAGTAAGTGCAGCTTTCTTCCTTCCCGCCTGGCCGAGGGTCGTCGCAGCGTTCAGAGCCCGGCCTTGTTGTTCATTCTCTGAGTCCTCCGATTCGGATGATGACTCAGAAACGTCATCTCCCACATCTCCAGCCGCTTCTAGTGTAGCTACTCCGCCACCCTGTAAAGTCGTCTGCAGCTGGCGTTGTTGAGCGAGCCATTGCTGATATCGGGCCAGATCGCCGCCTTCCAGAGCCTGTTTTTGAGTGTCTATGAAGTCTAGTTCATGGATGACCCCACCATTTGGCTCGCTCTCCGTAGTACTCTCCTGGCGATTCTTCCACCAGGACCAGAGAGTTCTCGCCAGTGATGGGTGCGATGATGAAGCTGAAGACGGATACTCGGTTAAAATGACCATATTGGCAGGGTCCTCGGCGAGCTGCTTCAACACAGTTTTCGAAAATCCCCATTCGAGGCTTGCATCACTGGCAATAATGACCTTGCCGGTAGAGGTGCTGCTGCCGTTATCACGCGAAAGCACCTTGTCGATCTGCCCTCTCCTGTCCAGTAAACGGAGATACCTAAAGTCAAAAGGGCCAACTTCTTTCCCTTGTTTTGCCCCGTCTCCTGTCCCGTTCGCTCGTTTAGACCCATCAGCAACAGCTTCGAACTCGCGCACAATGTTGTCGTCCATCCATTCCAACATACTCCTAGCATATCTCATGACACTATGAACATTGCGCCCTGCCAGATACACTTTCGCAGAGTTGAGGTTGCCGTTGTTAGATGAATCATCTCTCCATGCATGTTCTAGTAGATAGGCTAGCTCTAGTACACGGGCGCTTGAATCCGTAGGTATGAGGACTGTTCCACCCTTACCGACACACGACCTTATCTTGTCAAGGAGTTGCTCATCTCGTTTACTTCGGCCGCCAGAGAGAGATGGTTTTTTACCACCGCGGCTGCTACACACCAGTGCGGTAGGCTTTCTTAACTGTTCAATGACCTCTGCACCTCCACCACCAGCTCCACCCAGCCATGCAGCGCCGGCGTAAACATTTTCACGTCCTTGATTCCAATCTACAGCGTATACAATAGATTCAAGACCGTGCTGTATATGCCAAATGGTGCCACCTAGTGTATGGCCCGAGTTATACGCGGTGATGGTTAAACCATTTAGCGGAGGAGAGAAAGGGGAGCCAAGAGGCTGATGAGGTTGCGAGTATTTTAGAGGATGGATGAGGGAGAAGTAAGTAGCGATCTCATCGGGGGTAGGAGCTTGCAGAAGGAAGTCGGACGACGCATCTTGACCCGAGTATGATACACCCTCGAGGTCACCTAACGAGATCGTAGTAGCAGCAGCTGGCGTTGAAGCATATAGGTCCTGCAGGAGAGTGCGACCAAGTCCAATGATGGGGCTTGTCGCATAGACAGGTATGCGAGTGAAGAGAGGGAAGTGTTTGCAGCAGTGGGCGAAAGCGGCGATGTGTTCGGTCGTCGCATGGGTGAGGAGGATCAGGGAGAGGGTCGGGACTTGTCTGCGCATCCATGTAAGCGATACAATTCTGGCCGTTGCCGATACAATCGAGCCGGCATTGAGGGTTCAGGCGACGTACTTTTCCAGCTCCTTGAGCTTAGCAGGATCAAAGGATTCATCCCAACCAACGCCGACAAGTATCTTGATGCCTCCGTCTAGCTCGAGGATAGATTGCGACGCCGGTGACTCGGAAAGCGCCCCTAGCAAAGGGCTGAACGTAAACATGGCTGCATGGTCTTATTGCATGCCCTCGCCCGGTTCCTTGCGCCCCGTTGCTATATGCCCATCTATAGCAGTATTCTGCAGTCTAGTCAGATACTGGATTGTCGCGAAACCGAGCAGAGCGTTCCGGAAGATTGAGAGGCCGCTATGGGTGAAGGTAGAATGCCCAGATAGCCAGTCTAAATAATTGCCATGCTGATCTGGAAGTTAGGTAGGGAAGAATGAACATTCGATGAAAGATGTAGCGCGCGTCAAAGAGTTCCTTGTCGGGATACCGTGTATGTACCTACATGTACCTACCTAGAGGCACTGGATGTGCCTAAGTACAGAGAACATAGGCCTCCCTACGTAACCCACAGCAGTGCTGCCGCTGTGCCCGTGCCCACCATACTAGGTACCCGTAGCAGTTCTGGGTGGGTTCCATACAGCACTGGGTTGGCGGCACATCCACTGAAGGAGGCTCTCAGGTCAGTACCGTATGTACCAGATACCTACATAGGTAGTGGGTATGCTGGATTAATGGGCCATGCTCACCCTCTAGAGGTATCTTTTACTAGCCTATGCACCTATGTCATGCCTGGCATAGCGTATCCCCTACCTCTGGGTAGCTCAGACCCGCGCCCGGCAGATATCCGGGAGTCCATCGATAGTGTGCAGATACTCAGGTACTTAGGTACTTAGGTACCAGTGTAGGTACATATGTATGGAGCTGGTCGGTCTGCCGCCCTTATCGCCAATTCGGGAATGGCATCGCTGAGACACGAATTCGTAACTGTGGCCTCAATCCTGACATGGGCAAGGTACCTTCATAGACGTCGTATCTCAAGCCTCAGCCAATTCCTCGCTCGCTTTCGTACATTGGCCCCGACCGTCTGTCCCTGAAGCTGCATGTTTTCGAGCACGGCCGCCATGACACCATTCGCTTCGGTGTAAATCGTCGTCCAAGTACTCACAGCTGTGCCCCTCGACATCCAGCTCGGCCGTGCACAATTATATCTCTCGCCCCTTATAATCGTGTGCCGTGGGGCTATGTGTACGGACGGCTCTTGTTTTATAACGAAGTAATATAGAGCCTTATCGCCTGCCACATTTCTACCATCTCGATCCTAAGACCTTCGGAACACGCGACGACTATGAGTGGTGAATATTCCATGTATCACGCCCTCGGGCAAGGCGAGCAATTCGACCCAAACGATCCCAAACGAACACAGCCAGCACCTCCTCAGTTCCAGCCGCCTGTCGCTCAACAGCCATACCAGCAATATGGGGCGCCCGTACCTCCCGTTCAGGGTCAAGGTCAGCAGTACTATGGTAGCCCTCCGCCCCTCGGCGGCGCTTCTCCCGCACGCACTGCGCCTGGCTTCGCACCACCCACGGCAGACGGAGCAGGACTAGCCTCTCAGATGGCCGGTATGTCGTTGGATGGGCAGCACACTGTGCGGAAGAAGAAGAAGGATCGGCATGCTTTTCATACCGTCGAGGCCCCCGCTGGCTCTTCGCAGCCATATAATGGCATCCCGCCAACAGGCACTCCAGCAACACAATTCCTTAATGCCGATCCCTCTCTCACGGTTGGCGGGCAATTTATCGGTGGACCTACCTCTCCGAATCAGCTCCCAAATCCCAGCGCCGCGGCATATGGCTCTCCGTCTCCGAACCAGTTCCCAAGTCCCGTCAATGCGCCGTACAATCCAGCCTCTCCTGCCACGCCAGCTGAATTCGCCGCCCGGTCTGGTCAACCCCAGGCTCCGGCATTTGTATCGGCCTCGGGAGGCAGCAGCATCTCACCCGACGAGATCCCCAGCGTACCCGTGTCTAGAGATGTACCGCAGCAATATTACCTCGACAACGTCTACCCTACGTTTGAGCGCCATGTCCCACCTCCTGCTATCGCTTCCTTTGTGGCGTACGATCAGGGCAACTCTTCGCCGAAATTCACACGACTGACAATGAATAATATACCCTCTACTGCTGAGAACCTCAGCACCACCGGCCTCCCTCTGGGCCTGGTTTTACAGCCATTGGCTCCTCTTCAAGCCGGGGAGCTAGAAATACCCCTTCTTGACTTCGGAGAACAGGGACCTCCGAGGTGCCGTCGGTGTCGAGCCTATATCAACCCTTTCATGATGTTCCGCTCTGGAGGTAGCAAGTTTGTTTGTAATCTGTGTACCTATCCCAACGATACACCCTCGGAGTATTTCTGCGCTACGACGCCACAGGGGGTCAGGGTAGACCGGGATCAGAGACCAGAATTGACAAGGGGCACTGTAGAGTTCACAGTACCTAAGGAGTACTGGACGAAAGAACCCACCGGCCTGAACTGGCTGTTCGTTATTGATGTTACCCAAGAAGCCTTCAACAAGGGTTTTCTGGAGGCTTTTTGCGAGGGCATTCTCTCAGCTCTTTACGCACCGGAAGGGAACCAGAGTGCAGAAGACAACGGTGAGCCAAAACCGCAAATACCACCTGGAGCAAAGGTTGGATTCGTGACCTACGACAAGGATGTCCACTTCTATAACTGCAATGTGAGCTTTTTACACCTTGATGAATAATACCACATAGTGCCTTTTGAGGATACCTACTAACACATGTTAGCCCGCTCTGGAACAAGCCCAGATGATGATCATGCCCGACATAGAGGATCCCTTTGTTCCTCTAAGTGACGGCCTTTTTGTTGATCCGTATGAGTCGGAAGCAATTATCACATCACTTCTTACTCGACTACCGACTCTTTTTTCTGATATTAAGAACCCCGAGCCCACATTGTTGCCAACACTAGGTTCTTGTTTGGCCGCCTTGGAGAAGACGGGAGGAAAAATGGTGTGCTCATTATCGGCGCTTCCGACGTGGGGACCGGGTCGTCTATTTATGAGAGATGACGGGAAATATCCCGGCGGTGAAATTGACAAGAAATTGTACACCACAGAGCATCCCGGCTGGAAGAAGATTGCCGAGAAAATGGTAGCCGCCGGTGTTGGTATTGACTTTTTCCTGGCAGCCCCTTCTGGTGGATATTTGGATGTTGCGACAATTGGTGAGTCGTAAATATCGTATGAAAAAAGGGTGAGATAAAATGCTAACTCTACGAAGGTTACGTATCTTCCACAACGGGTGGTGAAACGTTTTATTATCCCAACTTCGTGGCCGGTCGGGATAACGCCAAGCTCTCACAAGAAATCAAACATACTGTTACCCGCGAAACCGGTTATCAAGCGTTGATGAAAGTTCGTTGCTCAAATGGACTTCAAATATCTTCTTATCACGGTAATTTTGTTCAGCATACATTTGGTGCTGATCTGGAAATCGGAGTCATCGATGCGGATAAGGCAATAGGTGTCACTTTCGGCTACGATGGAAAGTTGGATGCCAAACTCGACGCGCACTTCCAATCCGCACTCCTCTATACCACCGCTTCAGGCCAACGCCGAGTTCGCTGCTGCAACGTGATTGCCAGTGTTAGCGATAATACGAGAGAGTGCGTGAAATTCATCGACCAAGACGCAGTATATACGATCATCGCGAAGGAAGCCGCGTCAAAGCTTTCTTCAAGTTCAAGCACTCTAAAAGATATACGCGAGCTTATAACTGGAAAAACGATCGATATTCTGGCGGGTTATCGCAAGAATTTCTCTCAGCCTCACCCACCAGGACAGCTCGTCATGCCTGAGAAGCTTAAAGAGTTCTCGATGTATATGCTTGGCCTAATCAAAAGCCGAGCATTCAAAGGTGGCAGTGAGACTTCAGATAGAAGAGTACATGAACTCCGTATGATTAGATCAATGGGTTGTCCGGAGCTCAGCTTATACCTCTATCCTCGCATGATACCTATACATAACCTCAATGCTGATGACGGTTTCCCAGATGAGAAGACAGGTCATCTGAAGCTGCCTCCTTCCATCCGAACATCTTTCAGCCGCGTCGAGCCGGGCGGTGTCTACCTTGTTGATAATGGACAACAGTGCCTATTGTGGTTCCATGCGCAAACTTCACCAAATCTGCTGATCGATCTCTTTGGCGAGGGCAAAGACAGCCTTGGCTCGCTTGACCCCTATAGTTCAACCCTTCCAGTATTGGAGACACAGCTGAATGCTCAGGTCCGGAATATCATAGAGTTCCTCCGAACCATTCGTGGGTCGAAGGCATTGACAATTCAGCTAGCAAGGCAAGGCATCGACGGTGCTGAATATGAATTCGCCAGGATGTTAATAGAAGACCGGAACAACGAAGCCCAAAGCTATATAGATTGGCTTGTCCATATTCATAAGGGTGTAACGCTTGAGGTAGGTCCCCCTCTTCCAAATTCCCGGGTTAAGCAGGTCGAAACTGACATTTAATGATGATTAGTTAGCTGGCCAGCGGCGCAAGGAAAACGACGAGGGGAGTTCGATAGTGTCTAGTTTCTCTGGTCTACGACCTGGTTATTGGTGAGGTTACGATGATGAAATCAAAATGTTTAAAAGTTACGCAACGAACGCATGGCATTGGGAGGCGCATTGAAACTTGGATTGAGAGAGTAAAAATATGACGAAATGTCAGACAAGAATTCCCCATGCAAACAAAGCAAGCAATATCCTCGTGTTGATGTTGATTATTTGCCTGTTCATACTCATGTAAGTATCAGGAAGATTATCTACGCAATGAACTAGAGCACGAAGAGCATGTTATTCGTCTCGAGATCGCTGCTTCGACTACTTGATAACAAATGTGATGTATCGCTCTCTTTAAGTTAGTGGATCTTCTCGTGTCATGTTGCTCTGTCGAGTGTTCATGCCGCCTCTACTATCTTGAGCGGTTACCTAAATACTAGATATGACTTTGACTCAAAAGAGATAGAAAAGAAGGGATAAAAGGAAAATAGGTAGAGGCGTTAATGGCCCTCTTCAATGCGCGTGGGATACGTGCGGAGAGCATATCTAGTCATGCGCATGTTTGTATTGACGCTATGTGTAAATGGGTCTTGTAGCATTGTTACCGATAACGGTCACGAGAACGAGGGAATGCGTGGTGAATCGCGTACAATAGTGTACGGCGAAGAGTGCGTAGGTAGGTAGGCTCAGATAGATGTGTGACTATCCCTCCTCCCGCAGGCCCCGGAACTTGAAGCACACTCACAAAGTGACGCCGCTCCTTTCCCGCCGCGAACTGAGACCTAACAGCTGCACACAATCTGTCATCTAGGATAGGTATCATCATTGTTTACCCAACATGTTGACCCTGTCGTTCGTTCGTTCGTTTTCATTCCTGATACGGTAGATGATATGCACTAGGAGGCAGGGATAAGAAAGCTCGAGCGCGCGATCATGATGTGTGCGTGATCTATCAGAATTCTTCCTCGCTCGTCTGATTGACAGGTGCGGCTCGTGGCAGCGAGCGGCGAGCGACAGCCGTCTGTCTGCGGAACTGGGTTCCTGTTTCGCGACGTTTGGATCTCTCGATCTAAGCATGGCGTGGTGCGGGCGGATATCATGTCGATTGATCTGTTGCAAAACAGGGGTTGATACTTACTTCAGTACCTGTATGTAGGTAGGTAATTGGTGATACGTGAGTAGGTACCCTGCAGTGAAGGGAGATTCCTAAGGCGCCCGCCCTTCCGTTGTACAGTAGGGCGGCGGCGGCATGGATACCGGCATGTAGGTTGGTGTGCCATATGTATGCACATGCACGTATACCTAGGTAGGTACGAATTGGTGATACTTTGTGATGTATATGCCTGAAGCGATGGGAATCTTGTGAGTACTAAGGACGGCAAATTTTCCTTACCAGTTCGGATAGATGATCCCAACAATCTGTATAATTACGCACGGAAGACTCCCGCAACCACATCAGCTTGCTAATACCATCCCGAGACTCGCTACAGCTGATCCGGAATGGTATCTTGTCAAAGACAAGCTGAACATGCACGTCTCGACGGTGATACGGGAAGGGCGGCTGTCTATATGTCTTGTCGATCTCCCCTGTCTGCAGACCGGGCCGGCGGTCCTACATGTGTGTCTCAGCGCGCATGCTGTCGCCATGGAGTAGATATATTGAGCAGATCCAGACTCCAATTTCCTAAACGAAACCCCTATACGACGGGTACAGGTGTGATAGACGTGCACTGACGTGATTGTTAAACTCTGGTCCCTGGAGAGCAAGCTTGTTGGGGTGATACTAGCTTCGAAACACAACGTGGTTCCTGGAGGTATGCTACAGACGACTGGCCATTGAGAGTTTCATGGTGTTGGTCACCATGAGGTCAGAATAGTGCTTGGCTTAGGACGTTTATTCTATTCAGCTCGATGGTGTTGACTTGAATGCGCTATACGAACAATCCTCAAGTTGAGCAATCCTCTTACGCGATAACCTCGAATTCAGTTGAAAGGAGTGATTGCTAGGCCTCCTACGCTTTGAATTGTGTCGCGAGACATAATGGAAGTTGTCCAATTCCAAATGGCCGGGACCCAGATCATAACAGTAAACCCTTCAAATCATGGAATTTACTCTATAGTAATAAATCCCAGCAAATACTCCCTCAAAGATCGCAAAAGCACACCGAAGACATCTAGATACATATCGATAAATAGGTGAAGTCTTCAAAAGAAGACAAAAGAGAATTGTATCGGAAGTGGCAGGCTTCCTAGGTGCCTCATACGATCTACTTCGCTTCTTACGCGCGTTAAATGAGAGTGAGTGGCTCTCAACTGACACGGACAGGGATTGGCGCTTTACAGTCAATGGTGAGAGAAATGCTAACTGATTTTGTTTCGTTTCCTTGCTTGTACGTATTGCATGTTTGTTTGGGCTGGGCTTTCCGCTGTCTCATTTATGCATATTAGATTCGATATAGTTGAGACTCGGCAAGGTTGTCGCGGGATTGATAGATTAGTACAAGGAGGACGTGATGGCTATCTGATATAGCTGCCTAAAGCATCGGACGCCTGCTGTCGAGCTGTGTATTCACAGCTCCTGTGGGATAGACTCATCGCTTATAATTGCAGTCTTCTAAGTTGGGTTGATTTGTCAGCGATATCGAACAGAATCTATGGGCAATCATGATGATTAGTTGTTCGTACATGAGGGCAGCCAGGTGGTACGATTCCTAAATGACTCATCGCCTAATGAAAGGGAAGAATTAATGCTCAGCAAGTGCAAATTCAGTGTCCCTGATAAGCGTACAGATTGCATTTAACAGCTACAGCTATGAGAGTAATCAAAGCTTTGAGTATAAAGAAACGCGTTGTGTCAAAACAGACGCATTGGCTCTTTACTCAGCCAAGATCAATACATAATGGCTCGACAGTTTCGTGTTGCCCCTCTACTAGTTCCGAGGTAGACTGTCCAAAGGCCCAGAAACTCTGACTAAAAAGCAACAATAGATTGTGAGATGAAGTTTTGAATACAGCAGCGTGTCCACCGACCGAAACTCCCAAGAGTAATCGCCGCACCAAATAAAAGCAGTAACGCCAAGACTTCCCCAAGAAAAGACACACGTAGTACTAGGATTATCTTAGGGCTGCGCTCGGATAGATCCGGTTGAGGTTGCATTGTCCGCGATGCCAATGCTGTGCAATGGCGTACAACCGTTAGATTGTGACTGCGGTTAGCTTGTAAGCATAGAAATGTCGTACCGAGGGTCGGGACGGTTCACGGTTTGATGTACCTCGCCTGCACTAAAAACATGTTGGAAAATCTCAAAATCGGTCGGCGTCGCTAGGTCTCTAGTTGAGTGTGATCCCGAGCTACCCGCCGCCTTCGACTTTCCCTTGGAGCTGCTCGAGTGGCTGTGTTTGTTCTTCTTTGCGATATCCTCGAGAATGAGCATGGTGGTGCTCTGATACGCATCCTCAAAGACGAAAGCTACGTGATCGAAGCGGCCGCGGATGTCTGGATCATACAAGAATACCTCTCTCCAGAGCTCTGCCAGCTCTTGTGGTGGGTTGCGATGCCCATTTCCCAGGCCATAGTCTCCGATAACTACAGATCTGTGCCCATAATATGCGCAAATTCGAAGCGCTGACCTGATCTTGTTCTTGACCAAGGTTCGTTCGATCGGAAACGCATATTTCAGACTCGTCTGGCTCAATTTCGGCCACCGGACTGCCGGCATCGAGACCACGGGCAGATCATACCACTGATCTAGTTTCTTGTATTGATCGTGGGGGCCACGAAAGACTACGACAAATTCCGAGTAAATGCCACCCTCGGATGGGATGGGATAATTGGAGTCAAGCTGAGAGCCGGGCCCGGGTACGCTCAGCGTGGCTGAAAGCGTACTCCGCCTACACAGTCGTTCTTCGTATCCGGCGACTCCAGTCTCCCAATCACCGCCGGCGCGCTTGTCGTTAGCCACGCAGATGAAGGGTATACGAGTCCGCACTCGCTCTTTCCAGTCAATGGTAAAATCAACAGGGTCTCCGGTGCACACATCTATTTTCAGCTGGTCAGAATCCAGCACTTAGGTCAGTAATAAGAAACACTCACAGAATTCAGGATTACGTGGCAGTGAAGCACCCAGAGGCTGTAGAGGTATTTGTTGAAGAGGTTGTTGGAAAAGATAAGAATAAGTCGGCCATTGATGCGCATATTGACTCCGGATTGTCGGTATGTAGTTTCTCTTGGCATCAGCGGCCACTTCGGAAGGTTTAGGTCTGGACGAAGGCATGTCGGTTGAACGTCCGCGAAATGCGACGGAGAGCGGCCCTGGGTGTTTGTCTATGCTAGCTCCTCCTCCCACAGGTGTACCATAACGCACACATGAGGTAAAGAAAAAGGCTGGGGACGCACAAATACTTATAGGACAATACTAGACAATGCTTGCGTCTTGGTCCGCTTGTAGCGTACGGTTCGACGAAGCATCTCGGCGGTATTCGAGTAAATGTTTCGAGTAGGAAACAGACGGGATGAACCCTGTGTCACCAAGTCAAATTGATTGCATGATCAGACTCCATATGTCCTAGACATTGAAATGAGCGAACAGAGGACCAGGGTAGCAGAGAGGCTCGAAGAGTGTCTAACTTTCGCCGTTACTTCTGGCTTGTCATCGAGAAATGGGCAGAATCAGATCGCGGGACCTTGTGGCACGATAGAGCTACCAGGTAGACGGAAATCGATGTTCCAAGTGAGATCAGGAAGCACACTGCAGATAACCGAAGTCGCACAGATCTGAGTGGTACTCCTCACCGTGCAGCATCGTGAGACTGTCTGGGACTAACATGAGATAATTGGACCCCCAATAGTCGAAGGGTCCAGGTGTGTATTGCCTATGGCCGAATCCATCCAATCTAGTGTCAGACACGCAGTGATGAGAACTGAGCTCCCCTGGTTATGGGGAGAACCTGGGCAACTCATACTGTTCAGAAAATGCCCCGATGCAGGCTGTAATTTAGAGAATCTAGGTCAGCACCGGCAGACGAGAAACACTACGACAATACCTAGCACCAGATGCGTATATTTAGTGACAGACGGAAGAGTCTAAAAATGGTGTGACGTAGATGATGCGAGGCTTTCAATGCCCTATCAACAGTCGTAGAGTCTGCACACAGCGTAAGCGACAGGTATAGCACAATCAATGATTGATGTGATTCTGGTTTCAGACGCGATAGAGGATGGCTTTTTCAGTGTGGGCCAGACTGCGTCAACGGGAGTCTCAAAACAAGATGAGCACCGAACTAGCGATGCCATCTCGTTCTCCCTTTTCTTACGGCTCTAGGCCTACATGGAGTGAGGGAACATCAGGCGAAGCTCGTCCAGTCAGCCACAGATGTCCGAGTAAAGGGATATAGCCACATTTGTCATAGCAAATAGAGAATGTCTCTCTCTTCCCGGGTCGGGCAAGTCAGACAGATTTTCGTTGAACGTTTGGATAGCAATCAAGGGACCAGATCTCGCTAATGCCAGGGGCCTCACCTGCACAACCACAATCAATACTTGACAATACTGACAATACTCAATACTGACAACACTGTACGGACTCGGCGTCAAATATTTTCCGGGCCGGTGCTATCTCGGTGTCCCTTCATTGACCCGCTTCTTTTCAGTTCCAGCCAATCATACTCAGCACAATCTCGCCTAGCTAAGCCTGTACTGGCTGGCGGTTTTTCATCATGTAACACTCATCATACTCACTCACTCGCTCATCGTCAACCTCAGATCATAGACCGAATCTGTTTCACCCCCTCTCAAAACCGGATGCTCTGAATGCCCTGCTTTTTCATAATTATGAGAAGGGTATTGGTATAACCATATTTAATTCGGTCTGATTCGGTCTGCTATCTAATCTCGCATTGGCTTGGTTGAGATGTCTGCTTTATTGCTGTGTGCACGAGGAGCGTTAACACGGACACCTCCAAGCCGTCTCACCAGCCCTTTGATCTCGTCACGTGCTTCAATAACGACACTTCCTACCAACGTTTCCTCCTTTCTTGGTTTGAAGCCGGAGGAGCCTGTCGACGACGTCAAGGTGGACGGCTATGTGCGATCTGTTCGCGCTCAGAAACACTACCATTTCGTCACAGTCGGAGATGGCTCGTCCCTCGAATCGCTGCAAGCGGTAGTGCCTGCTGAGCAAGCAGAAGGGTAGGCTGTCAGTCCTCACCTAGTCGCACAAGCCTTCACCGCTGACATAGTACTCTTCAGCTTGACCATCGGTGCGGCCGTTCGGCTGAACGGCTCCTGGGCTCCATCTCAGGGTCGAGGTCAGAGTCATGAGCTGAAGGTGTCACGAGCCGCTATTTTGGGCCCTTCTGATGCGAAGGTGTGCTCGAACATTGCAGAACGCCTGAAACATCATGGCCTGATGCTGACTTATCTTCTTAGACATTTCCAATACAAAAGAAATATCAGACATCCGAGTTCCTGAGAACTCTACCTCATCTCCGCCCACGAATTCCGTTCAATTCGACTGTCTTACGCTTCCGCTCCGAATTAATCGCATCCTTAACGAATTTCTTCAACAGTCGCCAGTTTGTCCAGACCCACACGCCAATACTGACTGCCTCAGACTGCGAGGGTGCTGGCGAGGTGTTCCAAATCGTGACTGAGAATGAGCGAAACGCGTCAGCCGCCAACCCAGTGAAACCCTTTTTTCGACGAAATGTTTATACGACAGTGTCATCTCAGCTGCACTTAGAGGCCTTAGCACAGGCGCTTGGTAATGTGTGGACGCTCTCGCCAACTTTCCGAGCGGAACAGAGTGATACACCACGGCACCTAAGCGAATTTTACATGTTGGAGGCCGAACTCAGCTTCACAGACAGTCCAGATGCTGTCATGGATCTACTTGAAGACATGCTGAGGCATGCTACTTCCAATTTGGCTGACTCCAAGGTCGTTCGTGAGCTTCTCAGCACACCCAGTGAACGATCTCCAGATCTAGCCCCAGCTGAGCAGGTGACTCAGCGGTGGCATGGACTTACTCAGGATAAGTGGCCACGCATAACATATACAGAGGCAATCAACTTACTCGAAGCCGCTGATGTATCCTTTACTCATAAGCCTAGATGGGGTAAAGACCTGCACACAGAGCATGAAAAGTATATCGCCACCAAAGTAGGCAAAAGTTGCAGTCCAGTTTTCGTCACTCATTATCCTCGTGACATCAAACCATTCTATATGAAGGAAGGGGATATGGGTAGTACCACTCCATCACCTGGCGCTACAGTTGAGTGCTTCGACCTTCTCGTACCGGAATTCTGCGAAATTGCTGGAGGCTCAATGCGTGAACACCGGCTAGAGAATTTGGTTGAGGCCATGCACGCGCGCGGCCTAAGTACCAAACCTTCCGAGCCCAGTTCCGCAAATTCGCAAGAACCCGTAAATAATCTTGACTGGTACCTCGACTTACGGCGCTGGGGTTGTCCACCGCACGGCGGCTTTGGCTTGGGTTTCGACCGCTTGATGTGTTACCTTACGGGCGTTCAGACAATACATGACACAGCCGCCTTCCCTCGGTGGTATGGCCGGTGCGATTGTTGAAAGGCTAGCCTTGTGATACAGGATACTGCTCGTTAAGCCCTACCTCTCTGGGATTGAGTTACCCGCTTGTACAACCATCATACCAAACAAGACCAATTTTGCCTCACGTGAATCCCCAAAATGAAATGATACGGCTTAGTTGCCGAATCCGTCTCGACAAACCAAGACAAGTTCTATCTTGTGTTTCATCACACGATTAAGATGACTCCTACTCTACCACTTCCAGAGTTAATGTATTACAGTAGCTTCTCTGCTTATTAGACTTGGAACCGGCCAGAGTTAGTTCATATGACTGACAAGCTGACTATGGCCTACAAGTAATATAACCCATTAACTGGTATGTTTATGCCAGTACTATTTGGTTGTATTTCCTTGATGAATTGTACCATGAAAATAATATGCTCGGGTACTAGCCGAAACACAACGGCCTAGAACATCAAGGTGCACATTGTCTTTGTACTTGTAGTCCCCAAGCTACGGCCACATCTCGGCGGCTACAGTCGGAATCTCAAAAGAATTGCAAACAAAATCATATTCAAGTCATACGCAAACAATCTACACAAAGTGGCCGACAGGAATGTATTATCTACAGAGCACCAGGCACAGCGACACTTACTGCCTTGCCTCCCCTTTCTCTTGTCCTTCGCGGATCGCAACTATCGAAAGCGATAAGTCATGACAAGTATTGTACTCAATCTCTGTTCGCGGTATCGCATGCGGCCGAACGGCAGGGCACACGCGCTCGTGCGACAGCCACTGTTCGGTTCGCTGCAGCAAGTTCCCGGCCTGAACAAAGGACATACTGTAAAAAACTTTGTGCATTAACAGCTTCGGCGAAGTAAACCTCTAGACAGATACGTACGGTATGCCCAGCTTTACCTACCGCTTGTCCATCGACATTCACACCTAGAGTAAAGCAATATATCGACAACTACGTGTGATTTGAAGCGGGCCTCCTATATGAAAAACATCTGACGATGTTTGACACTAGCGTCCAGCATAGGGTCTCATTCATTTGCTGTTCCTACCTACCTAATGTATCGTGCACCCCCGGATCTACCATACCTCAACAACCAGTGAACTCTTTCCTGTTCCTCGTCTAGGCATATAAGCCTGCATGAGTCAGTCAATCAGTCATTCTGTGCGTCCGTCACTTCTCTGCGTCGTCACGTAGCCCGCATAGAACGGCACGGATAGAAGCAAAGAGAAGCAAGAGGTGGAGGAGAACGACACGGTAACGATTCTCTCGTTGATTGCCAATGCTCGGCACATATATTGAGGTGACATTATTGACACCGCAACGGGGTATCAACGCGCTCCTATCTGCTAAGATAGGGCTCCATTTCCGTTTCCTGGGCTGATTATTCGCGGGCAAAAGTAGATTGAAATCGATATAGATCTCATTTACAAGTACAGGCGGCGATGGGGGGGGGGGGGGGGGAGCCTGCATGGGATGGATGGGCCTGCAAATGCATAGGCAAGGCAAGTAACCTTATTCTTCCGCGAAGCTTTTCTCCCCCCCATTTATATCTATCATCTATTTATACGGTAGCACTGTGTCTCCATTGGATGTGTGTATCTATACTAGCCAGCCTTGTGTCCTCCTACACTGGCGATTATTTGTATAGTAGGCTGGTAGTTGTGACTTCTGTTGGATACACGTATTGTACGAGGCGACCGCCTATTCCCGCCGGCCCCTCCTCCCAGTGGCTGCGGCCGGGCTGCGACCAGCGGGATCCAACATCAATCAACCAAGGTACGAAGTAGGTATCCAAGTCATACTACTTCTGTTCGCGAGAGAAGCGAAGCGAGATCTTCCTCAGCTGTGTACCGTACCATATTGCCGGCAGGTGCTAAGACTTACTTGCCAAAAGCCGGGTTGTCGGTCGTTCGTTGCTGTAGTCGAGGGGATTTTCCCGAACAAGTAGATGCCCAGTCTAGTCGAGCGATGCTTAAGCGATCGATCGCCCTCACCCATCTTGGGTAACAACAAACTGCATCGTCCGTATAGCGGTCGACGTCGCTGTGTGCTATGTCCTACCCTCTGGGATCGGCCCTACTTAAGTATAGGCTATAACGTTAGACTACTACCTGCATACTACATACCCTTTCGTCGAAACTGCAATGGCAAGGACGGCAGTCATTTTGCATTGCCTACATACATCATGTGCACATATGCTGTACAAAGAAAAGCAGCGGCAGTAGTAGTGCAGAAATCGGAAAAAGACCAGGCTGCAGATACGGAGATCGCCAATAAAGTGTGCGCGTTGGAACTCGGCGCAGACCAATGAAATCAAAGGGAATTAAAAGTAAGTGTTGGGAATTTCAAATAGTTAAGGTCACATTTAGCAGCAGCTGGCTAACTAGGTACCTAGTTGGCCAAGCATGTCTTTGCCTCTCCTCCGCAGAACAGCATCGGCTCTACTCCCGAGTCAAACAAACCACACTAAATGACTAAGGCATAATGCATGGCATGGCATGGCATGGCATCATTAGTGTTCAATGCTGTTGTCTATTGCCAAAAGAGAGCCAAGGGGCCAAGAGAAAAACTAAATCTGGGCAGTCACGCGGTCGTTGGAATGAAATGGCACGACATTACCGTGTCGAACCATATTGCCAGATTTACCTGTTACTAAGTAAGATCTTGTCCGTTACGGGGATTTTGACTCGCGACATGGATCTGGGGCGGCGGGTCGGGAGGCCCCTCCTCCCCCTTGGCTTGTGCCTCTATGAGGTAGCTAAGTATTTGAGACGGGCAGGATTTAGACCTCCTTGCCCAACCCCGGCATCATACGAACTATATTCAAGCAGGAAGATCCGACTCGTGGCTTGGTGGCGTCTGGCTTCGGTTGAGGAGAGAGTATGATCGGACAGGCTGGCAATGCGAGGATTAGTATTACTGATCGACCAGCGTCTGCGAGAGGCGGTGATTTGCTCGGCAGATCTTCCAAGCCTACTAGGCCGATATGATACAGCAGATGCGGATGCGCATGTTCGCATTTGCGGCGCGGGTGGGGGAATTTCGTCTCGCCTACCCGTCGTGACACTTGGCCATCCCAGGGAGGTTGAAACGTATCATATGGAAATTTATTGCCATAGGATGGAGGGGGTTGAGTGGGGGGGGGGGGAAGAGGAGCTTAGTAGATTGCACTATAACACACCATGACAGTTGGCTCCGACCTTATTTCGACGAGCCGGAAATCGTCGATGCGAGCCCCATCTTCATATGTAGACGACGAGATCATTGCGTATCCCAGGTCTCCATTTTCGTGCGTGGCCATCGGAAGTAGATGACGCTGTGTAGAGCGGGAGAGACCCGGCGTCTCCCGGCGTTTCGTAGATCATCAGCAGGCTGCTGGGCCGCGACGAGAGGGAATGAATGAATGGCAAGACATGACATACAGCCAACAGCCAGCCATGATCCGTATGGAAATAGCATGTTTGTTGTGACCATACATTACATGTAGGCGACGAACCTAACATCCATGTGGTATACAGTTGCAGCAAGGAAGCCAACTATAACAATCTTCTCCAATGAAAAAGTACTCTACCGCACTCTGCAGGACCGGCCGCCGTGGTGGTGGTTGGTGGACGGAGAGTGACATTGAACATTCTCGTCGCTGCAAGCCTGCATGTGGGCGTCGTGTGGCGTCCTCGTCGGGAGGCCGTGATTCGCCGAGGGCTGCATGTTCCTCGAATTAAGCTTATAAGCTTGTTCGGTGTTGCAGGGTGTTCGGGAATCGGGACTTGGTGAGGGCGTGTGAGGGCGAGGCACGGGGGAGTGCGGGAGGGAAATTCTCCTCTTACCCCCCCCCCCCCCCCCAAATGCCACGATTTTCCCAAAATATCCACGACGGGGTATTCTTCCGCCCTGCCATCACCTAAGCTGCATCCAGTATGTGCTTCCTAACAACCGCCTTCATGCGTCATCACGATTTATCATCGTCAGAGCCCACCGCCCACCGATGTAGCGTTGCGTTCTGGCACTTCCATGCGAATAATGCATTTGTGGTAGCCTTGTTCGTTCGTGATAGTCTCGGGCGGGCGTCTCTGAGATCGCCAATCCCCCTCGACCCAAGTCGCGATTGTACCGGTACATCTCCGCCAGTTGTTGTATAGACTGACTACTTACTCCGTACATAAGTATATAATAATCTAATATATACCACGTCACTATATCGTGCCACGCAAGATTGACGAGCCTTGCACATGACGGAGCATTAGACTTCTAAGCACTGCACTAGTTTGCGGGTATTGCCATACATAGTACATAGGTATTGTGCCCGTGCGAGTCGGACCACGACGGAGGAAACATCATCTCGGCTGACGAGATCTAAATTGAATGTATTGAGTCGCGTACACGCTGTCGAAGCTATTAAGCTGTCAACGCTCCTCCGCAACGTCTCCAAGGACTTTGCGTGCATTTTCACATGCGCTCGATTCACCTGACACGTTCGGGCCCGAATGTAGGCATTCAGAGTACGCGTACATACTCTAGGTAGGAAGCGAGTTCAGCAGATGCACTCAGAACGCTCTCCGAGGTTCCTCTTCCCGCTGTGTCAGCTGCCGCTCCGATCTACCGAGCATGAGGTTGGCTGGGTCCCGCAGCCTACAGCACGTAGGTATGTCGTAGTAGCAGTCAAAGTCAGATTTGTCTTTGATGCGATGTGGCAGGGCTGCGAGGCACCCAACAGAAGCTGTTCCCTCCCATGTGTCCTGCATCTGTATATGCAACCAAGAGCGAGTGCCAACAAGGATTCGAGCTCTACAGGCTCACAATTGCCCGATTCGGGGGCTATGAGCGGCATCCCGCACGCTCTCCCCTGGCTTTCTGCCCTTACACTACCTAGATATACGGACGAGGCTTAGAAGAAGGTCTTATATCGCGCGCAAAACTGTAAACAATAATAGGGACTTACACTTACAGTAAATGTGATTTGTGACAATGCATTGCCGAATTAACCGTGAACACTTGGGGATTTGACAAGCATTGCCAAACCTCTAACACCGGATTTCCCCCAAGAGTTCCCCTCCTGAGAACCTGCGGAGAGCGTCGTAGTCCTCGTGGATCACCTCGAGGACTTGGCTTTGGCAATATCGAAAGGTATCGGGCGCCGTGTTCCCTCTTCCAGCCAGCCTCAAGTCCTGGCATATGTAACTACACTACCGTAGCAACAACAGCTGTGTGGCCACGCAATGCACCACTCTCGTCGAGGCTCTCTCCCACCCACCGGGTTTGATGGTGCGACGCTATTCCCTGTCTCTGGTAGCGTTCTTGGGGTTTGGACTGCTTGGGATGTGCGGAT